CCTAACCCTAACCCTAACCCTAACCCTAACCCTAACCCTAACCCTAACCCTAACCCTAACCCTAACCCTAACCCTAACCCTAACCCTAACCCTAACCCTAACCCTAACCCTAACCCTAACCCTAACCCTAACCCTAACCCTAACCCTAACCCTAACCCTAACCCTAACCCTAACCCTAACCCTAACCCTAACCCTAACCCTAACCCTAACCCTAACCCTAACCCTAACCCTAACCCTAACCCTAACCCTAACCCTAACCCTAACGGTGTTGAAGCCGGCTTCGCCGCTGGATGCGTCGTGTGATGTATGGATGGTATATCATTAGCGTGAGAATGAGGAAGGGAAGCAGAGGGAGACCAGAAATATTGCGTTCCTGTTGCGGTATATGGTTGCGAAGCCGGTAGTCGTAGGCGAGAAGGAGATGGAAAGTGTACAGCATGTGATGGATAGGGAGTTTCGGGAGGAGTTGGATAAGTTTAATCCGAAGGGGAAAGCGAGGAGGAACGAAATGTTTGCCAAGGCCGGGTTGTAGAAGACGAAGTAATATGTCACGGTATTGTGAGATGGTTGTATACGCCTGATCAATCCACTACTTAGGCAGTGAACCGGGAGCGTCCGAAAAATGACAATCTAAAAAGGTACTCATGTCAACATCGTCCATATCAAGTGTCCAATTCTCCACCCCAGGCAGATCCGCCAACCCGTCTATTGCTGGGAACTCGAAGAAGCTGTCCATGCCCCAAGACAAAAGATCAGGACCAGAGACAGAGGGAGAAGCAGAATCCGTGACCTTAGACCCCTGGGTCGGGTCGCTCAAGTCGATCGGTTGTGGAGTAGCGGAACCCGAGTTTGTGTCTTGTAGTGTCAAAAGCCCCGACAGATGCTGCCTGCCTAGATTCAGGCCCGGGCTATAACGGGCCTCCTGTCCTTTCATCCACTCAATCGGCGTCATGCCTATCGTGTCCTTGAAGACACGGTGGAAATGCCACTTTGACAAGTTTGCCCTTTTCGCCAAGCTCGCAAGGGTGGCTGGCAGCCTGTTGCTCTCTGGAGATTGCTGGATGGCGACCAACTCGCGGTCGACCATGGCGCGAACTTTGGCAATTGCGGCCTCTTCTGGCATCCCCCCTGAGGTATTTGGCTTGCAACGTTTACAAGCGCGGAAGCCGTCCTGCTCCGCTTCTCTGGGATTGTCATGGAAGCGGACGTTGGCGCGTCTCGCGAGCCTTGCTTTGCAGACTGGTCGGCAATAAATTTTTGTGGTTTTGACCGAGTAGACAAAGGCCCCATCTGCTGTTGGGTCGCGCTCCTGGACTGCACGCCACCGCGCAGCGTCGTCCCTGAAGAAATGACCGGCCATGAGTCCAACAGGTTGATCGGTAGACGTTTCCGCGGCGGTGAAGCGATGGGTCCGAGACTCGGGAGGAAACTGAGCTCAAAGTTTGCTCTAATGATGATGAGAGTTAGGTCCCCTGCTTTTGAGTAAAGCCGGATCGTCCTGCCCTGGTCATGTTGCGACAAAACTTGCCATTCGTATTGCTTTGGCTGGACCACTTGCGGTTGAAGTACCCAATCGCAAGTATGGGATGTCGTGGGATTTTGCGAGTTTCTCCGCTGTTGCTATCAAAATGGCCAATCAAACGGGAGAACAACCGGCGTGCCCCATAATTAATTGACGACGCTGGCTCGAGGCTGGCAGGAAAAGGGGGCTGTTGCAACTTGCAAGGCGATCGTTGTGGAGATGAACAACAGAGAGCATTTGTATATATGATGGAATTTTCTCCCAAGCTTGCCGGTCGACTTTGGGAGTCCTTACACCTCTGCTTTAGTACTGCACGCCTTGACTTGTTTCGGCACCACCGACCCAGTGACCCAGTCTATCGTTCGACGATCCCACAGCCACAGCACCTCTGATCATGTCTGTCCCAGATCACGGCATTATTTCTCCTGCCATACACTATTGGGGCTCTATAGTCGTCTTGGTTTCCTCCGAGAACGAAGATGGCACCACCAATATTGCTCCGATGTCGTCCGCCTGGTGGCTAGGCCGTTCCTGTGTTCTCGGTCTCGGGTCGGGGTCCAAGACTACCGGAAACATCCTCCGTACCGGCCAGTGTGTGCTGAATCTCCCCGACGACTCTCTTGCTGGCGTCATCAACTCGCTCGCCCGGACTACTGGCACCAGCCCAGTCTCGGACTGGAAGCGGGGCCGCAAATACGAATTCGTCCCCGACAAATGGAGCAAGGCTGGTCTTACGCCCGAGGCGGCTGACTTCGTACGCCCGGCTCGCATTCGCGAGTGCGCGGTCCAGCTTGAGTGTGAGCTAGTCCATTCGACCCCATTAAGCGGGGACTTGCCCGACCTGAAGGGGGTCTTATCCGCGGTCGAAGTGCGCATCCTTCGTGTTCACATTTTTGAAACATTGCGCATGTCAGGATACCCGAACCGGGTAGACCCAGACAAGTGGCGGCCCATGGTCATGTCATTTCAGCAGTTGTATGGATTGCGGGACGGGAAGCTGGAGGAGAGTGTGCTTGCTCGGATCGGCGAGGAGGAGTATCGTGGGCTTACAAAGAGCGGGGTGAAGAAAACCTTGGGGGAGGACGATGACGAATTGGTGGTAAGGGAGTTTGACGGGAAATGAGTAATACCTTACTGTCTTGAATAAAAAAATAGAAGATTGGGGAATAACTTTGTCGAATCATTTGATCCTTTCTGCGCGGCCAGGCCTTAATTATACACAGAAAGAAAACGCAAGGCCTTATTTTCCTCTCTTTCTGGCCTCAAGATCTCCATATGCGAGTAAAGCTATTTCAACCCGCTTCGCTCTTTTTTCTATACCCCTTTCTTTCCTTCCCTTCTACTTTCTACGATCACCCTTGTACGTCTAATTACTTGCACTGTCCACCTTGTCGTTTACATTTCCGCTTCTCAATAACTACCTTACACTAACGCCTCCTAGCTGTTCGTACCCCGATGAAAACGTCCTGCCTTTTTATTTAACAACGATTTGATTTGATTTTGTAAGATGGCATTTGAGTGATGCAGAGGGTTTGTTTTGGATGCCCTGGACGTTGGCATGCAGTTATTGGCGGATGGCGAAATCGGCACTACCTTCAACCTTAGCTTAACCCTTCAGTCTTTCTGAGCGCTTGTTCCGCCAACCATGGCCCCATTTCCGCAAAGTAATCACGGCCAAAACACAACTCAGAGCATCAAACAAGCCGAGCAAGGTAAACACCCACCCGTACCCTAACGCGCGAACCAATGGATCCAGCATGGCCACCGCAGCAGCTGCCAGCCCGCATCTCGTGATATTGTTGGCCGCCGCCGCCGTCCCTGTTGCCTGGGGGAACACATCCACAACTAGCGCACTGTACGTTTGGTGTACCAAGGTACACTTGCACCCTAGGACACCTTGCAGCAACAGGAGCACCGCAGGGTGCGCGTGCCGGTCGACGACCCAACCGTAGCCCACGACGAAGGAGGCCGAGACACACAGGATGGCCACGGACCACCGTGAGCGCGCTCGCTCAATCGGAAACTGCGCCACGTCGTCCCCGCACACCCGGTCGATTGCTAGGCCCGCTTCGCGTGCGACGTGCCGGTAGTTGCGGTCCATCAACCATCCTGCTATGAACCCACCCGCAATGATTCCCAATCCGCCTGCCAGAAAACAGCAGCCCACCTGGAGGGGGTTGAAGCTGTACCCTTGGTAGCTATCGCTGCTGTTTCTGCCACCGCCGAAGATGGGTGTAATGGAGGTTTGTACACAGAACCAGAGTGCGTAGGGACAGCCAGCGAGCCACAGGGCGAGGAAGGAATCCGGATGGAAGACAATCCGAAGCGAGGGCAGCGGGTTGGGGATGATAAGTTTGCCGCGGCCGGTTGCAAAGCTAGCGGTATCGGCCGTTCTAGTGGCTGTGGACTGTTGGGGTTTCTCCCGGGTTTGATTCTCTAGGTCAGGTTGTTCCTGTTGTCGTTCTTGTTGATGATGGTCTGGCAACGGGCATATCTCCGTTTCGTTCCCCTTTCTCTCTTCCCTCCACGCAAACAAGAGGCTCAGCCACGTCCTCCAGAGCCCCTTTGCCGGCACAGCTCCATTACCCACCACCGTCCGTGCCGTCTCAGATTGGACGAACCCGATTAGCAACACCGCCGACGCCCCGAAAATTAACAGCGCCCTGAAGCACCACCGTGGATCTCCAGACGCGAGCACTGTTCCTCCCCCAATGATGGGTCCGATACAAGGGCCGATATTAGTGGCCGTCAGCATCGGCGCCAGGAACCGGCCCCGCTCGGAGTGCACCGTGACATCGGCGACCACGGCGTACGCCAGCGAGAGGACAGCGGAGCCGCCGATGCTTTGCATTGCCCGGAGCAGGAGCAGGGCAGGGTAGCTTTTGTCGACGATCGACAGGCCGAGCGATGCGGTAGTGTAAATGCTGAAGGTTGCGAGGTAGACCGGGCGGCGGCCGAATGTGTCTGACAACGGCGACCAGAACGAGGGAGCGATACCCTGGAATACCATGTAAAGCGTTATGGTGAGATTTACAGCTTGTGTAGAGACACGATAACGCTCTGCCAAGAGTTCTAACAAGGGGAAGTAAATATTTGCCGTTAATGAAGAGGCGAGAGCAAGGTAACCGAGGAGGCAGACGAGGGCGGTTCGATTTCGAGCGGTCCACGTCGTGTATGGTGTTTGAGATGAGTCCATGGCCTCCGATAACACCCGATCAGAGCGGGCACTCCTGTCCTTTTCGTCACGTTGCATAGTTGTTTGCGGGAGGGTCATACAACGCCGTAAAACATAGGCGTAAGGTAGGTTGGAAAACTAAGCGACCCCAGAGTGGGAAGAGGGGTTAATAAATTCTTCGCCTCTCTCCCCTGCAGTTGGAAACCCATGCTGCAAGCATGCAAACATGCAAATAAGCGGGTCCCGGCCGGATGCTTGGTACCTAATAAACAGTGATGAAAGTTTAAAGTTGAAGAATCAATCAACGTTAAGAAGCCTCGGTCATTCACAAATCAACAAACATCTCGCATTCCATGAAATCTCCCCCCCGTCCAAGCACAGCGAGCAGTAATTATTTAAACGAAAACAGCAACACCTATTCTCGTCCACTAAATCCAGCCCATCTCCATGCTTACACCTTTGTTCAACTCCTGTTCAGACTTAGAGCTTTCCACCCTGCTGCCTACCCTCAACTGCCGCGTCGACTGCCGCCCCGACTCCCTGACCAGCCCACAATCGCTCCGCAGTAACGGTCTTGTCCGCCTCAAGCGCCTAAACGTTGACCGTGGCCGGGTCAATACCCTTCTCCAACAGGTATCCCTCATAGCCGAGGGGGTACTTTTTTAGCAGATCTCTCATTGTGTCCATCACCCTGTGTAATTAATTAGGTAATTACCGCATGTGTTAGCTGGTGTCCCGTTGTTCTCTATCTTAATATTTGGTGCCACTTACAGCATTCTATGCCGTAGATTTCCGGGATACAAAGAGGATGCATGAAGATCGAACCGGCTGGACCGAGGTGTTAGCTAAGTAAGGTACTAACTGTAGAGGTTTGGAGAAGGGCGATGTCTGACAGTGCATAGAGTGCACCCCGACTCTCAAAGTCTTCGGCCGGTGCAGATGCGTCATAGTACTTTCGGTATTCGGCAATGTACGCATGCGTCATCTTGTGGCGAAGGGGCCACCAAGGCCCCATCTCGTCTACCGGTTACAATGTCAGTTATTCCGCAGAGGTAATGCGTGTTGGTCTGAAGAGAGTATTTCGCACATTCGTGGTGAGCGTAGAGGGGAGTCGCGTCAAAAAACATGGGATGACCGGTGGTAACATCCACCGAAGCGTTTCCATCCCACAGGTCACCATGCACGAGTGTCGGAACGAGAGTCCTGCCTTCAGTCTCCAACGGACGCAAGAGCCGGGGGATCACCTTGGTCATGAGGCCTTCGCGGAGCTGGCGCAGCTCTTCATCCGGTCCGTGCGTTTCCTCTTCCATGTCAAAGATCTTTTCCAAGCCTTGTGAAAAACACTCTTCCCAGGTGCTCGAGAGGGGGAACGTCTGGGGGTTTCGCCCCCCATACATTGTGATGGGGAAGCCGAACTCTCCTGTCTTGGACTTGCCGCGCTTGTGAAACTCTGCGACGAGCTTCGGAAACTCGTTCACACTTGGGATCCCGTCTGAAAGCTCGTGAAACCGACAAATAAAAAAGTAGGTGTCTGGTTCTTCGGCGTACTGGCCCCAGCCCAGAGGTTCCGCAACCAGTTCTGGCGCAGCATTGTGGAGCAGGGTCATCGCGTAAAACTCGGCCGATACCATGTTTTTTCCATGCTCAAACTGATGAACCTGTTCAAACCAGGTTAGCAGTGCAAGACGTAGCAACTAGCTATTGTAATACCTTGATGAAGAACGGAGTGGGTTCCCCCTCCTCGTCTGTGGCATCGATCTTCGCAGTTCGAGCCCAATATGAGGCCCCGCTTGGAGAGATTCCGAGAATCTTAGTCCCCGGTGGGAGCTCTAATTGGAGCGAGAGGATGATCAGCAACTTCAATGTCCAAGCCTCAAGTGAGAATTAGAAGTGCAGAGTCGAATGGTGCTTACTTTCGATGACCCCTTTGTCGACATACTCGATCGTTCTCGCGGGGACGGGGACTTCCTTGTCCCAAACAGATTTGTCCGTCATTGTGCAATAACGTGATTACCTCAGCGTATGAGGCACTATGACTTTGAAACTGAATTTGAAATGTTCAAAAGGCTTGTTATTTTGACGTATTCTAATGAAATCGCTCGAGTCGCCAAAGTAGGCGGGCAACCTTTTGGCTTTAAGACATGACGGCTACCCTCCCTGGGTCTCTGGCACACTTGTGCCGTTTCTTCGAGACACGGCAGGAAGCGGCGGGTCCCGCTGCCGAGGGGCGGCGTACATGCATTAGCCGATCGAACAAGGGGTGGTTGCTACATTCTACGATTGGCCAATATCAGAGCCTTGCCTCCTATTTCTGCTCTGGCTGGTCTCTTCTGGCAACCATTGCAGGGCTCTAAGCCTTGTGTTGCAGCACTGCATTCTCCCGATGCACCTAGGCGCCCGTGATGACAAAATGGTGCTCCGATAAAGCTGCTGGGCTGGGTTGCTCCCCATTCCACACACATCATTGGTAGGTTCCGGTCCGAGAAACATTTCAGAACCCCCCCCGCGCAAAGGTAGCACTCTCTCGACTTAGGTCCCGTGAAACGAATCCGTCGCGCGACTCCTCACCCCGTTGAGAGTTGCGTGAAGTCGAATGGCCGGGTTTACGCTGTTGAGGAACTCCCGGAAACCGCTGCTTTGGTCTCCGCGAATTATTTCCCAAGCGGCGTTGCGCCATAAAAGCACAAAACCGCGCCCATCATGGACCGTCCTGGCACCGAGATCACGCGCACGAATACAGCGGCCTCAGCGAGGTCCTTTCTCTCCAGGCCATCGTTCGGGTTGAGTAGAAAAGGCAGTGTAGATGCCAACGAGCGAGAACCCAAAGGCCCGTTAGGGCTCACGACGCTTCACGTCCCCGTCTCTGAGCAAACAACGCCTGTCGCCGACCTGGTTTTTGTTCACGGCCTAAACGGTGGTTCCCACAGCACCTGGAGCAGGGGCAGCATCCCCGAATGCTTCTGGCCTCGTCAATGGCTTCCCGAGGACGAGGCCTTTAAGGATGTCCGTATCCATACCTTCGGTTATCCGTCGGGGGTAACCAGGGAATCAATCATCAACGTCTCCGACATTGCTCGGTCTTTGCTAGCTGCCGTTAAAGACTCACCGATCATGAACAAGGGAAAACCAGTACGTCATAAGCAACCCTCTCAATGCATGCTCGCCGCAACTAACAAGAAAATTCGAACCTGCTTGACAGCCACCATTGATTTTTATCGCCCATAGCATGGGGGGTCTCGTTGTCAAAAAGGCCTACATCATAGGGCATCGCGAGATAGAGTTTAAGCCGGTTGCCGACCGCGTCAGCTCAATCTTTTTTCTAGCGACCCCCCACCAAGGAGCAGCCATCGCGCAAACCCTCTCTCGCTTAACCGCCATGATTGGAGCCCGTCCCTTCGTTGAAGACTTATTCCCTCAGTCACCCCTCACTCAAAGTCTGGGCGAGGATTTCCCGCGAGTCAGCAGCGATCTGCAACTGTTTTCTTTTTTTGAAACACGGCCGATGACGGTTGGGGTCAACAGGACACTCATCGTTGATAAAGCCAGCGCTGTGATGAACCTCCCCAATGAAAGGAGAACATTCCTCGACGCGGATCACCGCAATGTGGCCATGTTTTCAACACCAGACGACCCCTCCTACGTCTCGGTCCGAAATGCCTTAGCCACGGTCATTTCGTTTCGAAGAGAAACAACCCGGCTCCAAACACATGTTGCGGCCCAGGAAGACCAGGAAGCACTCGATCAGTTTATGGGTATCTCTGATGGGCCTGAGGATGACATTTTGATTCAGGAATCCATCAAGCTCCCGGGATCTTGCGAATGGATTGCAACCAAGTCATTCTATCAGTCTTGGAAAGCGTCCATGAATTCTTCCTTCCTGTGGCTCCGCGGTCGCCCGGGGGCTGGCAAGAGCGTCCTATGCAGTCACATCATCAGCGACCTGCGTAACCAGGACCTCGACTGCAGTTTCTTTTTCTTCCAGGCCCGGGATCATGTCAAGTCGACCGCAAACGGCTTCTTACGGTCGATAGCATGGCAAATGGCGACACTTCACCCAGGCATTAGAGAGAAGTTGGCTGCTATCAAGTCAGACTGGAGGGATAATCCCATCGACAAGATTGATGCCAACTCTGTGTGGAGGAAGATATTTCTCTCCGGCATTCTCAGAGTTAAGCTTAGCAGGCCCCAATACTGGGTCATCGACGCGATGGACGAATGCAAAGCCGCAGCAGATATCCTCAGCTTCCTCTCTCGCATTCAGGAACATTGGCCTCTATCAATTCTCATCACATCCAGAGACACAATGGATGCACATCAGAAGGGGCCGAATCCAAACATCGACATCCGAAGCCATACGATTTCAGAGCAAGATAGCTTGCAAGACATCTCCATTCTTCTCAAAGCAAATATGGCATCCTTGCCGTGTCCGGCATCAGCCCAATGGCCCACCCGAGAAGAAATAGCTGCGCAAATTCTCAAGAGATCCGCCGGCTGTTTCTTATGGGCATCCATTATTTGCTCTGAACTCCGCCTAGTGACGAGCGAGAGAGAGATTACCAAGGTCATGGAAAGTACGCCATTAAACATGGATGCCGTTTACCACGATATTCTGGCGAAGATGGAATCCGCACGGTTTGGCAAGGCAGCCGCAAAGGCCTTTATCGCATGGACGACTTACGCCTTCCGGCCGCTCAGCGTATCTGAGATACAAACTCCTGTCGAGATGGACATTAACGACAAGATCGACGACGTCCAACGTACAATCTCAAGGTGTTGTGGGAGCCTTGTGTTTGTCGACAATAACAACAAAGTTCAACTTGTGCATTTGACGGCACGCGAGTTCTTCACTCGGAAAGGGGCGGAGTCCGAATTCATTCTCACAAAAGCCGAAGGGCATCGTCGCCTAGCCGCTGTGTGCCTCAAATTTCTTCTCCAGAATTCTCAGAAGAGCGTCAGCCGGCCAGGGAGAAGGCTCACCTCGGAACCAGACATAACACGAGTTCGCCGAGGCCGCTCCCCGTCACCTCTGCCACCCGCTCGCGAGGCTGACCCCTTTACGCACTATGCATCCCAGTTTCTCTTTCAGCATCTGAAGTTTGTCCACTCAAATGACGAAGAGCTACTTGTCATGCTTTCGGATTTCCTAGGGAGCAACAACCTCCTCCGTTGGATTGAATTCACTGCCACCAACGGAGACCTGCGCACCATCTATCAAGCTGGCAAGACGATCAACTCAATCCTGAATCGTAGGGCACAACACTCGCCACCGGTGGGCCTTGCTCGAAAACAGGGCAAATACGCTCTCTTGGAGAAATGGGGAGATGACTTGATCCATCTGGTGACCAACTTCTCCGGGTGGCTCAGGCGATCACCCAAAGCAATCCACCATTTGATACCCCCTTTTTGTCCTCCTGATTCAGCCATACGCCGGCAGTTTACCAACCCTGTACGAGGTCTCAATGTCCAAGGTTTATCTTCTCGGGGCTGGAATGACTGTCTGACCACCATCACGTACCCTGACGGGATGAAATTAAATGCATTGGCTGCCGGGCCGGGCTACTTTGCAGTGGGTATGTTGAACATGACAGGTCAAGTGCTGGTTTACGACGATACCATCTTCCAGGAAGTCTACATTCTCCACCATCGTGAACCAGTGTGGGGACTTGTCTTTGCGGAGAGCGGGAAATATGTGGCATCTGCGGGCGCGAGAACCGTCCGTATCTGGTGCTTAGCTGACGGGTCGGAACGGTCCTCCTTCAAGATCACTTCCTTGTGCTTGAGCTTGGCGTTTGTGGAGGAGGATGCGATCTTGCGGGTTGCCACCAAACAGAATCGGTTGATTGACTGGGACGTTGAAGCTAACGCCTTTGTCCACGATGACCCGGTAACTTGGACCGCCGATCTCCCGGACACGATGCAGTTCAGGACGCCGATGCTGGCAGAGCTTGGCATGGCCAGTCACCTGTTAGCGGTGCTGTACAGGGGTGAGAACATTGTGTTCTGGGATTGCATAGACAATCGAGTCTACGATACGTACGAGAAAGAGACGGGGTCCATCCAGGTCTTTGGCAGTCGAAAACTCGCCGAAGGTTCCACGACCGTCCGAGCCGCCGCCTTCGGACACTCTCTCGACGTCAACCTCTTCGCAGCCACTTACACGGACGGGGATTTAGTCGTTTACGACATTGATAGAGGCGAGGTTGTCGCTGTCGTCGAAGGAGCAAACACCATGGTATTGGCGACTTCCCAAGACGGCCGAACTCTTGCCGGCGCTGACTCCGTGGGAAATTTCACGTTGTTTGAGTTCGAAACCCTCCGTGCGTTGTATCGTGTTCGGTTCGACACCCAGATTCTTCCTACCGCCCTTTGCTTTACTTCAGACAGCCTACGGTTCATCGAAATCCGTGCCGGCCAATGCCGGGTCTGGGAGCCTACCGTTCTCCTTCGCACCGATATGCAAGATGACGACCACAGCGACACAGTCTCCGTATCTACGGGGCCTCAGGAGGTCGACCATCAAATCCTAACAAACGCAGTCCCAGAAATTTGCTCCATCGCTTGTTGCCCTGAATCCAGCGTGGTTTTCTGCGGAATGGAAGACGGATCCGTCCTCGCCCATGACACATCCGGGCCGGAGCCTGAACAGAGGCTTCTGTTTGTACAAGACTCGCAATGCGGCATTCATTTACTCCATTTTGACAGCCAAGGGTCAACCTTATCGTGCGGCGACCGCTCGGGACGATTCACCGTGAGAAAGCTCTTACGACCCGACACCCCACGCCATAGAAGGACATGGGAGGTTGCACCGCCGATGATCGACGGCCGGACGCCGGGTCAGAGCTCCGGCGTTTTAAGGCAAATTCTATCCTCTTCAAGGCATCAAAGACTGCTTGTGAGCACAGAGAAACGAGACAAGCTATGGCCCATGCCGAAACAGGGTGAAGGGCTCTGGATTTGCCAGCTCGACTGTGAGGGTAACAACAACGGTTCTCGCTGGCTGACACGGCCGGGGGTCAAATCCGACCTGCTTCTTCTTATTGGCGACACGGGGGTTGAGTTGAAACTCTATGACTGGGCAACCTTGGATCTCGTCCGAGTTGTCTCTTTATCAGCTGGCCAAAGCCCGGCGCTTGACCGATTCGCAGCCTTGACTCACCAACAGTTCTTTGCCACATACACAAAGAAGCCGCCAAAGGGGCAAAGTTCTGCTCCAATGTCCAGTAGTGCAAGGCAGAATGGCCTAGCGCTACTCTGGGACTTCCAGAGCCTTGAGAACGGAACTGAACCTCTTTTGCCCCAGTACAATCTGGGTGTCCTACCCACTAAAGTCGAGCATATACTCGGTGTATCCGGCTCCCGCCTTGTCCTTTACATGGCGGATCACTGGATTGCCTCAGTTGAAATCCAGTTACCCGGTGCATTGAGCGGTATTGTTGTCGACGGTTCTTTCGTTCGTCACTTCTTTCTACCCAACGACTGGATTGGGTCCATGGTAATTAACAACATGATCTTTGGCAGTGGTCGAGGGGGTGAGATATTTCTTGCCCTACGGTCCGAGCTGGCGATAATCAAGCGGGGGCTCGAGGTTACGGAAGACAGTGGGACATTCAATTCAAGACGACTAAACACTGGCTTCTGGGGAGCTTCTGGAGGAAGGGTACCCTTTCGGCACCGCGCCGCTTCATCACAGTCTTGATTACAGGGAGGTCAAAAGGCTTGTAGTATTGGTAGTTCATCTCGAATAGAGTACATTCCTTAATTTCTGCCAAGACTTTCTGTTAAAATATTTGACAAGATGGTGGAAGTTGTTTTAAATGTCTGTTCATGAGTAAAGCGAATGAGTAAAGCGAGGGATCAACAGTTTTGTCGTCTCCGCACTTTCGCAATGTATCAATGCGTCGTGCATTGTGTCTCTGTAACGAATCGTCCAATGATACTCAGCAGGGTTCTTTCATTAGGGCCAAGTTCAAGGGCTGCGAGTCGGTGAAGCCAAAAGATTTCTAACATGATGTAAACCAACTCGACATGTTTGGCTACGCTCCTGTTTATAACGGGGTTGAGTACCTTGAAGCAGTGCCAAGTGCCTTTACCACAGCATAGGATGCTCCACTGATGGCTCCATTTACTTGTTTTCGTCTCCTTTCACTTTTTTTTCATTTATTCTTTTTATCTTTTTTTCACTCGTGTGGAAAAGTGGAACATCTTGGGGACTTAGTCAGCAGCTTTTTCTCGTCTTGTCTTCTTTTTTTTCCTTTTCTGTTTCTTTGCCACAGCGAGACCAGTCCATAAAAGGCAAGCATGATATCACCGCGACGACCCGACCTTCTGTAAGGCGGTTGTTGTAGCGTAAAGTAACAATCTTCAACACGATACTTTGGCCATCAGGATGCGACCTTATCAGCTACGCCTAGTAGCCGTCCTAGACCGCATCACGGCCATTTTTTGAGTTTGACGCGGTATTCAAGTGCACAAGTACCTGCATCCAATCAACTAGCCGCATGGTGCTTGGAGGTTGGTGGCTTTATAGACCCTGGGACCCATGGACTTCCCCCTTCCACGCTTCCACCCCTTCTTAGTTGGGACTTTGAGTCTCAAAATAAGCCAGTAAGTAATTCCCAGGTACCTGCTCACCAGGACAGAATGGAAGAAGGCGGCAGATATAAGCAATATTTCCACCCAATCATAGGGCGGCGGCGGCGGCGCCCACACTGATGGCACAGACTTTCAGCATATGCAGCATGGTGCAGGTTGCATAATTGGCATTCAACAACAGGCGCTCCTTGTGGACGGCGGAAAAGACAAAGAGTTGTTCAAGGTCTCAACATTTCCCTACCAAAATAGTGCCCATAAGTCGAAGTCGCTGTCCCATCTATCCCCAGCCTATACTTGACCTGTTTTCGCCTACACTCTCCCAAGCTTTGTTACTAGCTCGACGATTCGCTTCTTTGAGAATGGAATCCTTCGTACCATTCACTGTTGACAGCGCCCACCAGGATGAGACCACAGGGTTGGTCCTCTATCGCATCCGCATCCTGGTTTCCGGCACTACGGTGTATGAGGGCCCTGTCATTCGTTATCTGACCGCTCCCAAACCCCCAGTGGGTGCGAGTATTCGTATCCCTGACGATCGCGGTAGGAACTTGTCCTTTGATACAGTCCCCGCTGGAGATTGGAACCTCGGCCACCTCAGTACCACCAGCGACGGTACGAAATTTGTTGTTGCCTCAACCGAAACATCCGCCCTCGACAAAAGCGTAGGCCTCCTCGATGCCGGCCCCGGTTGGCACGACGCCCAGTTCGACCTCATCTATCTACTAGATGCCTTCTACAGCCATCGTCAACTCCATCGATGCCAACAACGATAAATACACCAACATCCAATGTAACCGCAATCTCCAAGCCCTTATCCTCCCCAGCCCTTTCCCCGGGGAATACAAACCCTTACCCAAAACACGGTCATCGGCATCTGGGCCTGGCAACCGCTCATTAGTATTACCAACGGCATTGCCAACGAAAGCCACGTCTACTCCCTGCTGCAGGCCTCCGACCCAGGCTTAGCGGCCCGCTTCCTTGGGCATATCACCGACAACAACGCCACGCGTACAATAGGGTTCCTACTGGAGCATGTCCTCGGTGTCCATCACCCCGGGCTTGGTGATCTCGACAATTGCCGCGATGCGCTCCGGCGGCTGCACGCGGCGGGGCTTGCGTTCGGCGGGCGTTCGAGGAGGCAAAACTTTTTGGTAAAGACCGACGGGAGCGTGCTGCTCCAGGGATTTGGTGGGGTGTTTGAGACGGAAGATGACGAGGATTTCGTGGAAGACTTGGAGCGCTTGGAGAAGGTTTTGGCACGTGTTGAGGAATAGTGTATGAGAGGCTCATGAGTAGAATTTGAGTACATATCAGTAGTTGGCCTTGTGAAAATGTGTGGTTGCATCAGATTGTCTGCTTGGGAAATCTTCAGGTTAGTATATTGTTGCTTCAATCGTATTACCTCTCATATAATTTCCCTATCACAGTTATGAGTAGGCAAATGGAAATGGTGGCGCAGCAGAACAGTGATCCTGGAGGTGAAGGTGTTGGTGCAGAAAAGATTGGATTGAAGTTGTTGAAGTTTTGAACAAAAGACAAAAGCATGCAGCTGCATTGTCTATCTAGTTAGATACCTAGTTAATCAAATACCCAGACAAGCCAGACAACCGTGTGCACGTTTGGGGAGGACTGAGTGAATTGGGCAGGCAGTGTTGGGCGGCAATCCCCGCTGTTGATTGGCTTCGAGGGAGATTCCTGCCCCATGCCATCATTATGGGGACCTGGCCCGACTACCTAATCAGGTACATTTACTGTGTACTATGTAGGAATGAATCGTGGAGCGTCATTGGCTTTGCGGGACCACATTCCCTCCTCAGGCTCCACGCAACTTGGCGGACACCAAGTGAAGGTCTTTACCATAGTAGCGCCTCAAGTTTATGTTCGCAGAGTCGAAAATGCCAAGAATACGCCGCCAGGGAGCGTATTAAGCTTTGAGTTGGCGCCGGTATGAATGGAGAGTTAAGCGCTGGCGTGCCGCCGGGAGAAACCGCACAATTGCAAAAAAATATCGTTCCGTTGGGCGGTCGGCAGAAGCCACCACGAGAGTGTCGATAAATGTCGGACAAGAATGTTATGCAGTTGGTTCAGAAACCACACCTTTGTGACGTAGACAGTACAGGGTTCGGAACCACCATTCGCTGAGGCCCCACTCCCGCTCCTTCCGCTTCCGCCTCCGCCCTTCAAACTGGTCCCACCACAAACCACAGGCTCTATCGTACATTCCGCCAACGGGCAATATTAAAGCAGACTGTAGGAAAGTTTAATAGCTCTAATGACCCCAGATTTTAAAGGAGGCGCTTATCTCCATAATAACTTGTTTCCGATTTTGATGATTTGAGAGCATCAATCGCCGTCACCCAAAAATTTCAGGCGCTCATCGCCCGCCTCCCCGAATGAAGCAGTGGTTGGCCAAACGTGAGTGCAGCCTGCACAGTGCGAAGATTTGTCGCCGGTCTGTTTTTGCCTTGTGGCTCCCGTGTCGGCGGCTAGATACTGTAATTTGATTGGCCCCCTTTCTCCCCCAGCTTCGTCTAGTACTCGAGACGGAGCGACTGGGACGTTCTGTAGGTGTCGCCCATAGGCTGTGTAACAACAGCCCCCAACTCAACCAATGTTGGTGAGGTTTGACCGCAAGATCCCTTGATTTCCCCCTCGGTTCCCCCTCTATATCTTCTTGTTTCTTATGCTCGTGGCCTCACGGCGGATGTCCCACGCGACCATTCGAAAAGCTCCCATCGTCTTTGCTTGTGCTCTTGATTTCCGTTTTCCTCGTCCTCAGGCTTCTCCCAACAACCCCGTTTCCAATGAAGATGGGACCGGACACGCCTTACCCGACTGACATCCCGCCGCCAAGTTTCGCCATGGCGCTCACCGAACCACGAAATGATGCGATCGCGGTGCTGCGGAGAAATCCAGGCTCTTCACGCAGTAGCTCGCATAACACTTCACCCACGCTCATAAACAACAGTCCAAGGTCCAGAGAGAACCCGCGCTTTGTCCCAACACCACTACTAGACCTAAACGCCAGGCTCAACAGCCCCCCTTTAACGCCTATTCCTAACCACCTTCTCGAACCGGTTGATGAGGAACCTGACACCCCCAGTTCCACCATTGTTGAATTCGGCGACCTAGGACGCGGCAACGTCCCGTCAGCGGCTCAGATGGTCGAAAGGCTCCATCGATCGTTCAGCCAATCGTGGAATGAATCACCCTCCGCTCGCTCGGCTAGCAAACCTCCCGGGGGCAACGATGATCATGAAGGCCGGGAGGAACTGAGGGACCAGAGCCGTAGTCGGGCGGCAACCTCGAGCACGCCAACTGCCCAGAGAGATCGATCACAATCGGCTCAACGCAAGCAGACTAGCGCGAAGAGATCAAACAGTAAGTCGGCAGCCGAGCGTGGTCTCGCCGACGAACGAATCAACAGGTTTCTTCAATCCATGCCCCAGCAAGGCTCCCAGGTCAACGACGTTGAGTTGACGGAGGAAAACCGAAGCCTGTACCAGCGTATTGCCGCCCTGCAACGCACCGAACGCGAGCTCCTCGTTGAGAACCAAGACCTGACCCGCAAGCTGGCGGCAATGAAGCAACACCATGAGCGCCGGGCGAGGCAATGGAATGAAGGGTTTCGGCGGAAGGAGATTGAGCATGAAGCAAAAGTCCGAGAGCTCGGCGAACAGCTTCTGGATATGGTCGGCCGACAGGCAGAGAAGTTGCCTGGCATGCTTTCCAACGACGACATCTCAACATGGTTCGACGAACAGGACGTTGCTTGGAACAAATGGGCCATCACATACGGCCACACTGCCGGTGATAGACTGACCACCGGTCTCCACCCAATTCAGTTGCAAGAACTGTGTAGCGATGTCAAGGCATTTGTTCGCATGACCGACTCCGGAAAGCTCCCCCCAGAAATTCTCAACGGCGGGAAAGAAGCGCTGCGAACACTTCTCAACGGCATGTTGGCCCACTTGATCTGTACTGATATCATCGCCTCGCCAATGTGGGTCCTCACCGCTGCGTCCCTCGGAAGCCTAGAGAGCCCTGGAGTCGTTCCGTCAAAGCCCGTCCCCGGCCTTCCGGGGTTCCGGATGGACATGAATAATTTCGGCGACGTGGCGCCCTTACGGGCTGGGCCAAGCCAAACCCCCCGGAGTCCACAATTCCCACCGCCCCTGATCACGTCCATGATCCCAACGCTCGGGTCGACCGCATCCATGCTCGGGTTGCCGCTTAAGCCAGAGATGGAACGCCTTGTCCAGATGCTCTCGGATGGTAAGTGCATGATAATGGTGACCACAGATCAAGACCACGAATTCTAACGTTCGGGCAGCCCAAGATGACGATCCCGCTTTCCCCGCCTACCATTGGCGTGCGAACATGATGCGACTGTTTGCCGACGGAGGGTTCGCCCTGAAGGACGTTGCAGCTGCCGGCAGAAACGAAGCCAAACGGATGTTTGTTGAGTCACGTCTCAACTACGCGCGGAAGCTCAAAGAGCGCTTCCTTGGCGGTTCTGCGCGATTCCTTCTCCAAGACCAGGATGCCGCTGGCATAGAACAACTCGAGAGTACGCTGGGGGATCTTATCGACGAAGCTTTGGTATTTTCATGCCGGCTGTGGACTCGTATGTCTCCTGTCCGCCTCCACGGATGGAAAGATCTGGGAGAAAAGGAGGTCAAGGCCGCAGCACCGCTAGTGACGCTTTGCCATGCACAAGTGGAAGTCGAGTCTCGTCGACACAAGGCTGAAATTTCCAAAGAGAAGCAGGCTAGCCAAGATAGCCAGACCGACCACACTATGGTCATGGCTGTGCAACCGGCGGTGGTCGCAGATACCATCAATACCTCGGGCCCTAAAGTGGAGGTAGATGACGACGGATTAGTCTTGGTGTGGCTGAAGGCCCGTGTCATGCTGGCAGGGCCTATGTCGGTGGAGGACGAACCTATCAACGCAGCGGCCGAACCGCCGGCTCCCACAGAACCCACCCTACCATCCTCCCTACCAAACACCGCACCGACCCAGCAGCTACCGGTGAAGAGCCCGTTGAAGAACCCTCAGGATTTGGAGGTGTTGCCTTCTTCGTCATTCAACCAACCAGAAAAGGCGGTGAAATAGAGGCGGGAAGCAAACGTTTGGAGTATTATGTCGTGGTTTCCAGATGTCATTTACCGGTGTTTCGGCGTGCAGGGTCAGGATTGTGATAATTATGCTTGGGTTATCAAGGAGTGCTTGGGTTATCAAGGAGCGAGAAACGGCGGACAGGGCCGTGCAGTGTTACATACAGGGCGCATTCCAATGGCGATTTTACTCCAGCGATGAGTCCTAGAGTCCAATATAGAAAAGGTGACTCGTTAGTTTATTGTAAATGTGAATGACTTTCGATGGCATGTCCCCAATTCACGGCGAGGGCGCTTGCATTCTGCATCTCCACGATCTTGATCCCGAATTAGGCGGCGTCTCGACACGGAGCTCCAATCAAGGCGGATGAGTGCTCAGCCATGACGGACAAGAGGTCCTGCTCTTGAGTAGTTGGCCAAAGGCACGCACTAAAGTATCTACACATGGGATTCTCCATATGAGACGAAGAATTTAGGCATGGCAGAGACTAGGTCGAGGGAAATCGTTTTCTTAACGAAGAGGCAGCCAAAAGGGGATAAATAACCAGTTTTGATGACATGGAAATTGCAAAAAGAGAGAGGCCCCCAACGCTAAGTGAACCTGTGATCGATGTTTTCTCCGTCACATCCCGGTGTCACCAGATGTCACCCTCAGCCCCCCGAGATAATTTTGAGGGCGAGTGTTTCACCGCAACCAACTTGCAGCAAACTTGGATGTCATCCACAACAGGTTGGGATCCAAGCCACGGGTTCAAAATGGGTCCAAGTCCGGTGACCCCATTGGACCGAGTCGACCAACCCAGGGATTTTGCAACAGAGTGCCGATTGGGTGCCACGGAGCTGGCGCAGAATTGTTTGCTTTCCTCACTCCCCAAGCGCGCGGCAGCCGAAGAGACCAGCTTAGGTCGTGGCCGGGTTTGGGGTTCACTCACGGGTTCAGTGCGAGGCCATGACGGCGGTTACGGCGTCCGCCATGGGAGCCGATCAGAGAATACCCTAAGAACCCCCATACTTATTATTACGTACTGTAGAAAGCCCTCTGAGCGGCCCCCATGATGCGCTAGTTGTTATCAGACATGTGTCCCGTTTCACCTCTACGGGAATTGTGCTTTATGTTTATTTTTGTTTGCCCCGTATTAAGTCCAGAACTTGGATTCGGTCATGCACTGCGCTATACGCGCCCCAGACAACCAACGTCGTCTTGATTGCTACGATCAGCAGACTTCGTTATGTGACAGGAAGAACCTCGTGACTTGAAACTCCTCCTTGTGTTTAACCTAACGATCCTGTGGCATTTCCCAGATCTTTTCACCCCTTGTACGAGAAGATAATTAGGTACCGAACACATGACTGAGCAGAATCCAAGCCTTTGTTTGGAAACATCAATTTAGAGGTAAAGGGGGGCATTGCCCGTCTTGTTTCTTTTCCCGCGTTTGGCATCTAGTCTAAACTCGCTTAAAGACAGAAGGGTCGGCGTTCTTGACGAGCATCTGAGCATACTCATCAAACCACTGCCCTGCAGCCGGAGCGCCCTCCAGGCCACACTTGCCGTCACTCTCACCACCAGGCTTAACCCACACCAGAGCATCCACAAGCGTGTTGTTGGTGAATGTTGTGGGCGCGTGGCCGAAGCCGGCGGGCTCGACGTTGCACCACTCGCCCCTGCATCCAATGTTAACGCGCCAGTTTCGTGAGATCACCACGAAAGAATACTTACCACTCTGCACGAGTGCCGGGGAGGGCAACGCGACCCTGGTCGATAATGAAGCGGGAGGGCAGGCCCTCGGCCTCAAGATGCGGTGCAAGCGAGGTAACGTAGTGAGATTCGTCCCACGAGTGGCTCCACTCGGTGAAGTTGTCACGGATGGTGGCCTGGAAGGGGTTGTAGTTGGACACGTTGGTCACGAAGCCGCGAATCTTCTTGCCCTCGCCGGCCAGGTTGAACACGGTGGCGAACTCCTTGGCGGCCAGAGGCAGGTTGTCGTCCCAACCCAGCCACCCGCCGTGCGCGGCGTCGAGGTAGAGGTTCACATTGGGGTACTGCAGGTTGGCAATGGCGTAGGCAATGCCCTCGCGGTACACAGGGGCGGCGTTGGCGCAGAACTCGACGCCCAAGTTGGTCACCAGGTTGGCGAGCGAGTCCGGCTCGAGGACGATGGCGAAGTCGACATCCTTGGCGGCAGCGACCTTCTTGGCGAAGGGCGTGACGTACTCGGTCTTGTAGAGCTCGAGGCCATTGTTGGCGCTGCTGAACTCACCGGCGCTCTCGCCAGCGCTGCAGTCACGGTCGGGGAGATCGTAGAGGACCAGGCCGATGATCTGCTTCTTGCCCGTCTTCCGTTGCGCCTTGCGAGCGGCCGCAACGGCGTCGTCGATGTTGGTGAGACTGGCGCGGTCGGACACCCACACAAAGGAGCTCGTCTGCTGGACCTTGGAAGTCTTGGCGGCGTTGATGAAGTCGCCTTGCGACAAGAACGACTTCCGGGTCTGTTCCAGCTTAGTCGCCCACGTGGGGTTGACAAACTGGGTCTTGCCCGCGAAGGGGTTCCTAGGCACAGGAGGCGGCGGTGGGGGAGCAGGCGGGCTCGGCTTCGGAGGGCTCGGGGCAGCCGACACAGCAACGCCCGTTGCCAGGGCCGCGAGCACACACGACGCACGCATCACGAAGGACGGGGGCGAGGAAAGAATGTATGTGAGATGAGAGGGCGGGGAGAGCGGGAAGATGGAACAGCAGAGGGCTGGATGTTCGACTCAACGACAAAACAAGAGGGCAATTCTTCGATGGAAAGAGGAGCTTCTTATGCCACCATGACGGGCCATGATGCTCCGGCACGGGCTAGGCCGCGTCCCTTTGCTCCGCAAGACATGCCCAAAGTTGTTTATCCAAGCCTGTCCGACAAGGCGTTGTCGACTTGTTGAGCGAACTCAGCGCGGCCTGCCAAGTGTTTGGTTGGAACCTTGGAGGTGCGGCTCCGGCTGTCTTTCCGAAGATCCGCACCCGCGCCATCCCAAAGGAGCGCGATGCAAACAGCTCCGTTGCAGGAGCGGCTCGAGGAGGTGCATGAGGGCTGCGCGGCGGAGCCAGCAAACCAGGTTCCAAGCCTTCTAAAGGGCTTCTGGACGCTCACGATGTGACCTCAGATCCGGCAACCCGGCTGGCCGCCATCGAGCTCGCCATTTAGCGCCAGGGCGCCGGGGTACGCCGAAGTTCTTCACCCTTCCCCTTTTGTCGAACAATTCCCACGCCAACGCAGAGCCCGCAAGCACGCAAGAATGTTCGGCAGGTAGCGAGACGCGCTGTCGTTACATGGCTCTGGCCCTTCATTTACCAGCACCCTTTCAAGGGGTTCCGAGGGAACGCCGTCAATTTTGGCCAGCGGGACGGGAGGCTGCGCGTACATAGTATACTATGAAGAGTGCAGGTTGGCGACGGGCGCACGCGCGTGGCGGGCCGAAGTTAAGGGGGGGGGGGGTTGTTTTCGTAAACCCATCTTGTTCGGTGTTCGGCTTCGAGAATTGTTCGACTGCAGGGTTGTCCGCTTGAGAGAAGCCGATCGGAGACCGAGGCCAAGAAAAACGATGCGGGGCCGCTCGGTGGGGCACCCCAGAAACAGCGGGATCACATCAGAAACCGAGGACCTGACTAATGTGTGTCAAATGCTGGAACTCGGAGTCGGTCCGTCGAACATTCTTTGCTTGTCTTCGAGCCCGCCTTGCCCGCGCAAAAAAGAACATATCCCAACGACCACGGCCCACGTTCCACAACCCAATGTCCCCGTAACCCGCTCAATTCCTCGAAGCGATAGCCCCCGCGCAAATTGCGGAATCCCATCCCGCGGGCCGAGCCCCGGATTTTCGACATCGACCAAAACCCAAAAACAACATTAACATTCGCACCATGCCGGGGCCAGACGGAACACGGCTTCCGCCGTTCTACTCACCACGACCAGAAGCTGGGGACCACTCGCATGATGGCGACGTCGAACAAGCTGACTTCTTGGTCTCCGCACACAACCCCACTCTTGCAGTCGAACACCCACCCACGCCGTCTGCAGAACCGCAAACACAACCACCCCCCGATTCCCTCCTCTCCCCAGCATTCACGCCCCCCGCGACACCGGGCACCGCTACGCCGAGCCATGCCACGAGCGCCACCCCAAGGGAGCCGCGCGGTATCCCCGTAGACAGTACCGTCCCGACCGGTGGATGCGGCAGCAAGCAACCACAGCTGCTCGAAACGTTGCCAGAGGTCGAATGCGTCGTACGCGCCCGTATCCCAACTACCAGCGGGACTGAGATGTTTCTGCATCTCTACACGAACAATGTGGATAACAAGGAGCATCTCGCCATCGTGTTTGGGGGGCAGATCCGGAGCAAGTCGCTCGATGCCGTGAGGGAGGGGGAAACCGAAATGGATCGTCTAGTGAGAGGTGCATACACAGGCCGCCTATTTCCTGGGAGGACAACAAGCGGGCTCGACACAACCCCTGGGCCGGCTGATGGACAAGCAACGCCTTCGGAAGCACCACAACCTCCCCTGGTGAGGATACACAGTGAGTGTTACACGGGAGAAACGGTTTGGTCCGCACGTTGCGACTGCGGTGAACAACTCGACGAGGCGGCGAGGTTGATGTCCTTACCTGGCAATCAATCCGGCGGCATCATCGTGTACCTCCGGCAAGAAGGCCGTGGCATTGGCCTCGGTGAGAAACTCAAAGCGTACAACCTGCAAGATCTCGGGTCCGACACCGTCGAGGCAAACTTGCTACTACGCCATCCCGCCGATGCCCGGAGCTACGGACTCGCCACAGCCATGCTGCGTGATCTGGGTCAAACGGAGATTCGTCTCTTAACTAACAACCCGGACAAAATCCGGGCCGTGGAGGGGCCTCATCGGGAAATCGCTGTCAAGGAAAGAGTGGCCATGGTGCCGTTGTCATGGAAAGGAAGGGGAGGATTCAGAGCTCCTGAGGTGGAGGGTTATCTCAAGACAAAGGTTCGTTCGATCCGTATCCCGGTCCCCAAAAATAACCTAAGCTAACCGCACGGCCCTGCTAGATCGAGAAAATGGGTCATATGCTGGATATGGCCGGCTTGTCACGAGGAACATAGGGAACAAGACGGTTACGTGGTGAAAAAAAAATGTACACATGATACCTTTTGCATAGGCTCGGCGTCGTTTCTTGGGTTATTTGCATTGTAACTATTTAAAGTCCTGGCGGTTGTCACACTTGTATCGCGTTACGTAATCTGGAAACTTATCTGGTCGAACTCATCAAAGACAGAGCGACCAAGCCAGAGATTCATTCTTAAAGGAGTTTGACGAACCAAAGGGGCGCGGATACGATCCATCTAAAACCAAGCAAAGCCCAGAGGAAACCCCGTGGAAGAATGAAGGCTTCGATTCGTACTAAAAGACGGATATGCCGAACTGATGGTCCCAGTTACTCCTTGGCCCTGGTCCCAGGGTTAGGGTTACCACTCGCGCCGATAAGGTCGATAAGGATGCGACAAAGCTCCAGAACCGTCGCACGCGTCAAGGAGCGTCATGCCGCAATTTCGACGACGCGCAGCTCCGCGAATCTCAGTTGGGTCCCGCGACACCACCTCCGTCTAGACCATGCCATCCTGAATCCCGAAACGCAAACACGTGCGACCCGGCTCCAAAATGCGCGAAACCAACAACATTCGGTTGCGTTTGGTGGTCCGCCGCCACAGCCTCCCCGAGGTCCGGGTCGTTTTCCCAGTCCGACTGGACGCCGACCCCACCATCGCGAACCTCCTCGAGCAGGTGAACGAGATCATCCCCCTCGAAAGTAACAATTGGGGCCTTGAGGATTATTCGGTAGAGCTTCGCGACGCCGGCGGTCACGGATTCGACTGTTTGCACTTCCAACCAGTGTCACTCACTCTCAAGAACGACGAGGAGGTCTTGTCAGTTTGATAACCTTCTTTTCTCCGCGCCCCGACCCTAGAGCTAATCATTGATCCACAGCATACGCCCCCTCGATACTGGAGACCGACGCAAACGCCGCCTAACGGGTCGAGATCAGATCTCGACAGATGGGAAGCACCTCATCGACGGGATTGCGTTTGGGCGGCCCCGGCTCAGAACCCCCAGAGACCGGCCTGTGGTTGACATTCCGCCCCTGAAGCGCCGAAGAATCACATACGACAATGAAGAAGGGGAGATTGAACCACCGCAGTTGCTGCTTACCGAGCGTGGTGAGGTCGAGCGGCCTCGCCACACTGTCCGGTTCGATCTTGCCTCTGCCGAACCGGAAGAGGCCGAGGAAGAAGATGAAGATTTTGTGATTAACGAGTCCGACGAAGAAGACGCCGAAGACGACCTTGACCAAGCCGACCTTGAAGATGAGCTGCGCGATCTTCAAGCGGAGAATGAGGAGTCGACAAATGATAAGCGTTTGCCAGCCGCCGGAGAAGGAAGGCCGGTCGGCCTTGATCTACAAACTCTAGAAAATATTGCCAATCTCCGGGCTGCCTTCCCGACCGCCGGGTTTGAGGCGTGCGAAAAGTCACTTGCAAAGTCTGGGGGCGACGCCCGCAACGCATACTTGGACCTTCAAACCGAACACCGGCCGCGTGTGGCGTTGAATGACATTCTCCCCGATGCTCCAACCGACGCCGCAGCAGCCGAAGATGCAGAGGACGAGAGTGATGCCGAGTCCGTAGCATCTATGGTTAAACATTTCGACCAACACGGTTTCCCGAGTGGTTCTATTCTAGCAGGGACGGCAGCCGCTCAGATAGCAGAAGTTATGCGGCAATCGGGTCACGCCGTAAAACTGCCGGTGCACACCAAGTTTGACGAAGATACGGCCGGCCAGGGACCAACCCCAAGAGAAGAAGCGGCGGGCGAAAGTGATGCAGACGCCGCCGCCGCCGCCGACGACGACGACAGCGAAAGTTACCACGAGAGTGATGGTGGAAGCGAGAGCGGGGACGAAAGTGATGACGACAGTGAGAGTAATGATGGGAGTGAGAGCGATAGCGGCCCAGAGGTTGCATCTTCCAAGCTCCCCGGGGGTCCTGGCGCCACGCCTGATGGCGATGTGACCTCTCCAACTTCAGAGGAGAGCGACCATGAGGGCAATGACGATGAAGACAGCAGTGAAGATAGCGATGATGAAGCCGCCAGCGGTGACGACGGCGAGAACGAGAGTGATGAGTCTGAGGACTCCAGTCAGGCGGATGGCAGTGATGTGGACGATGAATCTGACAGTGATTTCGACAATGATAACGCCTCTGGTTCCAATACAAATGAGGATCCCGACGACGTTAGTGGCACCTCGGAGGGAGCCCCGGATGTTGATTCCGAAGACAGCTCCGCGAGCGGAAAAGCGAGTCAAGAGTCGGAATCGGATGATGATTCGTCAGATGAGAGTGCAAACGATACAACAAAACCGATCACAAGTCCTGCCAAGACAACCCAAGCAAGGCCCCTGGAGGTGCAAGACGACAACAGGCTGGGCCCCGCGATGCGCCCCGCCGAACCCGGGATACCAGTGCCACCAGGACAAGGGAAAACAGCGACCAAGAAGCGCAACGCTCGGCGAAGGCTGGCGATTGCTGCGAAGAAGGCTGTAGCCCGCGGAGAGCTTTTGCTACCCACCAGCGAGCCCAAACCGCCACCCACGGCAGAACCCATCAAGACTGTGCCCTCCTTTGCAGATAAGAAAGCGGCATTACTTAAAGTGTTGGGTGCCATACCGATGGACGCTTTGGAACAAGCACTGTTACCCAACGTTGACACCAATGGCCCCAGCCAACCGCAAAAACCCACGGATGTCACCCCAAAACCAGACTTGACACAACAACCCGACGAGAAACCAACCGTCGAGGTAAACCCCGACGCATGGCGGGACAAGATTGTGTATCGTGCGGTCGAGTGCTGCCAAGAGGGAGTCGAACTGAGCGAGCCACCCTTCCCATTCGTTCAACGTTGGGACCCTCAACAGCAGTTCTTTTACAAGCATGACAGAACTAGCGGCGGCCGTTCGAAACGGAAGCAGCACGATCAAGACGTCTTTGTCGATGGAGGAAAGGCATCTGGCAAAAAGAGGAGAAAGTCTAACTGGGATTCGTCGTATTATGAGACCGATCGCGATGATGAGCAATCTTACACCAACCCTGATGATACCGTTCTCAACTACGACGATGAGCCTTCGGAGCTGCAAGCACCGGGACAGAGTTGGGAAGAAACGGAAGGGGTACAAGAGGAGGACGACCTGCCAACCCTTCCGCCCGACGTCACGCATCTTCCGCTGCTCGCTCCAGGCAAGGCTCGACCAGGGATGATCATCACATGGAACCAGTGGCTGCTTTCCAAAGGGACAAATTGGCAACCTCAAGTCTCTCCCTTGACCGGTGTTGTCGTTGAGGTTTTCGACGATAATCAGCTCCAAGTCCGCCTGGCAAAGAGGGATAGAAACCTTGACCGTAACGAAAGGACTTATGATGACGATGGGAACCGGGTGTACGACAAGTTCGAGTTGCCGGGGGCAGACGAGGACAGCGAGGGCCTTGCCGAGGAGGGGTACCGGGACCTTGACTTCGCGGACTTGATCGAACCTCGCATTCTTCAACCGGTCCCTGACACCGCTGCTACCGGAGTCTCGGAACTGCCTTGCGGGGTTCAAGATAAGGCAATTCCCGAAGGCGAGTTGCCTGATGTCGAGCATGGAGCTGAGGAAGCACAACTGGGGAGTGACAAAAACGGCACCGTCCCCGGTCCTATTCCCCAAATCACTCAAACGAACCCCGACACTCCAATCTCGGAGGACCGCCGGCATGAGATCAGCCTTCTTATCAACAATGCCGGCTTTCGAAAAGATGTTGACCCTTCCGTCGCCAAGATGGCCGAAAACGACCTCGATCTTAGCAGCCCTTCCAGACAGCTCGAGGAGATGACACACGAAGCAACCCTGCTTTCCCAAGATCCAGATTCTCTCGACGAAAGCAATCCAAAACTGCCGTCTGAAATTCCGTCGCATGACCTCGAGTCCCACCCCACCGTCGTCTTTGAACCTTTCCACGGCTTCTCGGATGCTGCGTCGGAAGTTCCTACTGAGCGCCAAGTTGCTTATCCCAAATTAGCCCTTCCGCCCTCTGAGACCGACAGTATGCCCAGCGGGCGGCGGCAGGTTGACCCAGATTTTAGCATCGACCTGGGCGGTGACTCGTTCCATGATCCCGAAGATCCTACCCTCACATCTCGCTCGACTATCGGTCTCCACAACAGCGATGAACTGGATCTACCCGCACGCAAAGCCGAATTTGATGCCGAATCGGATGCCGAATCGGACTTATCTCTGAGTGACATATGGGGTTCGGCGCCACCTCAGTCATCCAAATCTCCCAATAAGCGCGTCGCACCTACCATCTCACTCTCGAAACGAAATGTTGCTCCAGATCCGGAGTATGAGCGAGCGATGCAACGTCTTGATTCCGATGATATCTCCGAGGCTGACGACAATGACGACCGGGAAAACATGTCGGAGCTTGCCCAAAAGCTAGTTGACAAACCCATCGTCAAACCATCTCCAAAGAAGCAGGATCCAGGTATGCCGAAGAAGACAATAACCCGGATCAAGGCGGAACAATCTTCCCCGCATACTGTGCGACTCCCTGGCCCCAGCCCGAAAACGACAGGCAAGAGTGGCTCACCGTTCGTCATCCCTCAGGGATCCCAGGTGGTCTCGCTCCTGACTAGCAGCCCGGAGCCCGAACTGGAAGAAGACTACGCGGAGGATAGCATCGACGAGACGTATAATGAACCCGACATGCCGACGGGGGCTGGTTGGGTTCGGAAATCAGGTACACAACGCGGCGCTGTGCGTGTTTTGATGTCGCCATCGACGAAAGCCGCGTCTGGGGCTGCGCCCGCATCGAAGCCGAGCGCCGATAAGAAGACGACCGCGGTACTGAGCTCATTACTTCGGGCGAAGAAGAAGGTCTTGTCAAATGTGCTCTAATATACTTCCTAGGCGGGTGGTCTGTAGCTACTATCTACTCCACCTATTACTAGCGGTTGCTTAATTCAATGACATGGATTCTTTGACACGTTGACTTCCGTAATAATGCTTACCTGTAACAGCGTGCAAATTCAAGACATTGGCAGCCACACGATCGCGGAAGCAAACGACGGGCAAGGTAGTGTGGGATGAGTGCCTAGTACCTCGCCATGGGTTCACTCGTAGTTATGGGTCATCACCCACTTCCCTGTGCGGCAGGATGGTGGAGGTCAGTCTCGGCGGCAAAAAAGTACATCTGCACAAGATTGCTCGGGAGATAATAGGAGGAAGGAAGATGTGAACACCAATATCTTTGTTCGTGATACGGGCTGTCGAGAACGGCGACCCGGCCTAGCGGGCCGGTCAAGTAAATCTGGGAACAAGTCGGGAACCTGGGCGACCGGAAGTCTAAATGTCTTCCAGAACCACGAGACCCGCTTGCCCCGGCTGTCAGCATTCCAACCCCATTCCGTTACGCCCGCCTGCATTAGATGTCCTGGATGCGATGATGTTGACAATCGACGACGCCTTATATTGTGTAACAGCAGCCCAGGGTAATGCATAAACCCATCGTCCCACCAAAGCCCGTAGAATAGACGACGCCAAAGAAAATTTCCAGCCGTTTATTTCTCCTTCTTGGGCTTGGGGCCCTTGACCTTCGCCGTGCCACGGAGGGTCTTCTGCCTGTTCTTGCGCTGCTTGCCTGTGTTTGGGAAAAAGTCACTGTCAGTGCCGCGTCTTGAAAAAGCAGATCCCAGCCAGCCCCAATAACCAGAAAAACGTACGTTGCTGCCTGCTCGCGCGCTCGATCTTGGTGGCCAGGCCGACGCGGACTAGCCTGTAGTGAGGCTCGAACTTCTTCATCGCCTCGGGGGAGTCATAGACGAGAGCGAAACCGGTGGTCTTGCCGCCACCGAACTGAGTGCGGAGGCCAAACACGCTGACCTGGTCCTTCTGGGCCTTGTAGAGACCGGCGAGCTTGTCGCGGAGCTCCTCCTTGGAGATGTTGGCGCGGTTGGGGTGGAGGATGTCACTGTACACCAAAGCAAACGCGTCAGTCGAATTTCCCATCGATCAGCAGCAATTCAACAGCAAGGTTCTCTCTCAGGCCTCCGCCAGACGCGCTTGAACGTTCCGCCGGCCGGTGTAATGCCGTGGCCGTCGAGCCGTAGCAATTCGTCGCGCGCCTGTCGACAGGCCAGAGAGGGGTTTCGCGGGCGGGCGGATTGGGAGGAGACTCACACCACCATCTGCTTGCGGCCAAGCAGGGGGTTGCGAATGAACTTGCGAGTCCGCAGGGTAACGGGAGAGTCGGTGTCAGCCATCTTGGCGGTTTGATGCTGTTGGCGATAACTTCCAGCGATCTCAAATTCCGGGGGAGGTTCCAAAGCGATTTTCCCTTTGGTGGTGATTTTTGCAGGGTGCTCCGCAGGGGTGGAGCATGAAAAAATCCGGTTCCGAGCGACTGTGTGTGAGCCCTAATCCGAGTGGGGCCTCAATTTTCGGGCCAACATGAAAGCAGCAATCTGCGCACGGGCCATGATTCACACCTGCCGAGCTGCCTTGGCGTCTGGAGTAAACACCTCGGAAATTCCCAGTGCCCGATCCTTCATTACTTGCAGAGAATCCCAAAACATCAATTAACTATAATTTCTTTAGTCTACAAATGTGTATGGGGGCAGCATCGCTATAAAATGGTCCGTTCTGATCCTTTTTTGGCGGGACAGGAAACGATTCGTAAACAACGTGGAACCCGCGTTTTTCGCAAACCTGGAGAAAGCTCTCGAATGTCGCCCGGTTCCTTTCCGTCGCCGCAATGAGAATGGACAGCCCTGGGCGAAGATTCACAAGCTCCTGGAGAGTCACAGCCAGAACCGGGATTACACTTGCGTCGTACGTAATGTCAGCGCCCACAACCGTATCCAAGCCCATAAACTCTTCGTCGAGCTCGCCCGCAATCAAAGCGTGACCCCATTTCAATTGCATGGCCGAGACCTTCGACGAGCCCTGGAGGCCGTTGAGGAACACGCTGTCAGCCAAGTGATTGACCACCTCATCCGAGCCGTCCGACGCGATCACATGATGCGAGTCGAGATACTTGGCACAAAGCACCGCCAGGTAGCCTGTCCCAGCGCCCAACTCAAGCACACGCTTGCCCCTCACCAGAGATGGGTCGAGACAAAGGTACTGCCCCAGATGCAAGGCCGCCTCCCAAGTACGGAGGCCGGTCGTTCCCGATCCCGAGATGAGCGATCGCGACTCAAGAAGCTGGATGTACGCTGGGTCTGGTGTCATGGAGGGTTGGAGAAGGGAAAGGTGGTACACCACATGGCTTCTCTGCTGCGCAGACCAGATCTCGGACGGCAACGGCTGGGAAAGGAGCTGCGACAGCGCGAAAGTGAGGCTATCCGAAATACCCTGCACGATTCACCGTCAACAGGATCACACCACCCGTAAATCTGTCGGTCGCGGCTTACATGTCGCTCCCAGTCTTCAATGGCCGATTCGATCCTGGTGATCAACTCTTTCAGGACTTTGACCTGGTACCGCAGTGGGGGGCGTGAGGCAATGGCGTCGCTAAAGACTCGTTGATATATGGTGTCTTGAACCTCTTCTTCGCGAAGCAGTTCGGGATCTGGGAAAATTGGAGTCTGTTCCAGCTGCAGGTTCTGCCAGCAAAACCGAGATACCTGTGGGTGCGTTGTGGGCATTGTTGTTGCCATCATATCCCACTTAAGGCGTTTGGTTTGCTGCTTTCATTCGCAAACGTGAGTTGCAAGCGTGGTTAGGGTCGCCCTTGTGACCTTGTCGTTCGATTGGTGGCCGTAAAAAGAAAAACAGGGACGTTGCGGGGTCCACTCAGCTCGAAATCTGCATGGAGTCGCTGTAATTATTTATCACCAATCATTTACGGATCCATCCACTGGAGGCAACCGTCGGGCCTCGATTACAGTTGTATCTATGAACGACAAGGGGAAGAACGATGACCCCTGATGTTACCAAGCGGAATATCGTTCATTCTGCACCCATCAAATCTCCCCCCCAAACCCCCGTTCCTTTTTCTTTTCCCGGCGATGCTCACTAACTCCATAAGCTCTCATGAAAGCCATATTTTGCCAATGGGAAAAGGGGCAAAAAATTAGCCCAAACAAACAAAACACACTCAAACCTGCTAGCTCCCAGCGCCGTCGAGCGCTCACTTTTAGATTCCCCCCAATGCATGTTAGCTAAAGTCCCCCCACAGCCCAAAAAAGCTCACACGGAACGCCTATCGTTATAAAGGAGTAAAGCCAAGGTACCTAGAGACAGCAAGCCCGACCCTCTCCTCAATCTCAACCAGCCGCGCACCCGACTGGACTCCCGCCTGCGTCTAGAAACTTCGTGTTAGATGGGCTGATGCATCTTCGTCCGCTGTGTCACCAGGGCCTTGCAGTTATCAACCAATGGCGACCTCGAGTGGACTCGGACAACAGCAAAGCGAGGCTCTGCAGGGATGAATCGATTTCGGTGAGATTTGGAGCGAGAGTTTCCCATGGGGCTGTCGTCGGGACGCACACACTCTTTGTTCAGGGACTTCTTTCTCTGCCTTCGGCGACGGTTCACTAGCCTCTAAATCAGCGGTGGCCATCAAGAGCCAAGCTGGAGCTCAGTGGCGGTTTGCCACCACAAAATGCCGGCCATCTGTTTGTGAAACGATACCCGGGGCGGAAGCTGCAGTCGATAGAGATTGGCGGTGGCGGTGGCCCCCAGGGCTGGAAGGCGTGCCTCCCATGTAAGCTGAATGACCGTGTTCCATGTCAAAGGCCTGACGGTGACCTTGGAGTGTGTGCTCCTGCTCGCTAAAGATCCCTTCGGATGTCGTGTAGCTATCTGAATTCGAGCGGGAAGATGGCGGCGGATGGCTAGACAAGCTGCCGCTAGAAGCAGAAGAAAACGGGAGCCCAGAAGCCTCGAATCCACCGCCATAAGTGGCCGCCGTGGCGGCATCCGCGAGGTTGTTTATCGTGGGGTTCGAGGATGCGCCAGGGTGCTTGGCGGACCCTGGGTACGGCAAGGTGGTGGAACGGCCCGTAGGATTGGGGAGCGAAACTGCGACACCTGAAAAGGGGAAGTTGGGTGATTCGGAGCTCACGGATTGGGAGTGACGATGGAGCAAGCTTGTTCCCCCCTGGCTGTTGTACGTATCATCCGAGTCCATATACATGCTGTTAAACGACCCCGGTTTGCCTCGCGGCCCGGGAGCCCACGCGCTCGGCATCATCCCAGAGGGTTCTGAATTGATCACGGATTGAGCCGGCACGACCATACCAAACTCGAACTCATCCGTATACCCTGTCGCATAAGCTGGCATGGCGGGATAATATCCCCGCGATGCTGGCGTATAAGCATACCCAGGGCTGCCTCGGTATGAGCCGAGCACGTCCGCAGAGCCCAGCGAGGGCAGGTCCTGCTGGTACGATATCCCACCCCCAACCGGTGTTCGGCTAGCGTAGCCCCTAGCATCTCCAACGGTGTAGCCAAAATCACCATCTTCATGGCGCATTGGAGCTTCTCGAGATGCCACCTGGCAAGGAAAGCGTTAGAAAGTATGTCTGACCAGAGCTTGGCGCGAGAGACTCGTCAATCTTACCCTGAGGAACTGGCATTGGTCTACGCCGGCGTTCTTACAGTTTGAGCACGGCTGTCCCTGGCCAGGATCACCACTGCAGCGGATCTTCCGTTTGCGACAACGCCCACACTTGGCACAAGGTGTCAGTTAAATGTTAGGAAACCATAACTATGTGGGCCAATCTTACAGCCACCGCGATGCGCTTCCTCTGGGGTCCCGAGTCGGGGTCCGTTAGCTGATCTGCCATTGTGAGGCCCCGAGTGTCGTGTGAAGGGAGTTGAAATCGACGCTCCGCAGGCGAAGAAAAGTAGACGGGAGAAGGGCGGCTGTATCGTCGTCCGTCGTTAGTGCTGTAACAGGGCCGGGAAACCATCTCTCATATCCAATTATTGTTTCCTCCCTCCACTCCCGACGTGGCTCTCTACTCTAGAGCTGCCGGTTACTTGAGACGTGAAAACCGATCGAAATCAGGAATGGGGTCGTTGCTAGGAAGATGTGGATGTCCAGGCGCGGGAGGTAGAATGAGGCAGTGGGACGCCGATGACCGTCAATTAGATAAACGATTGGCGATGGCTTCAGGCGCTTGGTCAAAATCTGATGTGAAATGAGCAAGATATACAACATGACCAGGCTAGTATAATATGAACATTTCAATGTGCACCAGCGCCTCAAGTTGTCCTGTACTCCCGCAAACTGGCTTGTCTGCTGAACATGCACGACCCGGCCGAGACCATGCGGTGCCATGTTTGCTCCGTCGAAAAGCCGTTCGTCCTTGATATTTCTCCTTGAAAAGGAGATAAGACATACCTAATGTCGGAGAAACAAGAACCTCGCCGTTGTTTGGCACCAATGGCGTTTCTTCCTAGCGAGCCGTCAAGGGAGATACTTCTCCGCGATCGTCTAGACTCGGAGAAAGTTCGTTCAGTTGAGATGCGGGTTCTAAGAAATCGGTTCGACCGAGGGAAAGACACAAAAAGTTGTTTGTACTGCTGAACCGTAACGAATGAGGGCCAGCGAGTTGGTGGTTATCCCACGCAATGAATTAATAAAAAGTTCCCCCCTTGGGTTTCAAAACCATACCCAGCAAAAGGGAGAGGATGTGGAAAAGTGAAGCGATCATGGAGAACAGAGACGGTCCCTGTCCCTTTAAGGATTAATTAGCGATGTCCATCATGGAGGCATAATATCAAATCTGCCATGGGTTGCCATCTGTTTGCTCCCCCTTCCAGCTCAATTTTCGAGAATCCTCAGGGCATACTGGTCGCCCTAGTTAACATCATCGGGTTGTACAAACAGAAAACACCCGTAATGTACACCCCCAGTGACGCTGAAAAGCATTTTTTGTGTCGGGGTCCCCGTAATGACTGAGCCCCTCCCATCCCCCCCTCTCTTCCAGTCGCTGGTCAACGAAACTCTCTGGCCTATACTTGAATCCAACTAGTGGTGGTGCTTCAAGGGTTTATGCTTGTTCTCCTGTCGGATGACTGCAGACGTAGACACTTTTGGGTCTTGAAGCCAAGCTTCGGTCAGGACTGTTAATATCAATGGAACGACGAAATCATAATTACACCAAGATTACGGGTCTTCAATAACAGAACATGCTTAGGACATTCGCATCTAGAGTTCTCGGATAACGTCCTTTTGGGCGTATAGGGTTGTCGGCTAGTATTTAATTACGGAAACGAATCCTCCCGTTGAAAGTGCGGTGAAGCCTCACAGCGGTCGATCCGTCGTTTGGCCCGGTGAAATTTCGTCTCCTTGGACATGCATTATGGCTGCATATGGCCAGGTTGCTCTGCCAGCGCCTTGGGAAGGCTGGGGAAGGGTGGGATTTTGGGAAACTTTCCCGAAATGGTTCGTTGCAAGTTGCAACGAAGCATCGAGGTTCTAGGTTGGCTTGGCTACGAACGGATTGGCGAAAACAAAAGCGAAATGATCTTCAATGATACTGAAATGCGTCTTCAGCATGAGTAAAACAGAAAACCCGTACACAAGCGGAGCCAAAAAGAAACAACCCCCCTCGAATAACTGCGAGCTGTGTGAATCGTTACGTGGCGCTCTTGGGGTTGCAACTGAACGTTAGACAGTGCAGCGTTGGCGCTGTGTTACCGTTCAATACGTTAATTGTTTCTTTCCGCTCATACCAACTACATATGAGCATGCCTGGGAGACAAGATTTAGATACATCCGAACTCAAAAGTTCTCAATAAGTGGGGGCGGTAAAGAAGTATGAGGCAAGTGACCGTTAGTGGACCTCTCGCGGGGCAAGCGTCCAGTCCCCGGACTACGGGACCGAAACGGCCGTTTGTTGCGGCCTTCCAAGGACGCAAAGCTAACGAATCAGGTTCAGAGAACTTGTCCAACGAACCCAAGTGAAGATAATTGAAAGCTAAATCTTGATTGGCAAGCAATGTGGGCGGGGCCGCAGACGTCCCGGGCTCGTCCATAATTCGTTTCCCACCCTCCAACAGGAATGCCAAACACTGTAATGATGCGGGTCCGTTGCTGCATATGCAATGTTTGACCTAAATCGTATTCACGAGTCTTCGCGGCAATGTCCACGGTGAGTGTGTTTTGTGCGTGGCTACGTACTAGGGAAGGGAGCTGTTAGCATAATTCGATGGACGGGAAAGGCTGGGCGAAAAGCAGACAAGAGTTGAGTCCTTATTGGTGTTATGTCTTTCATCATTCACCGTATAAAGGCGATATTATAATGAAGCGTCAGAAAAATTATGATTTTATGCGCGGGCATAATGAAACCAACTTATTAAACCAAATTGTCGAAGGCTGCAACTGACCATGGGTATGAAAGGGTGCGGACGATGCAGGTGAACTCGTTCCTTTTCGTTTCTCTCTCCGGAAGGCAAGCCATCCGATTTGACAAGAAGCCCTGGGGTTTGGAGACGTTGGTGCATTTCGTGCGTTGGAAACGGTAGGGGCGGCGGCCATCTGCATGCGCTGCAACTCCAACTCGTGGCAAGGCGAGGAAGGACCGCGACTATTGTGCTCTGTAAATTATATTGCGTACAAGTCCATCGTGTCACACTAGACTCCCGCGCCCTGCTTCTCGCACTCCCCACGGGTTTCCGAGATCTGGGGCTCGGTCCGGACTAATCATACCTATCAACCCGAAGAGCGTGTTGACGGTTAACTCGCGCTCTGCTGAAGAGGATGTGGCGGGGAAGTCCACTCTGTCCCGCCTGAGGAGAGACGGACACCGAGTCTCAAACCAGAGATATCCACCGTTAAAGGGTAGTTTGACGTCGGGGTAGATTAACGACGGGGCACCCCGCAACAGTGACCCGGCTCTTGGGGTCTGTCGATGTAGCTTCCTGCGTTTCGGGGTCAGCCCCCGATTTCCGTGCCCGTTCGATCATCTGAGCGGCCCGGTACCTAAGGAGGATGGGTACATAATACATGACAACAGTCCATGGAAGGGCGACCCGATGAGGAAATAACCCAAGTACAAGCCTCAAGGGGTCAGCCATCGGGAGTCCGCATGCCTCATGACAGATCCGCCATCTGTCAAGGCCGTCGGTTGGTCCATCAACCGGGCCCTTTAGTGCAGCTGTGTTCCCGCCAAGTCCGGGCTGGAGACTGGGGGACTACGTTGCAGTTGCAGCTCTTATGCGGCGCTCAGGAGGGACAAGCAGGAGTCTACACATCACCAGAATGATAACTTATGTAAGCCGTGCCAGCGCCGTCGCCCCTAAGCATTCCTATGCAGACTGGAGCGGGATGGCAATATTCACATTGGCGGTAGCCCTTAGGCCCAAGAGAGCGGGGGAAATGGGATAGTAGCCGCATCGCGGAAGTTGCCATATTGGCGTAATTTATGACCAAACGGCGTCAAGATTCCGTCCCAGGCCGTTGTCGAACGCTGTGATCTTCCTAGGGCTGAGGTAGAGCGAACGGTAATAAGTGTAGTAGGAAGATACGGAAGCTAGGCTGACTCGAGGCGCCGAGCCGCCCCCATGCTCGCGGCTCGTCTCTACGTCCCGGGCGAGAGACAACTGGGAGTCGCACGAAGACAACCCGGAAGGTCCCTGGACGGTCATCTTTGCGCGATAAACGTCACTGCCCCCAAGGATGGGCCCGCAGAGCATCTGGGCATATCCCAGTCACCGGTCCATCACTGGGTGGCACGCGTTGCGTATACCGGCCACTACGCGAGGTTGCACTGAAGTTGACGAGGATTGACAAAGAACAGAGGAAGGGGCCGTGGGTGGCACGCTTGATGCTCAAGCCTTGGTCTTCCTCAGCGATCTTAGAACCAGAGACAAGAATGATCTGGGGTTGCGAGCCCGATCATCTTGTGTTTATCAGACATCGACATCGACATCGACGTTGAGGCTAGAGGTTGGTGCAAGATCAATGTGCCGTGGGCGTCGCGGAGGCCTTGGTGAGATGTACGGAATACCTCCGTAGGGGACGGGTGTTCGTGACGGTCATTGGGTCGGGGGGCGCTCCGCATCTGCTGCGTGTCCGCCAGGACGGGCCGCGGTCGATCTCCGTGGCCGCAACACGGAATGCAACGCAATATGGCTGCAGAACAGAAAAAGAAAACGAAAGGACGGGGCACAGAAAGAAAGACAAGAGAAGACAACAGAAGAAAAGAAAAAAGCAAGAGGTAGGAATATGGACAGGGGTGTCAATGATGCTACAGCTCGAGCAAGGGGGGGAGGGCAAACACTGAGGCGACATTTCGAGACCATATTCAGATTGGCGAAGCGGGAACCCACACGCTTCCACGATTTCTGTCCGTTGATATTTGCAAGACGGGGCACAACAGCGGGACAATTTGCGAGGTGCATGGAGGTCCTCCTTCCTTTTCCCTCCAGATCAAACGAGGTCTCGCTTCTCCGCACCCACACAGGAAGGGGGACCGCGGAGAGGATTCCGAGAGACGTGCATCGGCGTGGGGTGGCAAAGGTAATGCGGTGTAAAGACCCGCTGGTCGGTTGACAGCCGCGATGGCAAAAGACGATGCGGCCCGAGCCCGATGACTATGAGTCCCAGCTCTGTGAGCATCCGTTTGAAACACATATTCCGGGTGGTGCAATTAATATGGACCTTCGGGATCCTGCCTCTGGTGACACACGTGGGGGTTTTGCGTGCGGTATTTAGATAACAGCACTCTGGGGCTAGAGAAGTGGGCAAGGCGAGGTGGATGTCGTCGTTGTTGACAAGGAAAGCGCGGTGATTGCAAGGGACGGGGTGTTAGACAGCGACAGAGGCCATCCCCGCAGCTTCAGCCCGCCACGTCAATAGATGGATCTCGTATCCAGCCAGCGTAACGAATTTCGTTTGTCCTAACCCGACCTGCAGCAAGTCGGAGATGTCTGCCCATCGGGATGGCATGTATGGCATTGTGCTTCAGGACTGCGTTCGCGGTTTGGCCCCAGGACTCAACGCCTGAACCAATGAACGGGGTATCTGGTCCCATCAAGGGGGTAGAACGTACTTCGTACCGTGCGAGTCTGGGTGAGTAATTCGGCCGCGGAACGGTTTGTTTATCGCGAACGCAGGGCTGAAACAGTAGAGGGCGGAGTGCAACTCCGCCGCCGGGAACAAGCTTAGGCCGGACGCGCTGAAAAATGAGGAAATGGGGCATTGGCCACAGCGCGAAAAGTGCTATTTATTTATTAGACTAGGCCAGGCCATAAAGTGAGATGACGAGGAAAACTAACCACAGTCCTGCGCGACGCCTTGAAACATGACGAGCCCAGAAAGCAAGTAACAAGCGGCAATTGGCTTTGGACCACGTTGCGGGGATGTACTCTTCGATCGCCACAAGATGCAAGCAGGCGCCCCCAAGGCTGAGATGGTTGGATGGCCACTCACCTGCCCCGATCGCCCCGATAAGCTTCGTGAGCTCGGCGCCTGTCAGGTTCTCGATCGCGATCAGGATCTCGTCGATCCCGGCGGGCCCGATCCCTGTCATCCCAGGCTTTCCCGGCGGGTGGCTGCCGGCCGTCACGATGGTCTTGGTACCGGTCTCGCCTGGGGCTCCGGCTGCGCCGACCCGTCCCCCGTCTCCTGTCGTCGGACCTGTGTCTATCACCATACCGATCCCTTTGCCGATCAGATGGGCCCTCTGTCCGTCGAGATCCGTCATGCCGGTCGAAGTCCCGGTTCCTTGAACTTGACCGGGGTCGTGTACCTGCGGAATCATTATTGCGCCCATGTCGCCCACGCAAGTCCTCCACACCGTGAACCATACGATATTCGTCGTCATCATAGGGCTCGACGTCCTCATTGCGGTACTGGCGGCGCTTTTCCAACTCCTTGACACCGCCCCATCCGCCACCGCCACCACGCCGGGCCGCGCTCTTCCGTTTGGTGTTGGTCTCGTTGCGCCAAACTTCGCTCAACCGGCTCACGCTCTGACTGAAGTCGACGTGGATGCGCCTGTCGTCGATGAGCACCGATTCCATCTTGGAATAAGCGTCTTCGCAGCTCTTTCGATCCTCAAACTCAATAAACGCATACTGTAGACTATCGCCCGTCTTTTGATCGCGAATCACCTCACAGCTAAGGATCTTGCCGAAGCGGCTGAAGATGAGCTCCAGGTCTTCGTCGGTGGTAACCGGGTTCAGTTTGCACACAAACAACACATTCTCCGGCGGCTTAACCTCGGCAAAGGGCAAATCTCCCATCATCTCGAGCGTCAGGGCTTGGGCTGCGGCCTCGCGCTCCTTTCTCCGTCTCTCTGCTTCCGCAGCGGCTTCCTCATTGGCCTCTTCGTCGAGAAGCTCTTCATCCTCGCCAATGCGCACCGTCGCAAGTTGACCTGCTGTTGGAGGTGGTGAACTGCTCGGTTCTCGCAACCCGGCTGGATCGGGATACGGGTCATCGAGGACCACGGTGTGCTTGATGCGAATGTCGACCAAGGGATATCCACGCTCGTCGACGATGGCATCGTTAATTTTCTCCAGAACGTCAAAACCTTCGACCACTTTCCCGAAGATAGCTGCTTTGCCGTCCAAGTAGTCCGTGTTGTCGCCGAGTGTGACGAGAAACTGGGAGCCAGCCAGGCGTTGGTCTGGGTCGGATGGATGTGGAACAGTGGCCATGCTCACGGTGCCTCGTTCGACATGGCGTAGTTTTGGGTGAAAGAGCGCAGGAAACGTCTTGTCGGCTGGCTCTCCCGAAAGGTATCCCCATATTGAGGTACCGCCGTCGGAGTGGGGGGCTCTGGGTCCGAGAGGGTCGCCGGTCTGGAAAGAAAAGGACTTCTGGACGGAGTGAATCGGAGAAAAGTTATAGTATTTGACCTTGCAGAGCTTGAGGAAACTACGGGGCAGAGGTCAGCTGATGATCTGATAGCCGAGCTAGATCGCGACTGCACGAATGTGCGCCGGGGAGTACAAGTTTGGGAAGAGAGGGTACCCACTTCTCGCACATCCTCGGCGCGTAATCGACGAGGAGATCGATCACAATGTCGCCTGCGCTAGTCTCGAGAAGGACGGACATTTTGGCGGCACAACGAGTGTTGCGAAACGAGGTGTCGAGGAGGGACCGATGGGTGGATGGAAGACGCGACGGGATTCCAGGTCTAGGTGGTTTATAGAACGGACCCGCTTTTTAGGAAATGTGGATTTTGAGCTCATGACACCTTTGAGGGTTAGGGTCCGATTCGTCGCAAGCCGCGAGTTAAAAGTGCCAAGGTCTAACATCGTCATCACTTTCACAGGGAGACACACCGAGAGGCTGGGTCAATGATAAACTCGCGTAGTCAATGAAGTCAGACAACCTGCACACTTCCTAGATTGAGATAGCTTGCCATGAAAAACAGCTAGTTAACAGACGGGAACCCAAAGCCCTATCCTTTTTGAGAACCAACCCAAACCCACCTTGCCATGCCAGGCAAATAAATACATTGAAGGAAAAGAACGGATCGAAGAAAGAAGTGAATGCGTGCCCGTCGACTGCCGCCCATCCCATCCCACCCAAAAAAACCAAATTTGCAAATGAGAATAAAGATGTAGCAGGGATCGATATTTCCTCAACCCCTGGAAGCAATATGTAAAAGAAGTGAATGAGCTGTAGGGTCTGAAAACAAGAATGGTAGTTGGTCGCTGTGCTTCAAAAATCACAGGCCTGGTGCGCTACGGCGTCGCCTGCCGCTACGTAGCTCTCGTTCGGTGTCCATGAGCCGGCATTGGACCCAGGTGCGAAACGTGCGGTCGCTGCGGACCGTTTCGCAGTTGAGCAACTCTGTCAACGCGCGCTTCATACCCTCGGCAACATCGCACAGCCTAGCCTCTTCAACAGCCACTTCGCTGTCGTGCTCCTCGGGGTGTTGGTGCTGATGATGCCCATCGAGCGAGCAGGAAGCTTTCCTTGCGGGTAACGAAAAGCTGGGTTGTGGTGACCGGGCGTCGTGTTGTTGCTGTTGGGGTCGAAGTGATCTGGGCGAGATAGTCCCGCGAGAAGGAGATGTAGACGGGCTGGGCGAGATCGGGGCGCAGATGGACTGCTGGCGAGCAGTCGGGCGTAGTTCGTCTAGGTGCTGCCGCAGAGACTCATGTTGCTCGTGGAGGAAGAGGTACTTTTGCAAAGCGAGATCTCGGCAGTGGTGCGGGTGGTAGGGATGCACCGACGAGGTGGGCGGTTCAAGTAGTGGATGCATCATGGCCACTTGGTTTGCCATTTCGATCATTGCTCCCAAGTCGGTTGTTGGTATTGATGTTCTGATGTTCTGGAGAAAAGAATCCTCCTTCTTTCACGTTCCCGGTAATAAACTGTGGGAAAAGCTCCCCTGGGTGTGTTTCTTGGTGCTAGGATGTAGGGCCTGTCGAACCATTGGAAAGCCACGGGGGGTGTTGGCCTCAAACTGATTCTGGATGACCACAATGGCTTGCAAACGGGCGGGAGTTCCAAGTCGGAAGGGTCGATCTAGATATGTCGGGAAAACGTGGGAGCTTGTGGGGAGGCGAGTGCAGCGTCTGTTTGCTGCTATGTAGGCGGACTGGTGGAATAATGGTTGCTTGGGTGGATGGAAGGATGGGCCTTAAAGTGCGTGCCTTTGTTCGTGTGGCTATTCGGAGTGTCGGCTCGGACGGTTGCACGCTTCTGGTCGAAAGAAACTGGAAGTTGAAAGGGTAAAAGTTGGCACGGCAAGGGAGCGTTGTCGGTCGGCTACGTGAGCGCCCGTTTCTTGCCCCTCCTCAGTAGAGTGGAACTGAGTCGCGACGGTAGTTGTGCGGTGGTGGGGCGGTCTGTTTCTGAAATATTGGGCCCTGTCGAGCCTTACTTTTGTCGTCTTCTTGGTCGAACCGTTGCGACCGTGTGCCTTGCGTAGTCGATGATCGATAGCTCAATGGGTTTGCAGCTGTCGGTGATCGTCAATCTGGCGTCACTCGATGCTTGTTACGGCGCCTCGGAGGCGGATTGGCCGGCAGTGGTGGAGACGGAATCCGGGACTGGGCCCGGGCCGCTAAGAAGGCATTGATCGCGGTGTACTGGGGAGTGACTGAACATTGGTAGTGTCGTTCCTAGCACTGGGATAGCAGCCCAAGTGGTTATTGTGTGATGTGCTGCGTTAGGACAGCAGGAAACAGGAAACTGGGCAGGGGAAAGCAGTCAAAGAACCTGAGGTACGAATAAAAGTAATTAAGAAAATCGAGATAAGCTCCAAATGAGGTGTCCGGACAGCTGCCCATTTCCAGACGCAGTTCCCCTCAGTTTACACACAATATTGGCATCGGGTATCATCATCTCAGCCGAAGGGGCTCCACGATAAGAGGGACTTGCAGGTTCCGTTTATGTCCTCCGTAATGTCGGGACTTTTGCAGCAGCCCATCCAGGAGGAAATCACAGCCATCTGCCTTCGGTAATTCGCAGTGGGGCTCTGGCCCCTCCCGTTATTTCCAAACGAGCTTGCAGTGGTATTGTCACTGAACGGTGCCTTGGCTCGCCTACGCAGGCTCGCAGGATTTCATTACCCTCATGTCAAGCTCCCCTGCAACCACGACGGCCACGAGCTCGCAAATGTGCGAGTTGCCCCAATCAGCAGCGCAAGCGTGAAAAGACAACGGCGCGAACAAATCTGCCAAGAAAATTGAGCTCGGGCCCAGACCAGGAGAAAGTGGACCCAAGAACCTCACGATTGACACGTCCCAGGCCCTGCGACCTCGTTGAAAGAAAAGGGGCCTGGTGACCATTAGCGGCCTGTCGCTGGCCAATTCCAGTTGCAGACCCTCCATCCTCGGTGAGGAATGATGCCCGATGAGGGTGTTTTTCACCCTTCCCGAGTCTGCCCCTCATCGGAAGCGGTCCGCGGTGCTCATCCAAAGCAGCTCTCTCGTGCTTGACACGAGCGGTCGAGTTGGACCTGCCAAAACGGTGCGCGAGAGCAAAACTGGGCTTCCATGGTAGGAGCATTTCTCCAAGGCCAGAGCTGCCTGATCAAGCCTAGATCCCGATCCCGATCCCTCACCCGCCAGCTTGCCGTGTCGGCAGGCGGAACCTGGGTAGCACCCATCATCAGTTAGTTATACGATAACTGGTACCTACACTACACGTGTAGTTGTCATCGAAAACACTCGGGAAGCCCAACCAATCTCCGTTCACGTCGCGGAACTAATAAATTTGCAAACAAAAAATCATGAGGTAATTGACGGCCTCCGTGTCGCACGGGGCGAGGGAACATTTTGGGGGAATTCAATGCATTCATCGCTAATCCTCTTGACTATCGTACAGAAACCCGCCCACGCCAACCGAATCGCAACCTGTCACCCTGTCTTCCTCCGCCCAAGCATGTGGAACAATCTGGGTGCTTATGGCGGCTCAACTCCAAGCATACCTGCAATCCCCACCCCCGCTCCATATCCGTGCCCGCCGTGTCATTATTATCGTGATCATCATCGCCGCCGCTGCGGTCAACATCAAAGCTCAAGTCAATATCACTCCCGTAACACCGAACCGATCCCAAAGTTGTTCTCAACCCCAACCCCAAGTGCCCGAAACTCTGGCCCCTCTACGCTCCCCCACTTCCTCCTCACTTTGCTCCCCCCCTCCCGCCGGCACCCCCCTTACCACTACTTATCGTTCTCTCAGACGTCAACCTCGACCATGTCCATATTGATCAAGTACGAGTAAATGGAGTGGTGAGGAATGTAGGCGTCATACTCCCGCGACCACCAGGCCGCAAACGAGCTTGGCTTAGGCTCAGGAGAGAAGACAATCTTGTCCGAGGTGAGCATCGCGATCTCGCCCGCCCCGTTGAGCTCCTCTTTGCCCTGTACTTCACCAAACCCAAGCAGCTCCAACACCCAGGCGCCCTGCATCTCCGCGAGCACGCCGACCGACACGATGGCGATGAACCCGTCCAGCGACTGCGGGTGCCGCCGCGGGAAGGCAAACTCCTCGTCCGCCGTGTCCGTTGCCTTGTCCAGCGCCGCGCACATGGCCGCCCCCATCTCGAACCGCCCCCGCTCCACGTACTCGATCACGTTGTCCAGGCACTCCTCCACCATCTTGCGAGTCCACCGCTGGTCGCCGACCGCCTCCGAAATGCGGCTCTGCAGCGCGTCATCGTTCCACTCTGCCTCCCACAGGAGCCGGGCCACATCCTGGGCGATTTCCTCGACTGTGCGTGAATCATTGTCATAGGCAACCCCACAGTCGTCAATCCCAGCGTCGCTGTAAGCACAAGCATAGGGATCGATTGCAGTGGTGCCGGTTATCGAGGAACCCTTCTCATCGTAGTGGTCGCAGTCGCCGCCTTGGTAGCTGTAGGTCATGGCGTCGTGCTGCGCATACGGCTCATGGTCCGAGTACATGGCCCCCATCTTGTCGTCGTACAGAAGCTCCGTATACCCATTCTGCTCTCCCCGTCGGCGGGTCATGCACCCCAGCATTGTGCGAACGGCGTCCATTGTGATGTGCAAAAAATGAAAGAGAAAAGTTGAGAGTTGACTTGAACTTTGGTGGTCGTGGACGATGTAATGCTGGAGTAGGGGGAAGAAGCACACAGCAGTTGCTTTGGTATGAGTTGTCTAGGAAAGCCGAGTAACTGGCTGCTGTGGGTGAGGAAAAGAAAGAAGGCCGCAACAGAACAGGGGAACTCCCGGATTATTTATCCACGGCCTCGACTGACAGTCTTCTCCCCTCTAGACAAACCTCTCAAAAGACATCAAGATGGCTCTCAGAGTCGCCCGGCAAGCGGCGTTGCCCCGGGCCGAAGAAAGGCGGCCGCCTCGTGGCGGGCCCGGGGTTGTCAATGGGGCTTAGGGCCGAGGCCGGCTTTGGCCACCCACCTCGACTCCTCGAAAGTAAGATCGAAGGCTATCAAGACTTCCTGCAAATGCATTCACATGATTGCCACCTTGTCACCGCAAACTGGCGATCGCATGAAAAGGCTAGCATCCTACAGACCTATTGATTGCCATCGTGGTGGCCGGATGACCAGGCAAACGTCTTCCCTCGATCGCCGTGGTTCATACCGCCAAGCGGCCGGTCGAAGTCGGCCGCGGCCGCGGAGGCCTGTGAAGGCGGAATGATTGCAAGCAGCGCCCAAGTCCTAGAGGGTGTTTTTTTCGCCTTGCCCCATCTATGGCGATGAGACCAGCAAATAATGCGGATTCTGACCTTCTACGAAAACCCAGCCCGGCGAAGTCCTGCGGCTGTGTGATGATCGAAAGTTCGTTGGAGGGGGCGCAAACGCACACATGATGTGGGGTTAAGTTTGCTCATGGAAATAGCGGGAGGAGCCTAGCAGGAGAGTAAACTCGGCGGCCTCGCGAAAATAGTCGAGACTTTGTCGCTCCAAGTCAGTTGTCCAAACGGTTAGGGAACAGATACCGCGCCCTGTTTCCGATGCGGTGCAATTTAGACGTCCAAGAACACCAAAATAATGGGACATGTGAATTCCAAATTAAGCGGCATCCATGAAGCCCCAGCTAAAGACCGCCCATCTCATCCGAACCGGCCAAATAAACATTGCGCAACGGTCTGATGCATCCAGTGCGCCCATCCTCCCAAGCAAAAAAACAACAACTCCAACCGTGTAAAACGCTTCGGAGAAAGATCAAAGTCAACAAAACCCCGGGCTTCGTCCCACGCTGCGTGCCGACGAGGGCGGCGAAGAAAATTGGCGTGTCAGGCCGGACCACACCTAGTCATCGGGCGTGCCAGGCCGGCTGCCCTTGTACAAGATAGCCCTCTGCCCATCATCTTCTTCCTGATCCTCCTTTCCAAACTTGGTCATACTGAACTCGGGCACCCTCCTCGTTAGGGGCCGCAGAAGCCCACTAGGGTTCTGCTTTGCCCTGCGCGCTCGTTCCGCCTCGCGCTCCTGGCCCGCAACAGCCAGTTCGGCAGCATCGTCCAAGCAGGTACCTTCAATGCTGAGGTAGCCGTAGTCGCCTGCCTGGCCGACGTCAAAGTTCTTAATGCGGAACCGTAGTTTCCCGCTGACCTTCTTTCCCTTCTCGTTGACCCAGTAGCCTGTTGTGTGGATCTGCTCCACCACCTGAAGCTCCTCGCCGTCAAGCATATCTTCTTCTTCTTCTTGCGTCTCCAGCTCGGCTCCGTTCCCTTCAGAAGCCGGGGATGCTCTCAGCTTGGCACCGCTTTTGGCGATGTCTACCCAGTTCCAACCCTGTGGGAGTCGCTTTGCTTCGATGCTGGCGTTAAACCTGTTCCAGCACACAACGCCAATATGACCTTCACTCTGGAGCTGCACGACACCTTCCATCCATTTCCCCCGGGAAGGGACAAACAACTCGGCATCAAATGTGAGCCAGCCAAACCCAACCGCGTATTCATCAATCGAGTGCAGGAGGGCGGGAGTCTGGTCTGTTGGCGGATGGATGGTGCTGGCTTTAGCCGGCCTGTCGGAGAGATTGAGATTGGCGTAGCTAAGTAGGACACCGCGGAGAAGAGGTGAGTAGTGGTTTAAAAGAGGGTCGAGGTGTTGCGCTGCGACGTTACTCAGAGGTTTGTCGAAGCCGACGGGGAAAAATGGGACGTAAAGCGAAATTGTTTGGGTGAAGAAGGGGAAGTCGTCGTTTGTTGAGGGATGGGGAATCGGTATCTGTGCGGCGGGCACATTCTGGAGACGTTCCGCTTCATCTGTCTGCTTGTTCTTCCGTTTCTTCTTTTCTTTCACCCCGTCTTCCTGGTCGGCGGGGTCCTCCTGGGCAACTTTCCTTGACTTCTTGTCCTTGCGCTTCTTTTCAGATTTTGGCTCCTCTTCTACCAGAGCATGTTCTCGTTGATCAATGTCCATCAGCTCAGGTTCGGCCTCGTCAGTCTCCTGTGCATGCTTGCTGGTCCTCTTGCGTTCCTTCTTGGGCTTCTCGGTATCGTTGACTTCATCGTGCCCTGCGTCGTCCTCGATATGCGCCCTCTCCTTTTTCTTCTTTTTCTTCTTAATGAGCTCGTCGCTGGGTGGTTGTGATTCGGAGTGCTGCGATTCTTGTGTATCCATTTCCACGCTCCTAGATTTTTTCGACTTTCTCGGTGTCTCCTCCACGATCGCCCCGTCGTCCTCCTCTCGCGCACGCTTCTTTTTGTGCTCCGACTTGGACTGCTTGTGTTTTTTCTCGAATTTTTGACTGCTTTCGATCACGGCGTCTTGCGACGGCCCAACGTCCGCTGCCGACATGTTGGGCAGCTCGTGTGGTCGTTTGACAATGGGAATGGTGTGTCGATGAGGCGACCGGTTCCCGCGTTGCCTGCAGAAAAAAAATATTTGGGATGCCGGCCGAGAGACCATTAATTGACCAATGGAAGGCTCGGTCTTGGGGAATAATGGTGGGGCAGATGTGGGGTTCCATCTCGCCCACCTGTTCCGCCGCGATCAACAACGACACTTAGGTGGTGGTATCGCGAAGTTTCATCCCACACCTCGACAGGAATTCAATGTTCGCGATATGAAAATGGAAACTATATCAGCAGCCTCTTGAAATTTAGAGCCGCGAGAAATTACGGTTAAAACTAATTCAACAGCTGTTTCCAACGAAGTCAAACATCCATGGGTCCAAGAGACCGAGACGAGCCGATTCGAAACCACGACGTACACTTACCACAGTATAAATTAAATCCGTGATTGCACTCCACTTCAAAATGTCCGAAAAGTTGGGCGATGCTCCACGGGCTCCGGTTTGGATTGTAATCATGCTTTCGGGTCGCGTGTAAAAGCCGGCGATATGCGGAGCTTCACCAAGGCGGGGCACAGATGAGGGGCAACTCGAACACGGCACCGCCTTCCGTCTCGGAATGAGGTCTTCGTTCCAGTCTCTGTCGTGATCCTTTCCTTCACGAATCTGTATTTGTGCTATTTAACTCCCTCTGGCGCCGCCACTCAATCTTGCTCCGATTTTCCCTCCTTCCCGTTAACTATCACGAAGAACTTGTCTAAACAACCCGGCCGAAGCACACACGACGGTAACATACCATCTTCTATCGAACTCTAATCCGCTTTCGCTGCTCAATCTCCCACAATATGTCATCTTTCACGGCGTCCAAGATCCTTATCTTCGGTGGTACAGGGACCATCGGGCGGTACATCACCACCGCGCTGCTCCGGTCGAAACCGGCATTTCAGCAGGTGGCCCTTTTCACGTCCCCGGACAGCGCCAAGCAAAAGTCGCAGCAACTCGAGAAATGGAAATCGGAGGGTCTCAATGTTATCGTCGGTGACTTGACATCTGAAGACGACGTAAAGGCCGCCTATCATGGCATCGACACTGTCATCTCGGCAGTGGGGAGGGGTGGTCTTCAACACCAAATTAACCTCCTGAAGCTGGCGGAGTCGTCCGAAAGCGTTAAATGGTTCCTCCCGTCTGAATTTGGCACCGACATCGAGCACAACGATAAGAGCCCGAACGAGCGCCCGCATCAGCTCAAGCTGCAGGTGCGCAAGTACATCCGCGAGAACCTGAAGCGCGTCAAGGTCACATACGTGGTTACTGGTCCGTATTTCGACATGTGGGTAAATGCTGGTCCTGGTCTCGAGGTGGCCGGGGGCTTCCTTCCGGACAAGAAGAAGGCCTATGTTATTGAGGATGGCAATGGGAAAGTTGGGTTCACCACCATGCCAGAGTAAGTTAACTAGGACCTTTTCAGCAATATGCAATCCCCCGCCCACCCCAAGACATAGCAGCTGACTAGGTTCAGTGTTGGTAAATTTGTGGCGGCTACCCTGAAGTCGCCGACAGAAGCATTTGACAAAGCATTGAAGGTGCAAAGCTTCATCGTGACTCCCAACGAGGTCCTCGTCGAGTACGAGACACAGACGGGTGCCAAGTGGGAGGTAGTAAAGACGCCTCTGGACGACATTCGGGCGTTCGAGAAGAAGCTTTGGGACGAAGGTGAGCCACGGGCCACGCTCGTGACCTTGAGGCGGATTTGGGCCGAGGGAGGCACATTGTACGAGCAAAATGGCAACGCTGTAGTTGCTCCGAAACTTGATGCGTTAGACTCCCTCGAGTCGGCGGTTAAGAAGGCGCTGGCTGGTGGTTATCAGAAAGACACCTTTTAGGTAATTAATGCCATCAAGGGCCATGACGAGTAAATGGACGTTTCCGAATACCTCTACAAGCCAAGAAGCTCTTGTTCATATGGTGCTCTTCACGGGGTTTACGTGATTTCCCCACCAGGGTTAATATTGACCCTCAATGACGTCGTAAGCAATGTCAAAACCGATTCATCAGCCTCGTTGGGTCAACTATTTCTCAGCAGCCAGCAGTACGCAGCGGTCGCGGTGGTTACGCTTTTCTTCTAAAAAAGGAAAAAGAGGAAAGGAAAAACAGAATAAATAGTTACGGCACTTTTAAATTTATTTTCCGTTTTTCGGGTTTCCCTCTTTCTCTAAGCTACCGAAGTTGAAACAAGTCATCATCCAGCCATGGCTATCATCGGTATATTTCCGGCTTCAGGCGCTCTCGGGACCAGCACTTACACTCATCTTTTGAAGCTCGTCCCGGGTAACGAAGTCATCCTCATCAACCGCTATCCTCAAAAGATCCCCCAGTCTCACATTTCTGCTGGCGTCAAGGTCCGCAAGGCATCTTTTGAGAACAGCCCATCCGAACTCCAGGCTGCTTTCTCTGGCATCGACACGCTTTTCCTGATATCCTACCCAAGCCATGTCCATGACTACCGCACCAAGGTCCACCTCCCGGCCGTGGACGCCGCCAAGGGCGCCGGTGTCAAGCACATTTTCTACGCATCTCTCGGATTCGGCGGCGACTACAAGAAAAGCTCCCGGGCGGAGGTGATGCAAGCCCATCTGGACACCGAGCGATACCTGGCGAAGCTTGCGAGCGAAGATCCCTCTTTCACGTATACCGTCATTCGCGAGGGATTGTACGCCGAGAGCACACCTATTTACACGGCGTTCTTCGTGCCCAGCGAGCCGGTCTCGGAGGACAATGGGGTGATACAAATTCCACATGACGGATCAGGCCCTGGCGTAGCCTGGGTCAAAAGGGATGAGCTTGGTGAGGCGTCGGCGCGGTTGATTGCGGGGTTCCATATCGCCGCTGCTGCAGGAGAGAACGACCAGAAGCGCTGGGAGTATGTCAACAAGACGGTTTTGCTCACGGGGCCGAAGGTTTGGTCTCTGGCGGAGACAGTTGCGGTATTGAGCCAGATTGCGGGGAGGGAAGTCAAGATCAAGCAGGTGTCGGTTGACGAGTATGTGAAGTTGCCCAAGGTGCTCGACAAGTTTGGGAAGGAGGAGTTGGCTAGGACGTGGGCGACCGCATGGGACGCAATCCGCGACGGCGAGACTGCTGTGGTGACGGGGGAGTTGGAAAAGATTCTGGGTAGGGAGCTGGAGGCATTTGATGTTGCCGCTAGGAAGCATTTCGGCCGGGAATAGACTAAGACAATGTGAAAGGTGACACCCGTCTCGCTCGCGCCCTTCCGATCTAGTATATATTTGTCTTAACACTGTTTTCCATGGCATGCGTAGCTAATGATGGGATCGGTTTGAGGCAAGGTTTAATAACATGGGCTCATCCAACCCTCTCTTTTTGTCTTCTCCCTGGTTTTGTTTTTTATCTTTTTAGCTTGGATCAGTCTAATTAATCCTTAGTATTTTCCTCTTATGCTTTTTAAAATTTAACGCCGAGCATAAACCGATTGTAAGAATAAGGCACCCCCCCTTCCACAGCACAACGAGACGGAAGACATACGAGACAAACACCTGTGGTGCCATTTTCGCTGTCCTGTGTTTCCTCACTTGGCGAGCTCTTCTCGGTCCTGCACGTTGTCGGCCCGACGAGTTTGGTGACATCGTCACCCGGGCCCCCGGTCGCCCGCAATCTGGGGGAAGTCGAGCCCGGGGCGTTGGATCTTGCGGGGATGAGAACGCCCGAGATTCCTCGTTGATTGGACAGATCGAACACATCGACCTTTGGCGGCTTGTCGCGGGCGGAGAAACTCCGACAGCAGCGTCACAGGATTGGATGGAGGTGCTGCCTTGGACTAAAACGGACGACTTTCCGTACAAGACTGACCATGAAGGGCCGATTTCGCCGTGTTTATAGGATCTTGTTGTGAGCGATTCGGGACAGGGGACAATGGCATGATGTGTATTTAACGGGCACTTCCCATCAATTCCCTGAAGAAGAAGCGATCTACTATCCTCACGCTTTGTTGTCAAGGTCTCACAGTAAGATGCATTCGCTAAGAACCTTCGTCCTAAGCGGCCTGTTAGTGGTCCAAGGGGCGTGTGCCTCCGCATCGAAGGACTCGTCTCTTGACAAATATATCAAGACCGGTATTGTTACCCCCAAATCCTCAATTTTGGAGACGGAGTTCTCCAAAGGGCCCAACTGACCTCGATTCAAACCAGAGCGTGCGATCGCTTTGCAAGGCGTGCTTGACAACATCGGACCGAAAGGCAAGAAGGTGCCCGGAGCAGCTCGTGGTTTGGTCATTGCCAGCCCTTCGACAAATGACCCGGACTGTAAGTAGGATCAAGATGCAGGGGGAGGGTTCTTGTTTATGTTGCTAATCTGACAGACTTCTACACGTGGACACGCGATGCTGCCTTGACGTTCCGAACGATTATCGACGACTTCCTTTTCGGAAACAAGGCGCTGGAGTCCTACATTGAGGACTACATCTACTCTCAAGCCGTTCTCCAAACCGTCAGCAACCCATCCGGGGCGCTGCTCCCCCACGGGACGGGTTTGGGCGAGCCAAAATACACGGCCAATGGCACACGATATAACGGCAACTGGGGCCGCCCTCAACGAGACGGCCCTGCGCTCAGGGCGATTGCGTTGATTCAGTACAGCAAGTACCTCGTTGCTCACGGCAAGCATGACCGGGCCAAGAAAGTGATTTGGCCCATCATCAGCAATGACTTAGCCTACGTAGGCCAGTACTGGTAAGACTCAAGATACATACCTTCGCTGATTGTGGCTGCATCTCACCGTTCACCTCGCTCACACATTGTTGTAGGAACTCCACTGGCTACGACCTCTGGGAGGAGGTATCTGGGTCTAGTTTCTTCACCACTCACAACCAATACCGCGCTTTAGTCGAGGGTGCTAGTATCGCGGCGACTTTGGGAGTATCGTGCGCGGGATGCGGGGAAGCGCCTCAAGTCCTCTGTTTCCTGCAGTCGTACTGGAATGGCAAGTTCTACACCGGAAACCTGGTCGAGGGCGGCAATGGTCGGGGGGGCGTTGACGCCAACACTATCCTCAGTCCCATTGCCGTGTTTGACCCAGCAGCATCCTGCGACAGCCCGACTCTCCAGCCCTGCCATTCGCGCTCTCTCGCCAACTTCAAAGTTTTTGTCGACACTTTCCGCAATTCGACTTTGTATCCTATCAACGACGGGATCCGGGCCGGCCAAGGCATCGCGCTCGGGCGTTATCCGGAGGACATCTACTACGACGGAAATCCGTGGTACCTCATCACTGTCGGCGCGGCCGAGTTTTTGTACGATGTCGTTGCGTCGTGGACCAAGAGCCGCGTCATCACCATTGACGAAACCTCGCTCCCGTTCTTCAAAGAGCTCTACCCGCATGCTAAGAAGGGAAGACTGAGCCGCGGCGATCGCGCGTACGCCGAGCTCCGGGACCGTGTGAGGAGTTACGCTGATACCTTTGTGGCCGTTGCCCAAAAGTATACACCGGCCAATGGCATGCTCGCCGAGCAGTTTCTCAAGTCGTCCCCATTTACGCCGATCTCTGCGGCCAACCTCACTTGGTCTTTCGCCGCCTTCGTATCGATGACCCACCGTCGCGATGGCCACTTCCCGGAAAGCTGGATCCCGAGGTCCGGACCCAACCAGCCCGTTGTCCCCGGCAAATGCAAGCCTGGGAGCGCAGTCCAAAGCGTCTACGCGCCAGCGACGGCTGCAGGCGCTCCCAATATCACTATCCCGTGCACTTCGACCGTCCGGTTCCAGGTCGATGCCTTGACGTACTACGGCGAGAACGTGTATGTTACCGGCAGCGGCACGACACTGGGCGATTGGGATTTGGCCAACGCGTACCCACTGCTGAGCAGCAATTATACCGAGCAGCACCCTGTGTGGTGGGCTGATATACCGCTCGAGATGGCAGAGGGGAGTGGAGCGTCGACCGTGAGTTATAAGTATGCGCGGCAGCAGGACTGTGGGCAGGACTGGATCGTGGAGGAGGCAGAGAGGTCGGTGAACGTGCCGGCGTGCCGGACTGATGGGAGTGAGGAAGTCGTAGCGGAGACGAATGATACATATGTCGGGAAGGGCGGTTCGACGGGTGGTTGCTGAGGGCCGTTGAAGCTTGGTCGAGCGAGCTGTCGCTGGGGGTTGGAAGTGAGGTGGCAGTGCCGTGGTCGTAACCAGATAACATTCGACGAAATACATTGAGGAGCTTTGGCGCTTTGAACTGGTGGGAACATCCATCCAAGCAAGACCCACTTCTTGATGCGCTTATGCAGTAAAGCCTGAAACGGAAGCTTGTCGAATTTAACACTATGCATAACGTTCGTTACTATGTAGCTATCCGGTGTAAGTGGGTCGGCCCGCAGCCGTCAGAGCTTCAGGTCTCCAACGAAGCTCACCATTTCATGAGTGGTTCCCCCAAACAAAGAAGCAACGACGAGGCTTCGGATTCTGCTGATTTAGACAGCCACCCACCTTTTACTTTCCACCATGTGTTTTAGTTAGCAACGCATCTAGCTAAATACTATCAACACCTTCACCATGGTCTCAGTTTTTGGGGATGTCACTCCGTATCTGGTGGTGATTGTGACGGTGGCTACACTCGGCCCACTCCAATTTGGTTACCATTTGGTGAGACGCAATCAGACACCCCACCGAGCTTTCAGCGATTTCTTGTATCGCTCTCTGACTTCGATTTGACGTCCAGGCCGAACTTAACGCACCGCAAGATGTCCTGACATGCCAGACGAAGTCGGTGTCGGGAACCGAGAAACCTCCGACCGGCACCTCGGACTGTATTCCCATGACCCCGGCCTCCTTCGCAGCGATCTCGGCCATATTCACGGTGGGAGGGCTTCTTGGGGCACTCGGCGCTGGCCCACTTACATCCCGCCGCGGCCGTCGCATCACGATGCAGGCAACCGCGCTGTTCTATCTCGTCGGGTCCATAATTGAGACTTACGCCCACTCGGTCCCGGTTATGATTCTTGCCCGATTCTTAACTGGAATTGGCGCAGGGGCCAGTACGGTTGTCGTTCCGTTATACATCAGCGAGGTGGCGCCGCCGACTAAACGCGGCTTCTTCGGCGCCTTCACACAAATTAGCATCAATGTCGGCATCCTCTTTACGCAGACCCTGGGCTTCTTCATGAGCCACGACAGCGCATGGCGGTGGATTTTCGGCACCGGCGTTATCGTGGCCGCAGCTCAAGCTGTTGGGTTGTGGCTTGTTCCTGAGAGTCCATCCTGGACGGCGAACATACAGGGCAGCGTGGCACGGGCTCGCCGCGACTTGCAACGTATTCGAGGCCGTGATGGTGATATCGAAGAGGAAGTGGAGACCTGGGATGTTGACGGCGGTAAACCCCCAAGTGAACAAGAACGGCTGCTCAGTGCTGAGGACATCGAGCCAGCCAACCCAGACGCTAGTTTGCTCTCGCCCGCATCCCCCGGTTCGCGGGTCCCCAAAGAACACCTGGGATTTGTCCAAGTTGTTCGTGACCCCGAGTACCGACCCGCTATCATTGCCGTGGTGGGTATCATGTTTGCGCAGCAGCTCTGTGGCATCAACTCTATTATCATGTATTCGGTATCGCTGCTCAACGGCCTACTCCCCGTGAGCTCGGCGATCGTGACCATCATTATCTCAGTCATCAACCTTGCAACCACCATCGCGGCATCACCGCTCCCGGACCGGCTCGGCCGCAAGGCCTGCCTGCTTGGGTCCATTATCGGCCAAGGGACCAGCTCCTTGGTGCTTGCCCTGGCGATCAGGTTTGGCCTCAAAATTATCTCGGCTGTTGCAGTTCTTCTGTTTGTTGCCTCTTTCGCTCTTGGCCTCGGTCCCGTACCGTTCATCATGGCTTCGGAGCTTGTCGGACCCGAAGCCGTCGGAGCTACGCAGTCCTGGGCACTTGGGGCGAGCTACGTCGCTACCTTCCTCGTAGCCTATCTCTTTCCGATTATCAACCAATCGCTGAACAATGCGCTGGGCGGCGCGGGATGGGTGTACTTTATTTTTGCCGGCTTTGCGCTCGTTTGGGTGGCCTTTGTGTGGAAGAATGTACCTGAGACCAAGGGAAAGCGGGACGCCGATGAGGTTTGGGGGCGAACACGACGCACCGACTGATGATTTGGCTTGGAGGAACACTCATGTATCACATTTTTGGCCGAGTCCGCAAACTAGAACTCAGGTTCTTTGGAAAGCTTTCCTACTCCGAACCATTCGCTCCAACAGGCTGATTCCTGCCCTCACGCCGTCGACGACAAGAAGCTCGTTAGCCCTTTGCGTTCCGTACTTGTCGGCGGCCACGGATCGGATGATTTCTTCTAACCCTGCCATGCCAGCACAGCCCATGACCACACACTCTACGTCCCCCCTTTCCAGGAGCTGGGCGGTTGTCTCCCGTAGTTTTTGCCGCACGAGCTCTGGGTCGATGCCGCCGTGAAAGTCGCCCGCATTGAGCCCTGTCGAATACACTCCGGCAAATTTAGAGTTTAGAACTCCTGATTCGATGCCTAGAAAGTCCTTTACTCCCTGCGTTAGGTGTTCCTCCCAGAATTTTCCAGTCGTTACAATTCCCCATTTCTTGCCTGGGCGCAACAATGATAGACAGCCAAGTACGCTGGCCTCGAAGATGCCCGTCACGGCCAAATTGCCAAATTCACCTTGCTTGTCTGCTAAGAATCCGACTAAGGGGTGTACACTGAAACAGGCGACAAGCACCGCATCGTATTGCAGCAGAAGGTTGGTCTGTTCCAAATCTTTCTTCACGACTTCGACGCTTGCGAGTACGTCGTTGCCGTCGTTGATGCTAGCGGGGCTTTGTTTCGGCGCGGTGTAAGTATGAATTACGGTGGACTAGGGGGGGGGGTTAGTGGCGTTTGTGTTGGAAATAAATAAGACTGATTATCCATACCGGGAATAACTCCATCGCCCTGATCCCGCCATCTAGGCCATGTGTCATACTCTTGGAGGAGTTTGGGTTTAGGACCAAAATCTTGGTCGTTCGCCTGACAATATTGACCGACATGATGGCGCGGGCTAGGGAACGTGAAGACTTTTGTGTTTTGTTTACAACCTTTTGAACTTGGGAACATTCATTCCGGGACAACCTCAAGGGTGAGAACTGGGAAGCTTGAACCTGCCAATCCCTGCGGGGTATCACGTGGAGCCGACCCCCCCTGTCGACTCCAGCCACAGCGCTGACGCAGTGAGCAGCGGGAGCTTGCTAGAGGTTTATTGAGGTGTGCTGCCAGGCGCAACCCCACCATCAACGTCTCCCATCACCACCTGGGCACTGCGTCGGCATACTTCATCCCCAACTTGCGGTCGATGTCCAGCTGGCCCCCGCCGCTAATTCCCTGTGCACGTTCGATCGATAGCTCAAACTAAGGCTTCCGCTGCTGGAGTAACAATGGCAAACCCTCCTCCCATAGGTAAGACAGACTATCTGGTGGCTCATTTGGAGAGATCAACTGGGCTGCAACTACAAGCGAACACCATTAGCGTCGTGCTAACCTTTGTATTTGCATTTTTATTCAGTTCTCGATGGCGGTACCGGCTTCCTCAAGGTCGGCTATGCCGCCCAAAACTTCCCCGAGTTCCAATACCCGTCCATCGTCGGCCGACCGATCTTGCGTACCGAAGAGAAGGGCGGGAGCGATATGGTAATCAAGGACATTATGTGCGGCGATGAGGCAGCGGCCGCCCGCACCATGCTTCAAGTCAGCTACCCTATGGAAAACGGCATTGTCAAGAAATGGGACGATATGCAGCACCTCTGGGATTACACGTTCTACGAGAAGATGAAGGTCGACCCGCGCGGAAGGAAGATTCTACTCACTGAACCCCCTCTGAACCCTCTGAAGAACCGGGAGCAGATGTGCGAAGTCATGTTTGACCGGTACGAGTTTGGGGGAGTATACGTTGCCATTCAGGCCGTGTTGGCGCTCTATGCCCAAGGTACGGATCCTCAGTGGGCTCTTCCTTTGGTTGCACCTGTCCTCGATTAACCAAGTTGCCTGGCATAGGTTTGAGCTCCGGCGTTGTTGTCGACTCCGGTGACGGTGTGACGCATATCGTCCCCGTTTACGAATCCGTCGTTCTCAACCACCTTACCCGACGCCTCGACGTAGCCGGCCGCGACGTGACCCGCAACCTCATCGCCCTCCTCCTTCGTAGGGGATACGCATTGAACCGGACGGCCGATTTCGAGACGGTGCGCCAGATTAAGGAGAAGCTCTGTTACGTTTCCTATGACCTAGAGCTAGACAAGCGGTTAAGTGAGGACACGACGGTGCTGGTGGAGAGTTACACGCTGCCTGACGGCCGAGTCATTCGCGTCGGGTCGGAACGTTTCGAGGCCCCCGAGTGCTTGTTCCAGCCTCACCTTGTCGACTGCGACCAGCCGGGAATCGCTGAGTTCCTTTTCAACACCATCCAATCCGCTGACGTCGATGTTCGATCGTCTCTGTTCAAAGCTATTGTTTTGTCTGGAGGTAGCAGCATGTACCCGGGCCTGCCGTCGCGTCTGGAAAAGGAGCTCAAGCAATTGTGGCTCACGAGGGTACTAGGGGGCAACCCGGAGCGGTTGAACAAATTCAAGGTTAGGATAGAAGACCCGCCGCGGAGACGGCACATGGTCTTTTTGGGCGGTGCGGTCTTAGCCAATATCATGGCCGACAACGAGAGTATGTGGATTTCAAAGCAGGAATGGGAGGAACAAGGTCCCCGGGTTCTGGAAAAGCTCGGCCCTAGATAGGTAGGCATCGGGCATCTCCGGCGTTTGCGTGGGCTGGTGTGTGAAGGCCGAGCGTTTGCAGGTATATCTATCCATTCGTATCTCAAAAAGACGGGCCTCTTGACGGTTGCCGTTGCGGAGCCTTTGGGCATTTGTGCTTGTGCAGTGACGCTGCTCCCTTCCGTTTTCCAACTGGCTTGCTCCTTGTTGCAGGAATTACATAGTTACCGGAGGTGCCGGGATTTATTTGTTGTCCGAAGACCCCATCAGCGGGGAAAGTGGAGGAGCGGGAAAGTGCTTTGCCAGGCAATTATACGGGTGACGGGCGAGGTACAGTACATAGTAAGGTGAGTGAGGCAAGCGACCGGTCTTTATTCATTTTGAAGGTGCTTCGGCTCTTAACAATCTTGCGTAATGCTTGGCGCTTGGTGTTGATAGCGTCTGAGGTTCCTTGTCCGGGCGCTGCATGCTCCAGCCGCCAAGGAGCTGCAAGTCTCTCGTTTGTTCTCCACCCTGCGCAACCTTCCCAATGCCGTCTCATCCCTCTCATCACCGGCTTTGGAATCTCGCTGTCCCCGTGCCTACCAATGGTCTGCACGGTCCTTCTTTATTTTGGGCAGCAATGAACAGCATCCACGGCTGCCCCGGTCTTAGCTTTGCTCCGCGATCTGGTTGCGCCTCTCGCGATTCCTTCTCCGCACTCCGAGTTGCCGAGCTCCTCACTGTCGGCGAATTGCTGACTCGTCCCATTCGAGCGTCAATCCCGACCCATCTGAGTGGGCTCCAGTCATCCGGATTTCATCCACCCCCTTTGGGTTTTGTTCTCCGGGCTGTCTGCCCCTGGCGAGCCACTGCCCACCTCGCGGGAGGCAAATGAGCCTCACAAATCCACCATCAACTGCGACCGGCCCCGGGTCGGTCTCCGCTGCGCGAACCCAGACATTGAAGCGGAGCGTGCAGGCTGCGTTTGAAGGTAACATGATGAGTTTCCGTTTTCTAGTCTTTTAAACCCCCCCCTTTCTCTTAGTCTGTCTTGTTCTCGCAGCACCAACCTCCGTTGAAGGTGGTTCTCTCACGTTTCGTAAACTGTAACGGGGTGAGCAGCGGCTACCCGAGGAGCCCGAGCTTCTTGTTTGTTCCTCGAGTGCTTCCCTGGTCCCTGCACCGGCCCGGGCGACGTCTGGAGGAAATTTGGGTGCCTTTTCTTTCAAATACTGTTCCCTAGTGCGATCGAGATATCCCCAGGACGTCTTGATCTCACGGATCGTGATGGACAACCACACACGGCAGCAGCAAGCTTCGTTGTTTCCGCCGAGTCTCCAAAATGTCCAGTCCTACGGGCCCTTGTCCGCTCGGCTCGCCCAACCATTTGGCTCTTTAGCTACGGTGGATCAACTACACCATGCTTCGATGCCTTTCCCCATATTCCCTACCTTTGGTGGTGCTAGGCCAACCTCTGGGTCATCCGGGAGCCAGCTTAGATACGGGAACAGTGAGGCTGGAGATCAGCCAAGGATATGTTAGTCATCCGCGTCGACTTCAGCTCATCCGTCCTTTTGGTCCCTAGTTCTTATTTCATGAACCTTTACTTCTGCTTTTCATACACTTTTCTTTGAAGATGACTGACGTTTATTTTTAGACCCGGCGGACCGCGGGACCGGCTCCATGGGTTATCAAAGTAAGGTCCGAGTGACAGACAAGTACAAGGTGGTCGGTTTTATCAGTAGCGGAACCTATGGCCGCGTCTACAAGGCCTTGGGCCGCCATGGGCAGCCAGGCGAATTCGCCATTAAGAAGTTCAAGCCCGACAAGGAAGGGGAACAAGCGTCGTATACCGGAATCTCCCAGTCAGCGGTCCGAGAGATGGCTTTGTGCTCCGAACTGAACCACCCGAACGTGATCCGGCTGGTTGAGATTATCTTGGAAGACAAGTGTATCTTCATGGTTTTCGAGTACGCAGAGCACGACCTCCTCCAAATCATCCACCACCATACGCAACAGCCCCGCCACCCTATCCCGCCAACCACGATCAAAAGCATCATGTTCCAACTCCTGAACGGATGCCAGTACCTACACACCAACTGGGTGCTTCACCGTGACCTGAAACCGGCCAACATCATGGTTACGTCCTCTGGCGAGGTCAAGATTGGCGATCTGGGTCTGGCACGCCTTGCGTACAAACCCCTTCACAGTCTTTACAGTGGCGATAAAGTGGTGGTGACGATATGGTATCGCGCCCCAGAATTATTGCTCGGTAGCCGGCACTACACTCCAGCAGTCGATATGTGGGCTGTGGGGTGTATCTTTGCGGAATTGCTCTCCCTGAGGCCCATTTTTAAGGGCGAAGAAGCTAAGATGGACAGTAAGAAAACAGTACCTTTCCAACGAAACCAGATGCAGAAAATTGTCGACATCATGGGCCTGCCAACCAAAGAGAGATGGCCGCTCTTAACGAGCACCCCGGAGTACAGCCAGCTCCAAACTCTGCAGCCGCCCATCAGCCACGGCGGCCACCATGGGCATCACAACTACCAGGCCCAACGGCAGGCCATGAACGCCGGGGTTAGCCATCTGGAGAAATGGTACCATAACATCATCAACCAGCAGACAGGTGGATCTGGCCCCGGGTCCGGAACAAGTCCTCTCGCGAGTCTAGGGCCCGAAGGCTACAAACTCCTGGCGGGGCTTTTGGAGTACGACCCGGAGAAGAGGCTCACGGCCGCGGCGGCATTGCAGCATCCGTTTTTTAACACGGGGGATCCCGTCAGTGCCAACTGCTTTGAGGGGCTCAAGACGGAGTATCCACACCGCCGGGTCAGCCAGGACGACAACGATATTAGGACGAGCTCGTTGCCGGGGACGAAGAGAAGCGGCTTGCCGGATGATTCGCTGAGGCCGGTGAAGAGAATTAAGGGGGAATGACCTTTGGTTGAGGCTTGTTTCCCCACTCATCCTTGTGCCTTGATTTGGGAAGGTTGGGTGTCAATAAAATAAGAGCATCATGTTTGGCGTTGCAAATGCATACAAGGGGTGAGGGTTGGGGGAAGGGATACATGAGAGCATCGTTTAATCGGGATCTGGCGTTTGTTCACATATACACGTATACTCGGGTTCCAGCCCCCGATGAAGGATTCCCAAGGGGGTCCGGTAAACACTCAACGTAATTATTTTTTCAAGCCAGCACATTAGAAGTCGCGCATGGACTTGAACAGCGAGCGGGATATACCGGTGTAGACCATGTCCATTCCGTATCATTCTCCAAATCCGAAACGGTTCCAATCCATCCATTCATCCACCTTCCGGCCGTTCCATGCTCCCCACCTTCGCTTTCTGGGTATAGACAGTGAGTGTTCCTCCGGCTATGGTGACACAAGATCTGAAGACAAGAATGGGATTGAAACGTCCTTTCGCCCCCAGGATTAAGATACTATTTGGAAAGAAAGAAAAGAAGCGAAAAAGAAAAGACAAAGGCTCCGAGGTCGTAAAGTTGGACGTGACAAAACATACATAGAGAAGGCAGCGTAGAGGCGCTGAGAGGTATCTTGACATGGACAGACATGGCAGACAAGTTGTGGGTGGGAGGAGGTAGAAGTAACATGTCAGGATTACGGCGATTAAGTGGTTTGTCTGCCGGTTGCGTACAGGCCGCGGGGTTGGGATTCGAACGCGTATGGCGCCAATGTTCGGGGGCGGACCGTCGCCGGGGGTGGGGGGTGTGAAGTCCTCGTGGTTCGAGCAGGACTTGTTGGAGAGGTTGCTTCGTTTGCGGTGGGCGGTTGAAGAGGACCGTCTTTCGATGATGGGTTCGAATGCATCGAGGGAGACCAACAGGCGTAACTTATTTCCCGCCACCGCCGTACTTCGGTGTCTTCTTGATGTTGTCTGACAGCCAGCCAAAGCCTTCGGTCAGGCCCTCGCCTTCCGTGGCAATCGCCGGCTGGACGAACCAAGGCCGCTGGTCCCTGAGCCGCGAAAGCTCAAGCTTATCTGTAATTGCTTGAGGGTCCATGGCTAAAGTTTCGACAAGTCAGCAAAAAAACAATTTGGATTAGCCACTGAGAATGTAACATACCACCCTCGAGATCCTGCTTGTTCGCAAAGACAAGCAGCAGGCAATCGGACATTTCCAGGTCATTCAGAATACGGTGCAACTCCGTCTTGGCCTCCTCAATGCGGTTGTGATCGGACGAGTCGACAACGAAGACGAGACCTTGGGTGCCTATTTTACATGTACCATTAGTTCGCCGTTTCAATATCTAGATGACCACCGAAAACACCGCCCGCGTATGAACTCACCGCTGTAGTAATGCCTCCACAACGGGCGAATCTTGTCTTGGCCACCGACGTCCCACATGTTGAACCGAATGTTCTTGTATGTAAACGTCTCGACGTTGAACCCGACGGTTGGGATGGTGGTCATGGTCTGGTTGAGTTTGAGTTTGTAGAGAATGGTAGTCTTGCCAGCGGCATCGAGACCCAGCATCAGAATGCGCACTTCCTTGGACCCGAAGAGCTTGCCAAACAGGCTAGAAATGGATAGCGAGTTCCCCATCGTGGTTGTATTATTGGTGTTGCGGGCGAGGTTCTGTTGTGATGTTCTTCGGCGGTCCTGCGCAGCTGTCGGAGAGAACGTGGCGGTCCGCGATCAAAAGATTCGGTGAGGATCACGACAAGAAGAGCCAATGCCTTTGTTGGTCGTCGTTGGATATCAAATGCGTCGCTGGGGCTTGCGAGCAGATCGGTATGACGTGTGGGCGCGGCTGGTTGTGAATTTCTTAATGTCAACACAAGCGACGAGCAACAGGCGTCAGAGGCGGAAATGACACGGCAGTCTGGAGATTAATGCAATTGCATTCTCTCTGGGTCCTCATACCTTGTCGCGAAAGAGAGATGAGCGGCCAATGATAGGCGCCGAGTGGTTCGAAAGGGTGCTGAGATATGACAGCCCAAGGCCGGGAAATTTCTGGGTATGGCTGTTGTCTCGGGAGCGCCGTGATGCAGATCTGGACGATGGTGTTGTGAGCGCGGAGCCGCGTTTTCTCCCTGACGAAAACGGCTGCTGCGTGATTCGAAACCTTGCAACCCCAAGGGTGGTGGAACCGAGATTGATTCCCCCTGACTAGCTCACCAATCACTTGGCGTGCCTCAAGCCAAAGATCCACCTTTACGCGGAGCCCGTGCACGAAACCGAACAGGTGGAGTCGCTTGGAAACCTTCAGGGGAACTCACAAACCGTACGGTGAGCGAAAGGGTTAGGGTTGGACGTGATAAGTCAATCGGAAGGTCCTTTTCATGAATCACTTTTGCGTTCTATCGAGCTAGAGGATAGTGACACTGGACTTTTGAACGTCATCAAGACATTAAGTTAATTCCGATACTCGACGACGAACCGCCTGTCAACAAGTTGCAGCGTGACATTGTTTTCCTCTCCCTCAAACCGCAAGCTGACTCTGCTTGTGGCCGCATCCTTCCCCATTACCTCGGCCTTGTAAAACGTGGTACTGTCGGGATAGAGGGCCAAGACTGTCTTTCCCTTGTCGAGGTCAGGCAGCTCGGTGCCCGCTGCCGGTATCGGGATCATGCTGCTCGCACTGGTCCGGTATTCAACCCTCTGGTCTGGGGGCAAGTCGGGGTCGGCATCCTGTACCTTGTATCGCCGCGACTTGCCCTCACCAAGGACCTGTTGCACTTTACCCAGCATCCATTCAGTGCTTTCCGTCGTGGTTGTCGGCTTCGGTTTGAAGACGACATCTTGACCCTTGAAGAACGAGATCTTAGCCCGCTGAGCGGCGGTGGCGGCGAGTCCGGCGGATTCCGGGGGGACACTATCAGATTTCCCTGGCGTATCTCGATCCCCGCTGCGTGGTGGCACACTGTCACGGTTGGCTGAACGTTCGCTTCCCCCCGCGACACTTCCCAACTTTCTACCCGCTGGCGATGGCACAGGAGAGTCACCGGAGCCGTCAAACTCATACACAGACCCAGGATCACGCTCGCGGTCCCGATCTCGATCTCGATCCCTGTCCCGATCACGGTCTCTATCACGATCCCGGTCACGTTCGCGGTCTCTGTCACGTTCTCTGTCCCTATCTCGGTCCCGCTCCCGATCTTTCTCTCTTGCGCCCGCTCCCCGTGCAGATCCAGAACGCCCTGTTGCCGACAACAACCCGCCTGGCCTCTCCCGCCCAGATGAGCCGCTTGGTCCTCCGGCTTGCGCCTCGGTCTCCTCCCTTGCCTTCACCAACGCCTTCAAGACTGTGACTCGCTCGATGAGTGCGTCGATTTGTTGCTTCGAGATGTCGGAGCCCTTAACGCCGCTTCGCAGTAGGCTATCGAGTTTTTGCTCCTCTGCCGCAACATCAATGGTGTCCTTGTTTTTTGATATGTAGTTGTCCTGTGCCACAACGTCGCGAATTGAGTCGTTGCTGTTGTTGACGTCCTCGACCATGCCCCGGATATCGTCCTTGATCTGACTCCATAGATGGGCTTCTTCCCCCTGCGCGTTCCCGCTGTTGCGGTTCGGGCCGCGGGAATTGCGGTTGCGCGACATGTCGCTAGCGGTGTTATCGGTAGAACAGTTCCAGTGACCGTTGCCTATGTTTTCCTGAACTTGTTGCGCCTGGGTTTCGACCGGAACCGTCCTAGAGTTGTTCAATGCTGACTGAGCGTTATGGTCCCACCTCCACGCCGGAAGATTTCGTTTCTTGTCTTCTTTTAGCGTTCGCTTCCGGCGCCGGGTCGAAACGGAGGTTGACGCGCGACACGAGTCGTTTTTAGATGGGGAATAACCTTGGCGTCATCCCACTGACGAGTCTCGCGACGAGTCTCGCGGGTTAGGAGTAGTAGTTAACTAGAGATGGAACCGCTTAATCGGCATGGGGTGAATGATGGGCTGTTTTTGTCGGATTGGTGTTGCGGGGGGACTTGATTAAACAAGTCTGTGCGAAACAAATGCGTCGGAAGGACGGAGGGGAGCCTGCCTCATGAGCTGTTTTCCAACTCGCGGCGTAGTCGTAATAGTGTGCTGATAATTTGGGGAACGGTCAATTGAAATGATCACTCGTGTGAGGATATTACATATGTTAAAAACCGTCGATGGAAGCCACTGTTGATGCATCGCAATGACGTGACACCAAAAACGGCAGGACCGTGGGCGGTAATACTCCGCTTGCGGTCCTGCGCTCAGTTGCGGTACGATATCCGTACTAATACACGGTAATTACACTACTCCATCCCCCTTGTCAACACGATGCGCCCTACAAAGAGTGGGTCGACCTAGCTCCATGTCGACGCACCCCCGCCAAGCCCACCTCGCGGCTGGGTTTGTGACGTAAAATCGGGGGGTTTCAGCGCTCCTCAGCTCACAACGGGAGTTGCAACTTTTTTGGTTGAGCACCGACCGTCGACGCTACACTCTCTCACCGACCCCCCAGTATCCCGCAATTCCCCGTGCCACGCTCGGGGTGCCTACGCCTAATTATCGTAAAATCGAAAGTGTCGCAGCTCTTATCACCCGAACGATGCAAGTTCCCCTGATCCGGCTCCAATGCGGGGCCAACTCCTACGAGTGGGGGAAGAAGGGCAACTCGTCTGCCGTTGCCCGCTTTGCTGCTGCAACGCCATCTGCAGACTTTACGATACAGGACGATAAGCCGTACGCAGAGGCATGTTAGCCCACATCGATTATCAACTTCTCCTGAACAACTTTCAGGAGAGTCCCGACTGACAGCGGCGGCTCCAGTTGTGGATGGGCACCCACCCCTCCAACCCGTCCAAAGATGTGACCACCGGCCGCACCCTTCTCGAGCTTGTCCAAGATAACAGAGCTCTCCTTGCGCGCTCTATCGCCGTTCGCTACGACAACAAAGTCCCCTTCCTTTTCAAAGTGCTCTCCGTCAACAAGGCCCTTTCCATCCAAGCGCACCCGAACAAGAAGCTGGCTGAGCAACTTCACGCGAAAGACCCCAAGAACTATCCAGATGACAACCATAAGCCCGAGATGGCTATCGCCATCACCCCGTTTGAGGGTCTTTGTGGATTCCGTCCTCTCGGAGAGATCGCACACTTTCTCGATGCCGTTCCTGCGCTTCGCCAACTCGTTGGCGACGAAACCGCCAAGGAGTTTATCGAGCTAGTCGCAAGCACAAAGGACGATGAATCCAAGGAGGCGGTTGAGCGTAACAAGAAGTCATTGCAAAAAGTCTTTAGCGCGTTGATGTCTACCTCCGAGTCTGACATGTCTTCAGCGGCGGAAACGCTGGTCAAGTCCGCGGCGAGCGACGGGGCCGAGTTCGCTGGAGGGGGTGTTGCTTCAACGTCCGGGTCGACCCTGGGCGAGCTGGTAACTCGTCTTCACGGCCAGTTCGGCGCTGACTACGGCCTTTTTGTTCTTTTTTTGCTCAACTTTGTCACGTTGCAACCTGGAGAGGCTCTCTTCCTCCAAGCCGACGACATCCATGCGTACGTCAGCGGCGACATCATTGAATGCATGGCGAGTAGCGACAATGTGGTTCGGGCGGGATTCACTCCCAAGTTCAAGGATGTCGACACTCTTGTCAACATGTTGACGTACAATTACGCGCCCATCGACGAGCAGAAAATGGACCCTAGCGATTACCCGTACGCCACGCTCAACCGCGCGGGCTACAGCTCAGGATCCACTGTCACACTGTATGACCCTCCCATCGAGGAGTTCAGCGTGGTGCGCAGCAACCTTAGGGGTAACGCAGCTAAAGCGACGTTTGACCCGCTGGATGGTCCCAGTATCATCATCTGTACCGCTGGGCAAGGCAAGATCTCGGTCGGCCCGACCGTCCAGGAGATCAAGGAAGGCTACGTCTATTTCGTGGGTGCCACTGCGGAATGCGTGCTCGAATCTGTGGGATCGGGTGAAGACGATGAGTTCATTACTTTCAAGGCGTTTTGCGAGATTGATGAGCCGGGCGGCGGCGGCGCATCCCTCTAGCGTGTGTGTTACTACAGTGCCTTGACTTGGACTATTTTTCACGGTCTCATGCGGTTCCGAATTATTGGATAAATGGGAACAACGCAGGATATTTTTTCCATGCAATAGAATCCCTATCAATGCCCGCCACTAATGGATATCTGACTTCGTTGCTAGTTCTATGCTTGCCCGCTATGCCTTGCGCCGCATAATCGTGTCGTGCCGTGCCGTCTTGTCTTGCGCTGCGAGTGTGTTCATGTGCCTGTAGCAACTTGCCGGGAACGCGCCACCAGCCGTCCCCAGTTTTTCGGTTGTCCCTGCTCGTCTGACGTCCCGGATTCACACAGGGGCGTGGTGTTGGGTGGGTGCACGAGTTGGGACGATGAACGGTAGCCGTGTTGTTTGTGATGACCACCCGAGGATGACCAAATGTGCATTCAATACTCACATTATGTTGGTGTTTATCCTAGCGCTAGGGTTAGTTACGAAGTTTCCTTCTCTCTCTCTCTCTTTAATTGTTACTGCTCTCGTAGACTACGTTCTACCGTTAGTAAGGCCCATCCATGTCTCATCGTCATAATGTTACCTATCAATGATACCCTGATGTTGGCTCCTTGCACCCCTCACTTCACGTTTCTACATATGCTCATTTGCAGCCCTCATCGCACTTTCCTTAACAACCTTAACAATACCTATGGTTTCACAAGCCCGCCAAGGCAGGACCATTGGAATGGGTAATGATCCGGGCCGCCTTAGCACCTGCTATCTCTCGACGCCCACTATCGATGCCGCTCAGTCGTATCACGAATACGACGGTTGATCATTTGGATGTGGCGCACGCATGAACGACAGCCCCGACAATTCGCATCAACATTGGAACTCGAGCACCATGGTCTCACTCCCCACCGCCGCAGCGGGCGCCTTAGCCGGAACAGCCTACCTTAACGCACGCTTCTCCCTGGCTCACGACTGGCTCTTTTTTCGCATTATCGGCTCGACCCTACTTGACCTTGCCTGGGCCAAGCGCGTTGACAGGATCAACCTTTTCTACGTTTTGGAGAAGCACGCACGCAACGATTTGTTGGCCGGAAAACCCTTCGTTCTTTTTGAGGGCAAGGAGTACACCTACGCGGAAACGTACGACACGGTGCTGCGCTATGGGACATGGCTGCGGAAACGTCTCGGGGTCCGGGAACGGGACATTGTAGCTTTGAACTACCAGAACTCCGAGACCTTCGTGTTCTTGTGGTTTGCATTGTGGGCGATTGGTGCGAAGCCGGCGTTCATCAACTACAATTTGCAGGGCGCGGCCTTGACGCACTGTCTCCAGAAGTCTACAGCAATGCTGGTTCTTGTTGATTCCCTCCTCGAAAGCAGCCTCACGGCGGAGCTTCGAGAGGGATTATCCGACGTGAAGTTTGTGGTCTTTGACCCTGACGCCAAATCCGAGGCGGAGGCTCAAGTGCCGGTTCGGTATACGAACGAGGTCCGGACGGAGCCGGACCCGGCTAACATGGCCCTCTTGATCTATACCTCTGGTACCACGGGCATGCCGAAGCCTGCGATAGTGTCATGGAAGAAGATCTACGCCGGGGCAGCCCTCTCGACGAAGGGGACAAGCGCAGGGCAGAAAGACATCTTCTACACGGTAAGTTCACACACACTAGCTTTAGTCTTCTCAACCTCGACAAAAGCTGACGGACCATCTAGTGCATGCCCCTCTACCATAGCGCCGGTTCCTGCTTATCGGTCTGTAGCGCGCTGTCAGTGGGGGCTACAGCGGCCATCGGCCCGCGGTTTTCCACGAAAACGTTCTGGAAGGAAGTACGCGAGACAAAGTCTACGATTATCCAGTATGTCGGTGAGACGTGCCGGTATCTAACGGTGGCGCCCCCGGATATTGATCCAGCGACTGGGGAGAACCTTGACAAGAAGCATTGTGTGCGGGCAGCGATGGGGAATGGGCTGCGCCCTGACGTGTGGGACCAGTTCAAGGAGAGGTTTGGGATTGATGTGAGTTGCCAGCCCATCCCACACCGCCGATAAAAAAGAAGTGGTGCTAACTGTGTTAACTGTCTAGACCATCTTGGAGATATATGCCGCGACTGAAGCTGCCGCGGGACTTTGGAATGCCTCTCGGAACGCCTTTGGTAAAGCTGCTATCGGTCGGTTTGGGTTGTTGTCTAGCATTATCCTCGGCTTCCAAACAGCGATTGTGCTAGTTGACCGCGAATCCGAGCTCCCGTGGCGAGATCTCAGCACGGGGTTTTGTCAACGGGCTCATGCCGACCAACCGGGCGAGTTTATTGTCCGTTTACAGGCGAACGATATCAAGCGGGGGTATCAGGGGTACCATGGGAACCAAGCTGCAACGGACTCCAAGGTTATACGGGACGTGTTTAAGAAAGGAGACGCCTGGTATGTTGACCCAAGAACCCCCTTTTTTCTTTCTGCGGGGGACTAACACGAATTGCTTCAGGTTCCGTTCAGGGGACATTCTTCAGTGGGACGGTGAGGGGAGAGTGTATTTCAACGACCGGATTGGCGATACATTCCGCTGGAAAAGTGAGAATGTTTCCACGACCGAAGTGGCCCAGGTTCTCGGCCTGCATCCAGCCGTCCATGAAGCCAACGTCTACGGGGTGCAGCTCCCACATCATGATGGGCGGGCTGGATGCGTGGCGATCGTGCTGGGAGGTAACACCGCATTTGACGACCACGAGCTCGAGCAGGTCCTAGCGAGTGTAGCAGTGCATGCTCGACAGAGGTTACCTAAATATGCGGTACCGCTGTTCTTACGGATGGTCAAGGAGGTGGGGATGGAGACCACGGCGACGAACAAGCAGCAGAAGCATAGACTGAGGGAGCAGGGCGTTGATCCTGCCGAGGTGCAGGGGGATGCCTTGTTCTGGTTGAAGAATGAGACGTCGAGTTATGTACCGTTTACTCGGGCAGACTGGGGGAGACTGCAAGGAGGGTCTGTTAAGTTGTGAATATTTATGGGGACCAACAATTCCCAACCTGGTTGTTATCTGCTCTCCGTTGGGTATTGTCTGGGGTTCATACATGTGTGGGCACGGCAAGAAGCTCAGGGTTGGGTTAGCGGTGCGCATGAGCGTGGTGTACGTCAGCTTATCGACTTTTCTAATTTATAGTCAACCGCATTAATAGCTCATGAACTACTGATCTCAGCCAGTCAAGGAGTCGCGACGTTACCCGCATGCCTCTCTCGGGTTCACTCGAGACCCTGCGCTGATACGAACTCAATCGACAGAGCGACTGATGAAGGGACCGTCACAACGAAGCATACCAAAATAGATCGCAGGAGACACCCAATACAACGGGTTCGACCCGGAACATCCCCTACTCTAACCGGGCGGGAGCGGGTGTGGTAACTAACACCGGGTAACCTGGGCGGGCGGAAGTTGGTAGCGAAACGAAATGGGAGAGCGGGGAAAGGGGTATGATGGATGTGATATCTCATATTGTTACGAGGACGAGCCAATTGGGAACAGACCTTGTGTTTAAATTCTTAATCGAGGACGACAAGCTCGGCTTGTGAGCACTTAAAAGAAGAGGATAGCCAAAGAGAGCATTCTTAGTTCAATAGTTCGAGTCCGGGAGCCAGAACATTTCACGGCATGGTTCGTGACACGTTGTAAAGGGCGGGAAATGCTGGCCGGGCCCTTCCGGACGGACTAAATTCTGGATGGACGAGCGCTGTCAGGTTCGTCACTCGTGGATATTTATAGCCTGTTGTTGATTAAATTAAAGACGGCGTTCCGGGAAACTGGACAAGTCCTATTCACCCGCTAAATTGAATGGAACTCTCGCCAAGGGGTCGCTGCAACATAAATAGCCCTGGCTTATGGACGGCTCGCAAAGACCGGCTTTTATTGGTTTCCAAAAGGATCGAAGCTTAATCTAGAGTTCGACGGCGGATTCTAAAATCGGGTGATCCCAGGAACCAGGACAGCCGGTCCCCGGTTTTGAGGAAGCCCTTCATCCTTTTGGGGGGGACTCCCACATCGTGTTTACCTCTGCGAGGGGCTGCGAAGCCGAATCAAGATGCTCCGCGATAGATAAATCAATATACAATTTGACGCTAAAACGCGGATGCCAAGGTGACAGCTACTGCGGCCCTGATTAATCTGTTCGGGATGATGGATCTGGGGGACTTGGGAAAGTGACGAGAATGATGAATCACGGGGGATAAAAGACCATGAGTGTCCACGAGGATGATCGGGAATGAAGCGTGCGTGCAAACGATCTCTCATCCAGGTTTACGACAGGATTAACACTCTACTTCCCGCTACCGGCTATCTCGACTTGTTGATTGAGGTTACTTTTTCATTAACTCTTACATATTCATCACCCGACAAGATGCGTTCACACGTTGTGCTCCTGCTCGGCCTTGCCAGGTACGGCTTTTCATCAACATTTTCTTAGCTAATTACACCCCGTCATAACAACCACCCACACTACAAAACTAGCACAAGATGAAAGACTAGTTGCACATCACACTATACTGACCATAGCACAACAGCGCCGCCCTCGGCCAAGTTACCCTCCAGCCCTCCACCATCCGCACCGGCCGGCCGGGTCTCCCCACCATCACGGTGACAGCCACCGAAACCAAGACCCTCACCGAGACAGAGACGGAAACCCTCACCGAAACCGAAAGCTACACCACCGAAGTGACCACCACCGCCACGGCCACAGTTACCGAGACGGAACCCTGCACGCCCGTCAGCTGCCCGACGCTGACCCGCACCGCGACGGCCTGCGCGACCTGCCTGGTGCCGCAGTGCACCAAGACGGTGTCGGTCGAGCAGCCGAAGGGGTGTGCCACGCTGCCGACGGCTACGGTGTCGTTCCCGTGCAGCGACCCGAACTCGTGTGGGAAGATTGGGTGCACGACTGTGTATGCTATCAAGACGGCTAGCTAAGGGGATTTAGGGGGTAATGTGAGTTGGTGGTGCAGTTGGGTTGGTTGGGATGGTGTTTGTACATAGGAGATATCTTGTCAAATAAGAATTGTGAAGGAAGATTCCGGCCTTGGTTCGTTGACACTTACAGGAGCCGATGGCTATTGTTGCGCGGGCTTGACTTTGAATTGGCCTGGTACTTCATCTTGCTTTCGCATCATCTTCATCTCCCATCCAACTATATTAGTCCTTTGAGTCTGTTTCTTTATACTATCTTCAGTTGACCGGATACTCGAGACTTTTCCCTCATGTTTTACCACCATGTGCCGGAGTTCACCCCTAAACCCCTCACGATGTGGAGCGAGAAGTCACTAGGCGCTTCTAGCTTCGTTTCTGGTTAATAGTAACAGCCAGACTGCCGGTGCCCATCACATCTGTGGCTTTCTTGTCAGAGAGTAGACCTGGAGAAGACAAGGCCCATCAACATGTGGAAGTCCAATGCTCTACGGATGGAGGACCAGGGTATCGAAAAGGGGCCAGGGTTAGGGTATACTCAGGGGTAGGGAGATACGTGAGACTGTGGTCTCGATTGGAGCGTTCTATTACGTTGAGAATGTTATCTAGCTAATGCAGCGCTCTTTTGCATCCGCTCGGCTCCGTTTCTTCCTGTCTAAAACAACCTCAGCCGCTTCCGCTGTCTCAACTGCGTCCCGTTCATCATCGCCGTGTACTTCTTAGATGGCGTCTGCAGAATCTCAAATGCCCTTCTCACATGTCTCGGCTCGACCGGGTTTGCCAGTTTAGCCTCCTTGTCGCTTCCAACTTTCACCCGTCGAGTAGACTCCTGGTCCCGTTCTATGTCGTCCTCGTCCTCCCACTTCCTCTTCAACGTAAACAACCCCCCACCCCATCCCTTCTCCCAAGCCTTCTCCTTCCTTCTCACACGTTCTGCTCTCTCCACCTGACCCTCCTCCTTCTTAACCCCAATCGCCACCTCCGTCAACCTCTGCACCCACTCGGTAGTAAAAAACCCCAGCATTTCTCTCAAGTCGTCGTCCTTGACGCCCGCGACTGCGCCCAGGCCGGACCATGCCCGGAATCTGGCCGGTTTTCGGTGGCTGAAGGAGGCTGCACGGCAGTCGGACCAGTGAGCGTATTCAGCTCGGGTCATGGATTGGGTGTGCTGGTCGTTTTTGATGAGTTGGGAGAGGATAGCGGATTCGGGTCGGTGTCTATGTCCGGGTGTGTTCTCATAGGTTACGGGATCCCCGATGCTGGTGGTGGTGGTAGCATAATCGGTGTGTTCGAGTTCGAGGAGGGAGGAGATGTCTGAGACATGTCGGAACAGGGAGAGCGTAGACCACGGGAGAGGGGCCAGGTGTACTTTTGTATCACCCCCTGTTTTTGGTTTGGAAGTGCGAGTCAGCTGCTGCGGGTTGGAACTGTCCGACTGGTAATCCACAGTTTCGGTCTCCTCAGCGTCGTTTTCGGCTTCCTCCCCGTCCTGGTCCTTGTCATCGCCGCGGCTGTCACCGTCCTCGTCTTCTATCTGATCCTGGACGTCCTCCAAATCCAAATCGTCTGCTTCCGGCTCCTTGGCTCTCGCCCTGGCCTTGGCCCGGATGCGCTTCCACCGCATGTGGTTTTGTAGCCGGGCCAGCCGTGCCTTGTCGTGTCGTACTTGGAAGAAAATGTCGTTGGTTGTGATTCGGGCTTGGCCCCGTCGACGGGCGAGTTCGCTCGCTGTGGTTATCTTGGGGGTCTTAGAAGAAGTGAGACTGCATGTGGTATGAGGGAGTACATACCATGTGCTTGGTCTGGTACTGGACAATATTCTCGATGATGGTGGTCGTTTCGACCGAGGGTATACCCCGTTCTCCGGCCACAAACATCATCTGGGTAGTTAGCATCGCGGAACCTAAACTAAGAGTTAGTGTAAAGAAACGTTGACATACCTTTAGGATCTCCTTCCTGTATATCGGATCCTTCTTTGCCATTTTCGCGAAATGAGGAAACGGTCCACGGCGCTTACACCTCTACTTCGATAACGGTATGTGGGTTTGTTGGCCTCGGAGTCTCATTGCCAAAAGTAAAGCTCCGTAACTCGCCTCTAGGTTCTCCATGCTGATCAAAATCACCAACCCAGAACGTCTCATAATGCTATTGAAGGGCCCGAAGCACAATACAAAGGTTGCCATATTCGGACGAAGGGGCCGGTGACTCCCGTGGTCAAGTATTTCTTTGTTTGCCCAAAGGGCCGACCACCTGGTCGTTGTTGCTCGTGACCGTATTCAGAGTGTCATGGGAGGGATTATTATTGCGATGCATCACGTGTAATGGAGTGCTTCCATCTCAATGACATGATGTTCTGTTTTGCAATGTGTTTGTGGGGTTTGTGTTGTGCTTAGTGGCTGGCTTGGAGGTTGGCCGTCCAACAACAGCAGCTCCGACCTTTGCGTTTTACCAAACGACCGGCGACTTACCCGTTTCCTTTCAGTTCCAAGAATTCCATCTTCTTACAAATACAATAGCGCTGTCCGGACATCAACCGCCAGCTAAAATCTGATGTTCCCGCCTGGATGCTGTTTGCTCCCCAGCGCTTAACCAACACCCATGTGGCATTACCAGAACCAGCCCGGCCATTCGCAGGCCCTTCCTGGTAATACATTGCAATTCATGACCAAAAAGACAAAATGAAACCCCGAAACTATACCTCATGATGAGTCTCCCGGCCACCAACCGACGCAAACATGTACCCCGTGTCCATCGTGGCACGCTTAGACTGCCCCTGAATGCGCCAAAATGCGCATTGTAGCTGCGAAACAAAATGCGCAGTTGCGGAATTAAAACGGCACTTAGGCGTGGTGGCAGAGTGGTCTAATGCGCAAGACTAGAAATCTTGTTCCTTCGGGAGCGTCTGTTCGAATCAGGCCCACGTCGAGTTTTTATCTTTCATGTTTTTTCCCGGTCGTTTCTTTTTTATTGGACTAGAACGCCGCTCTTGGCATTTTTAGGATAATAGCAGGTAACTGCTGTTATTTCGTGTCATTATGCGGAGTTAACGTTGCCTCGGTTTTAAGGTAGTGAAACAAAAGAAAAGGGGTCGTGGATCGTGATGAAGGCTGGATGTGTGTGGACTCAAATCGAAGTGTGGGTTGCAGTAGGATCGTGCTCCCGCATTCAGTCAGACTGTCAGGGGCGAAAGGGGAAAAGGCGAATCACGGATGCAGTGTCATCATCGGGGGTTTGTTAACGTCACCTCAAGTCACTGGTGTCAAAATGCAGTTGGGAGTAGAAGTTATTTCCAAGTCATATCAATTGATGATGCTAAACAAGGCTTCGGCGAAGCTCCCTCGTAACTTTGAACAGAAACCCACACTATATCCGCCCCTCATTTCCTCCATAAATACAAGATGTGCCTTTCGTCATATTTACAAGTTGCGCGTTGCGCAAGTCATCGTCTCCAACACTCCAAGATGTGCCGATGCTATGCCCCCATGATGTTGCCCCGCTCATGTTCCCTCATCCAAGCTGTTTCGAGAGAGAAAAAAAAGATGAGCGGGCTTTATTAGCAAGAGGGTAGCGGTATTTGCCGGCGAGACGCTTAAGCGTCAGGGTTGCCGTTGAAGGCCAGGCGGTCAGTGGTGCCGCTGGGGAGGCCGGTAATGAGGCCGGACTGGCCGGTGGTCTTGATGTAGTTGCAGAGCTCAGCCGGGCTCTTCTGGCCGTCGAGGGCGAGCAGGTAGGCACCGAGACCGGTGATGTGCGGGGTGGCCATGGAGGTACCCGAGATGGTGTTGGTCTCACCGCCGATCCAGGTGGACAGGATGTCAGTGCCGGGGGCCTGGATGTCGACGACAGAGCCGTAGTTGGAGTAGCTGGCCTTGGAGTCGTCGCTCTCGGTGGCGCCGACGGTGCAGACGGACGCCTCGGAGGCCGGGGAGGAGCTGGAGGCGTTGGTGTCCTCGTTGCCGGCAGCGACGGCCAGGAACACGCCAGCGTCGACGAGGGCCGCGGCGGCCTGGTTGATGGAGCCGGAGTAGCTGCCGCCGAGCGACATGTTGGCGACGCTGCCGGCGGGGCAGTCCTGCTGCGAGGCGTTCTCGGCGACGTAGTTGATGCCGGCGATGACGCCCGAAGTGCTGCCGGAGCCGTCGGAGCCGAGCACCTTGACGGCGAACAGCTTGGTCTTCTTGGCCACACCGTAGCTCTTGGAGCCGATGGTGCCAGCAACGTGGGTGCCGTGGCCGTTGCCGTCAGTGTCGTCGCTGTCGGCGAAGTTGTTGGCCCAGGTAGCACGGCCCTCGAACTCCTGTAGGGGGTGTCAGTATATCACAAGACTGCATAATGAACCGAGGGATGAATATCCCACGAAGGGAGGAAGGTAACGTACAGGGTGGTCGACCTCGATACCGGTGTCGATCACGAAGGCGCAGGTGCCCTCACCAGCGGAGTCGTCGTAGGTGTAGGTGGTCGAGCCGGGCTGCTTGTTGGAGAGACGGGCAAGGCCCCACGGGGCGTTGTCCTGGCTGACAGCCGACTGGATGGTGAAGATGGCATCCTCCTCCACGTACTCAACCTGTGGTTGTTGTTAGTATGTCCCGGTGAGAAGTAAACATAAGGATAGAGCAGGGCATCACATACCTCAGGGAGCAGGCGGACGGCATCGAGGAGGTCGGCCTCGAGGTGGCCGGCGAAGCCCCGGAACTTGCCGCGGTAGACGTGGTCGGCCTTGATCTTGCTCAGGGCGCTGAGGGCGGCATCGAGGGCACCCTCGGCGGCGCTGTCGCGGAGCTTGATGACGTACTTGTTGGGGATGACCTGGCCAGCACGGGCGCTGATGATGGGAGCGCGCTTTTGGACGGGCTCGGCAGCGGGGGCCGCGAGGGCAGCGGGCACAAGGGCCAGGAGAGCAGCAGTGGTGAAATGCATCTTGGGCGACGAGCGAGGTGAAGACGAGAAGATGAGACCGAAGAGGAAGAGAGCGTGGAAAGCTTGGATGAGGTAGGCACGAGTTGACTGGTTGTTGGCGACCGTGGTGCTGAGAAGATCGAGGTTCTAGAGTCGAGGGAGAGCCTTCTATTTATCTCTGATCTCCAATCTGTGATCTCGCATCCAGAAAAGGTACCGACAAGAGCCTGTGTGTGGGTAGATGCGTGTGTGTGTGTGTAGGTGTGGGTGTTCCGCCCGCATACCAACACCTCTCTCACCTGCTCATTCGTTTGTCTCTCTGTCTCCGTATGCTCCCCCTCTCCCATTTCACCCCTCCCCCCTCTTTTCCTCGGACTACCTCTCCTCTGCTTCTCCTCCCAACATGATCCTTCGAAAGATGTGATGCATCAGTGGCCGACCTGCCGCTTTCGGGCTTTCGACAAATCGCAATGGCTGTTTCCCGCAGGTCTCCGGAAAGCCAAGCCTCGGGCCTGACGGTTCGCGGCAGACCGGCATGGGCATGGGCTGGCCAGCGTCGTGGGTCGGATGGCGGTTTGTTCGTGGCAGGTTGGACGGCTTGGCTGCTTGGACAGGTCGAGCGAGTTGGAGAGCCAACGAGAGCAAGCCGGCGCGGTCTTGGCAGCCCTTAATGGGAAATCCCAAAGGGGCTCTCATGGGGCATTCAGGGGTGGGGGAGAAGGCAAAACGGCAGGCCGAACGGGTCGACAGCAGATAGAGGAGGGCCCAGGAGGGGTACGGGGGCGGGCGAGCAGAGGGGGGCAGAAGATGCACACCTTCCCGGTTAAGTGTTTTCGGCCGGTGCTGGGGTTGGCCTGCGCTGGGCTTCCTGGACAGACGATGGGGGTGGGCGTGAGGTGGGCAGGCGAGCGGGTGTTCCCGTCCTTGTCCGGCACCTGTGATCAAGTTTGGCCTGCAAGTTTGACCTGCGGACATCCACCGAGAGAGAAGGCGGGCAGACAGACGAGCCAGGCTTGGCCAGGACAAGTCGCGTGCTTGACATCGCCTGCCGAAGCCGGTACCTGACCTGACATTCGAGGACTAGCCAACACCGCACGTCGGATGCGCCAAGAATTCGCAAAAGGACGCAGTCGACCCGTCGAGCGTGCGCACCTAACGGAACGGGCATAAATCGTAAAGCCGGCATCGTCTCCCACAGGCTCGCCGGCCTGAGAAGCGATATGTCAAGGGGCGCTTGGCTGTAGCCCTTCTACAATGCGGGCACACATCTGTTGGACATGGCCGGGGGGCGTTCAATTTCAGGGTGCCGGCCCGGCTGTGTGGTGTAACTGGGCTGCTTGGGTTTACCAAACGGGCGCTGCGGGGCTCGGGACTTCTCTTGAGCAACGGGGAGGGTGTGTTTGAGCAAGAGGAAAAGGGGAGTTGATACCGAGGCACGCGCCCGCAGGGGTGCTGAGGCTGTGTAGCTCCCGTCGGTATTGCTTGCACACCAAGAGTGGTCATGCTAGCCGTTCGATTTCGCTTCAGAAGAATTGCGTGTAAGTCAATGCTAATACCCGCCGATTGTTCGCAGGAATAACAACCCGGATGTGTTGCTTGCCTGCGTACATAGTAGCCTTGACGAGAATTCGGACGTTGGAGAAAGGTGTCTTGGCGGTTTCTTCTTGGCTCGGTGGAATGTTCGTCGCCCCCATGTGTCGCTTTGCCCAGTGCTTTTCTTCTAGAAGCCCGTCTAGCATTTCCCAGTCTCTCGTATCCCAAGGCTTGTCCAACGCTGAACACCGCTGCTGGTTCTTTTTCTGGAACCACGCGTGCACGACATAATTGCTCATCTCACGGCCCTGACGGCCCCAGGATGCTCTTTGGTCCAAAGCTTGATCTCGGCAACGGTCCAACAGGACGATAAGTTCATGCCCGCCGGCTGTGAAACATCAAATTCACGATTAACCAAGCGATGACCAGGTCAGAACAGCTGGTCTCCGTCATGCGACATTGCCAGGCAGACAAAGACAGCAAGAACGGCCCGGCATGAATGGCGCCATTGCCATTGGCCCCACGCTCGCCCACAACCACCCACTCAAGCCACTGCCACCCAGTACCACCCCACCAAACAGCCGCTAACGCCCACCCCCTGAATCTCCGATCGGCATCTGGGGAGCCCCCAGAGAGCCGCTTGCAGGGCGAGTGGGGGCCGCGGAAGTGGGGACCACGGAGAAGAACTGCCGATCGTTTCGGGGGATGGGCCAATGAAAACTGCCGTTGCCCCAGGCGGCTTCCTGGGAGGGTGTGAACCAGAACCAGGGCCGGCAGGTGGTATCCAACATGGGAGGAACGCCTTGGACGACGACAGGACTTCTTCCACTTTGCGTTGTCGATCGTCGCCGGTGTCCGCATTTGACTGCTTTCGCGCGCTGAAGAAGGCACATGATGCGATGTGAGGTCGCTCACGTTATCAACAGCTGCTCTACACGTGTAGGACTCGCGCGGTCAACAGGAGAGAGGCTCCTGCGGCTGACACTATCCTCAGCGGGCAGTTGACAGCTTCTCCCCAAGTCCGAGCAGAGAGGACTGTAACCTCGAGTTGCCATTGCTGTGAACGTTGCGAATCCTTTGCCAATGCTGCCAATGCTGCCAATGTTGCCAATGCCGCCACATCCGACCCAAGCCCAGTCAAGCGTTGACAAATCCAACCCTATCTTGCGTCCAGCCGTCCCCAAAACCTGGTTGTGAAGCTCGCATTGCAGATATGACATCGGACGGTCGTGAGTTGTGGCGGCGGTGGTGGTGGCGTTGGCCGTAAGTTGACCGGCTGTATTTGTGTGTTGGGAGCTTGGAATTTGTGAACTCGGTTTGGGGTAATTAATTTGCAAAAATGATTTCTCCCGTCTTTTTGCTCAAAAAGTTTGGAACCGAAAAATGCAAACCGTCGGCTGTCAATTCACAACGAATGGCAGGCGTCACGGGTCGGTTTCTGCAATGTCCATCACGACCGGCCGTACTTTTCACAGCCGGTTGTTCTTTCCCATTGCAGGCTGTTGCTAGGTTCCAGTGGACCAACAGCTCAAAACCCGCGCACCTTCTAGCTTAGCTGCATCCTCGTTTTCGCTTGTCACTCACAAATCACAAGAGACTGGACTCTTCGCTTGTGTTGACACTCGCCGAAGAGAACCTTGGAAGCCACGTTCCCACGGCAAAAGGGTCTTGTTCGTGGCGCTTCCGGCCGGCAAGGGGGTTTCAGATGTCGTGACCTTATCGAGTGTCCTTCCGGATCGAGTAACGGTCGACGGCCAGTTACAGGTTCAACATCAACACCCCGCTTCTCCCTCTCAGAATTGCTTCCCGCCCGAACGCAACATGCCACTCGCTAAAATCTCCGAAATTGATGATTTGGTACACAAAAACGAGAATGCGACAGGTGCGGCGATAGAAGTCGGTAAGTAAGGAGCATGATCAATACGGGCCTCTCGCTTGTCCATGCTCTCTCGACTTCTGTACGAAGCATCCTCAGACGATCTTCAGCAACCAGGCAAGCCAAGTTAATAACTTCCCCAATGCGCTGGCCGATTGCGTTGACATGCGCTTCCCTGCTGAGTGGGCCTGAGATCGAGCCCCCCAGCTGCCCGATCTAGCATCGCCTACCGAGGTCGCAGCCTCACAGGTTCAACCCAATGCGACTCTCGACGACTGCGTCCGCCATGTCATCTGTGAGTTCTCCTGCGACACAGGCCAACACACAATTGTCCTTGGAGAAGGTGCCATCCAAACTCTTTGAAACCCTACACTACCTTTCTGAACCTCCACTCTTCACTTGTCTGCGAAATAAATCTCGTTGCCTAAAATGGGCAACGAAATCGGCAACGATGAGCACGTTCAAGTAGCATCAGTTGCTACGTCCTCGTCGCGGGAGATCTCCAGCTTCCCTGTCGAACCACCCACTCCGATTGCAACAAAGAGGGGGAAGCAAAGATCGTCTCCTGTTGCATCTCCCATTGGACTCGCGAAACGGCTCGTCACCGAAGACTCTCTTCATCGAACTGGCACACAACAGACTCAACGTTCCAATTATCGTTGATGCCCGGAATACCACATCAGGTAACAGAAAAGTTCCGATCGCAAATATCCTCCGGGACAACCGAACTTCTTACCCAGCAACAAAACAAGCACCGCATTTGCTCTGAGATAAGTCCGAGCGAAGTCGGACCGACCGGAGACCAGAATCCGGCACTCGGTCCGAAATAAAGCGACACGAACGGTACTGTGCCGATCGTCCCCTTTGCGAAGTCGGAACGTGGCACCCAGCAGTTTCGCGCAGAGTGTTTTACATAACTTTATAGTGCGGATCCCGTGGTTGCCGAGGTCTCCGATCCATTCTAGGTACATCCCGAACCCAAGTCTTGGTTCAACTCCAAAATGCAAGAACAAAAAGCTTCCCCGCCAAATGCTGTCCTCGTGTAGAAATCTCTAGCCGGCGTCCGAGCACACACGATGCGGTGTGGAAACAAGGATCCCGTTCAAGCAACTCCAGCCCCATCCTCCCCTTTCCCCTATTTCCTTTCTCTTGGCACCACAACTACATACCAACAAACCCTCCCGCCTTCCACTCTCGATGAGATACCGCCAGCCAGAAAAGGGTGTTTCCCCCTTAGTCCTTTTTTAGCGAACACGACATCCCACAGTTTCCCTGGTAGGTGATTCCCATACTAGCCATGTGGTATCAAGTTCCCGTTTGGGCAAGCGGTAAATTCCCCGCGGCCGCGGCAGGGTTTTGAAACAGATACCTTTTCGGGAGGAGAATTAAGGTCGTTTCCCTCCTCGGATCGCCGTCGTCATCGGAAGGCGGGGCTGGGACTGCAACCGGGACCGGGACTGGGACTGGTGGGTTTAGGCTCGGGTTTGGGTTTGAGGCTGGGGCTAGACGACGACCAGAGAAGGAGGTCGTATTTTTAGAAGGAGGCGGTGACTCGTCTTGGGCAACGGCGACGGACTTGGGGATCGTCGTCATCGGCGTCTTGCTAGTGGTCCTGGTGGTGGTGGTGGTGGTCGTGATGTCGGAAACTGGCGGCTTATTCCAAGTGTTTTTGTGTGAGTGGGATTTGGCTTCCGCGACGAGGACGCGGGCTTTTGTCCAGACTTTGGCGCCATTTCCGATGGAGGGTTGGATGACTGTGATGATGGTTCCATTGTCATACTGTGATCCGAGGGAGGGGGAACTAGGTGCCATGGTGGTGGTGACCTCCCGTTCCATAGCCGACGTCGACCACGCTTGATACAATTCCATGATCTCGCTGGCGGATTGGAACGGGGTCCTTCCAAGTTCAGCAAGACCAGTTATTTTGGGGGCGTCTCGGCGTGACCACAGCTGGCACGAGAAACGCAAAGCGGCGTCGATTTCTTGTACGAGAAGGTGTTCCAGCCTTTCGATTCCCGCAGGGTCTTGATCTCGAAGAAGGAACCGGGCGGGACTCCTGAGGAACTTGTCTTTTAATCGGCGAGCGTGACGAAATCTTGCCTCCGCGAAAGGGGGGGTGGGTTCTGAGATGTTGTTAGAGTTTATGTCGGCTCCGATTCCACACTCGCATAATGACTTTACAAGTGACGCCTGCCATGCTTGAGGGACGTTATGGCCGTTTGCTTGGACAAAGTTAGATTATGATATGAGCGGTACTTGATATTATCCAGTAGAAAAAAAGGGGAAAAGAAAACAAGATGAAGTAGGCTGAGGTAAGTATCGGATATCCAAGCGAACATACTTTGAGATAACACCTTGGCCAAGCCCTCCATTGTTTGTCTCGAAGGCAGGTTGTGAGTTATTGCTGGTCCAGTTGTTAAGTTGAGTGGCTGTACCGATGTGATCAGCCGTGGAAAGTTGTGTGTATCTTGCTGGCCATGTTGTGGTCGTTCAGTTGGCGCGAGCAGTGGCATCAACCCAGGGGATGCGGCATGGCGAGGCGGAGCTATCCCAGAATTCCAGAGGGCGAGGTCCATTCGAAATCCGACTGGCGACATCGAGTTAGGGCCTAGAACACTTGGGCTCTCTAACTCATTGGGGTTGGTAGATATGGCATCGAACATCCAAAACGGGGACGCAAAGGCTTCGATAGTAATGAAATGGGCAAGCATCCCGTGAAGCAGGACATGAGTTGTTTGAAAATCGTTGCTCTTAGTCGAACCCAAAAGTCCTTCAGGTAGCTCACCTTGAGGCGTGAGTTGAACAAAGTGCTTGACGCTCTCTGAAAGTTCCCGAAGTTGTAAAGGATGGAGGCCGTTTTGAACTCGTTTATTTTCGGGGTGGGCAAACTCCTCTACCCACGAGGTCCAGCTGGCCCCTTTGGCCACGAACCACGAAATGATAGATTTGTCGTTCGGATCTGGAACCCCACTGTCTGCTCCTTGAGCCAACCCATTCTCTTTCAGTTGAGTTATCTTGGACTCAAGTTGTTCAACCCGAGTTGCGAACCCTTGTTCCTTGGTCGACAGATACTCTTTCCATTGCTTTTTCCGGCTATTATGGTATCTCTGAGCCCACGACAATTTGCGGGAAAGTTCTTGATTTTCGTTGAGCAACTCGGTTTCGTTCCGTTGTAGCGCGGCGATCCGCTGGTGCAGGCTGCGGTTTTCTTTGGCGAGCTCTCCCATGGGACTCGAAGGACTCAGTGATAGAATAAATTCGTCGATCTTGCTGCTGAGTTCGACCTCGAACATGGCCGGATTGAGGCCTCTGCGTCGTGAGCTGTTCGGTCTGTTTCCTGAGGGCAATCTGGCAGATGTCGATGCGGCCTTCCGAAGGGACCGGCTCGGTTCACCACTGTTTGTTTTCGATGTCGTTTGATGTGAAGTTGATCGAGAGATGAGAGGCACGTGGGAACTTGTGCTTATTGCTTGTGTAGGTCTCCCGGCATCCCCGGTTTTGGTGGGAGTAAGGGAGCCCATGCTAGAGCTAATTACTTGACCTGAAGTAGGGGTATGTAAGCAATATGCGTCTGGGGCCTAATACTGGAGTGATGGCTTGAGTCAAACTCAATTTGCGGATGAGTTTCGACATCAAGACCAAAAAGTGAATTCCAAGTTCGAAAAGAAGGTCGTCACCCTTGCTATTAATTAGCCCGGGATAAAAATCAAATAGGGATAATTAATCAAGGGATCAATGTGCGATTTCGGGTGGCTCAGCACCCATTATTACTGACGTCAAGAAGGAACTAGCAACATCAAGTGGTGCATATACCACACCTCGAATTTGTTTCACCAACCTTGGTTTCGTTGCCAACCCCTTACACCCCTTATAGACTATATCATAGCCGATATAATGACAGATACGGGAACTTCTGAGGCGGAGTAACGACACTATCTGTGGCACCAGCTCCAAGATAGAGCGCTTGAAGTCGCCTTATCCCCCGATTTGGGTGTAACCGAAGCGAGACGTCTGCCGCAGTTGGCGCCAGGAACTGCTCAACCGTTTTACGATCCATCCATGCAGGTCGGATCGAGGTCATACCGGCTTCGGCTACGCGGGTAAGGCTAGACGGAAATAGAAATCCTACGTCGCTACGCGTTTTGGTGTCGCAAGTTGGGTGCAGTCGAAGCGCGGACGGCGCTTACAGTCAGGTCTTGGGGAGAGGAGCCAATGAGGCTTAAGATAATTTGTTGACTTTGAACCAAATGTTTCAACCCCGGGCCGACCTGTCGGGCCGCACTTGAAACCACGAGGAACCCCGCGTCTTGGCTTCCAGGTACACCCATCCTTCCAGACATCCATCGGAGAACGTGGCAGCCCAGACGGTCCTCAAGGTTCAGAGACATGGCGCGCCTCTTTCAGCATGAGCGGGCTCGGCGGGGTCATCGAGCCGGCGTCAATGGCGTGTCCATGTAAACAGAGAAAATATTTTTGCAAGCCGACAGTAGCCGCCGAGACGAGACCTTTAAGGTAACCCTAACCCTTTTCCCGCCATGAGACAAGTTTCAACGGTTAAACTTCGATAACCATTGAAAACCTACTCGTATTTTGTTCGGGTTGATGAGAGCTCTTAGACTTCGGAGGCTTATCCAACTGGTCTAACTAAAAGCCTTTAGACCATATCACTCGAATCTCCTTAACTTCGTTCTCCCTCTTCCCTGCCGCGGAAGCCAGATGCGGAAAGTGGGGTATGTTAACAAATCCGTTATCGAGGATTCGACAGGCAACGGCCGGGCAGGCGCGCCTTTGCTGATGGACCTCCCAGAATAAGAATTGGTGTGTGCCCCTCCACGCATTGCCTACCAGTTCCCAATGCCCCGCACTTCGTTCTTCCTCACACCCGCCTCAGCCTCTCCAAGTCACTTGCTTCATTGCTTGTCGAGGCGATCTGTTTGTTCTTTCAACCACGTTCCCCGCCATAACACCACCCGTGTCCGGTTTGCGTCACCAGCCCTTCTACCAGCGTCGCCAACTCCTTTCCGGCGGACCCGCGCCCAGCTTTGCCCAACAGCCGCAAGCTCCCGTTCATATCTTACCGAGGCTACACGAGCCCACCAAGCCCGAAAAATGGCTCCTCAACTCGACGGCTACTTCCAGAAGGTCGACGCCCTGTCCGATGCCTTCATCGAGCGCCTGCGCGAGGCCGTTGCCATCCCGTCCATCTCATCCGAGGCTGCCCGCCGTCCCGACGTTGTGCGCATGGGCAAATGGCTTGGCGATGAGTTGACCAAGCTCGGCGCCTCGGTTGAGCTGCGTCCGCTAGGCAAACAGGAGGGCACCGACCTCGACCTGCCTCCTGTTGTACTGGCTCGCTACGGCAACGACAAGAACAAGCGGACTATCCTTGTCTATGGCCACTACGATGTGCAACCGGCCGAGAAGAGCGACGGCTGGGACACAGAGCCGTTTGAGCTCAGCGTCAAGGAGGATGGGCGCATGTGCGGGCGTGGCTCGACCGACGATAAGGGGCCCGTCTTGGGCTGGCTGAATGCCATTGAGGCGCACAAGGCCGCTGGCATCGAGTTCCCCGTTAACCTTCTCATGTGCTTTGAGGGCATGGAGGAGTACGGGTCTGACGGCCTGGACGACTTGATCAACGCCGAGGGCAAGAAGTACTTTGCCGACGCCGATGCCGTCTGCATCAGCGACAACTATTGGCTCGGTACCGAGAAGCCGTGCCTGACTTACGGTCTGCGTGGGTGCAACTACTACAGCATCGAAGTTTCGGGCCCTGGTGCGGACCTGCATAGTGGTGTGTTTGGTGGCACCGCGCAAGAGCCCATGACGGACCTGGTGCGTGTCATGGGGTCTCTGGTGGACACTGACGGCAAGATCTTGATCCCGGGCATCATCGAGCAGGTAGCGCCGGTGACGAGCGATGAGCATGGCCTGTATGACGGCATCGCATTCACGATGGAGACGTTGCATGATTCGCTCGGCAGCAAGACAACGATCTTTGAGGACAAGAAGTCCACCCTCATGGCCCGGTGGCGGTACCCATCCCTCTCACTCCACGGCATCGAAGGTGCCTTCTCAGCCCCTGGCGCGAAGACAGTCATCCCTGCCAAGGTCATTGGCAAGTTTTCGATCCGGACCGTGCCCAACATGGAGATTGAGAAGACGAACGAGGTGGTGTGCAAGTATGTCGAGGATGTGTTCAAGAAGCTTGGGTCCAAGAACAGCCTCAAGGTGTACCCTCAGCACTGCGGCAAGTGGTGGGTGGCCAGCCCCAACCACTGGAACTTCTCGGCAGCGGCCAAGGCGACGGAGCGTGTCTGGGGCGTCAAGCCGGACTATACCCGCGAGGGTGGCAGCATTCCCGTCACGTTGACGTTTGAGCAGGCGACGGGCAAGAATGTGTTGCTCCTGCCGATGGGCAGCTCAAACGACGGCGCTCACTCGATCAACGAGAAGTTGGATAAGCGGAACTACATTGAGGGTATTAAGCTTCTGGGCGCGTATCTGCACTATGTGGCCGAGGAGCCGATCAACTAGGTTGGTCCTCTCGTGGGGGTGAATGGGTAGGATTGTTGTTCCATGAACGGGGCATTAGACAATATCATGCCATGTCAAGGGACATGTATTAAGACCTGAATATCACCAATTCTGCATGCCAAAACTTGTTTAAAGCCAGATTCTGGACCCGTCCTTCGAAAAAAGATTATTAATGCGGGAAATGCGAAGGCACTCCAAAACGAAACCACAATCGCCCCTGTCCCTCTGGTCCCTCTCATTTCCCAGTCTGGCGCTATCCATAGGGTTTCAAGTCTCTCGAGCTCCACCACCGGCCTTATTTTGTCACCTCCACCATGTAAGGTAGTACGGCATTTCCCCCATTACTAACATCAAGCCCCAAAATTAAGTGCTCCTAGGAAGGTACGCACGCCGAATACGCCTAGATCAACGCACTGGCATCATGGCGCCAGCTCTTCAGGCCTCCGGCCCTCATCTGCCGGCGCCTGGCAACCACACTCGCGTCCCACACACCAGCGAACATGTCGTCACATTCGTCCTCGTCCTCCAAGTCGAACACGACCAACCCTTCATCCCCGCCTTCCTCTTCCCCCCTCTCTCTCGGTCGCCAGTCCCCTCCTCTTTCCCCGAACACATCATCGTCGTCGTCGTCGTCATCATGAAAACTTCCATGAAGCCGATCACCCCTTTCCCCCTCTAACTCCAAATCCTCCCAGCCCTTAACCTGCACCACCCGTTTCGTCTCCAGAATGTACTTGCCGATTTTATACCGCTGCGCCGGTTCCCACGCGTCGATATACTTCCACCCGATATTGGCGCGGCACACGGCACAGGTGACGTCCGCTACGGTGTGGGGGCCGGTGATGAGCTGGCGCTTCTCGGCGGGTCCGAGGCGGGTGTTGATCAGGTCGCGCGGGGCGTTGGGGTCCTTATCAGGGCCGTCTTCGCCGTTGTTGCCGGTGTCTTCATCTTCTTCATCTTTTTCGTCCTCGAGATCAGTTTTGTCGTTGTCGTCATCGTCGTCGTCTGTTTGTAAGCAGGAGCGCTTTCCGTGGCGCTTGGGACGTGTCGCGGGGATGGTCGGGCAGGTTGGCGTTGGGAGAATGGCTGGGGGCGCTACGAGGTAGGCGCGGCCGTAGCGGCCCTGGAAGCATTTGCTGATGATCTGGGCGTGGAAGGCGACATCGGTGGCACACCCTCGGCAGCGGAGAGTGTCGTGGCGGATGTGAGAAAGACGACGGCTTCCACTTCGGGGGTGATCTGGCGCGGTAGATAAAGAAGGGGTATCAGGCGCTGAGGAGACGGGTGACGTTGGAGAGGCGGAAAGGGACGGGACAGTGTCGCTTGGACTTGTGCCTGAGCTTGTGCAGGATGAGGGCCCATCCTGCGGCAAATCGGGGTTCGCGTTCGAGCGGCGTCGGCGGGTGAAGGGAATGCGCAACGATGGGAGAAGGTATAGGGGGAAAGTTGGTTTCGGTACGGGCGCGGGCGTGGGCGCTGGCGACGTTGTCGTTCTCGCTCTTCGAAGGGTTACAGGTATTATGGCGTCCATATTGGAACGCAAAGTGTGTGAGAGTTTAAAGACTTAATTAAAGCAATGCAGAATGCTTCTCTCTATAGGTTGAGCTCAATTTACTTCCTGTTGTTATTTTGCTAGGTATTCGAAATATGGTGATATCATCAACGGTAGTGAAGGTTGATGGGAGCAGCTGCTCTTAAGTTGGGTCGTCGGCATCAGGAGCCCGACAAGACGAAGTGCATGATATGTCTAGAATAAAGCTGAAAGATTGGCCAAACGGCCGCATACATGAAACCTTTTGTTCAACAAACATTCGCCGCAAAGGTCTGAGAACATGTTGACGCAATGACATGATTTGATAGCAGCTTGACCACATGACACTCCCCGCATTGCGGCATTGTCCGGGCCGCGATGTCGCTCTTGCAGTCAAGGGAGAGCTAACCTCCAACGATGCGGGGCCATCCCTGCTGGAGCTGGTGATGTCCGAGAACCAGGGCCGACCCTAACCCTTAAACGACACGCATCGTAGGCTTACATACTATGTACGGGTAGTAACGTTAGCACTCCGTATTGGGGGGATATGAAAGTGAGTCGCTTTATGGTGTGTTTTGCAAATGTGTCAATAGACGGGCGGGAATGTAAGAATGTAAGGCCTTGTGCGGGACGTGGTTGTTGCTTGAGGTGTCGAATTACTTTGTAGTGCAAGTTGTTTCCGCCCTTCGATGACTAGGTAAACGAGAGGGAGAGACGAATATTTGAGATCGGGATTATATTCTTGTTTGTCCTGTAGGATTGTTGTAGGAGGAAGCTGTGCTTATGTAGAAGCGCAACCGCCAAACCTGGCAATGCGTTACCAAGTAGGTCTTCAGTGACCCAGTCGATCTTTCGAGCTGGGGGATGCACGGGGTGTTGTGCCGACAATCAGGTTGGCCAACTCCCCGCGAAGGTGTCCCTAAACGGAAACTTGGAGAAAGCACGCTGCGCCACCTCTGAAACAGGACGTGAAAGTGCTTCTCAGCTCTTCGTTGCACGACACCAACGTTAGATTAGGTTTGGTTTCCTTGCATATAAATGCCGTTAGCCCCACGAGTTATCCCAAACAAGGTGTTTCGAAGCAGCGGTTCATACGAAGTGGACATATTTCCACTATGGACCGACCGCGCGACTTGGTGCGGCGCGACTCCGACGGCCAGACTTTCATTATCCCAGCTTCACAGCTTGCTGGGCCCGATGATCCGACGCCATGGCCGCGACAGTTCACACTCATTGCGCGGAGCGTTATGGCGATAATGGAACTGGTCACGATTGGTTATTTGGGATACTATACACATATTATGCGGAATCACGGTCGGGATGCGAGACCTGGGCTCGGGTTCGTTGGGGTAGGTCCCCATATCAAAACGACTGGGCGTGTTCGCGGGCACGGAAGCATCTAACGCGCCACAATAGGTCATATTGGCCCTGATCAATGATGTCCTAGTCACCTACGTTGCGACTGTCCAACGGTATACGGCGCAAAGAAACTGTTACGCCACCATGATAGATATCCTGTCTGCGTCACTCGCTTGTGGCGGGGCCGCTATTGTTGGCTGGGTGGTGTCGGTCCCGTCGGATCCGTGGTTTGAACAGCATAACACGGCGGGGAACTTGCTCATGGGTGTGTAGTAGGTTCTTCCCTCGCTGGCCTGGGTAGGCTTGGAGTTGAATAACAATCCGCTGACAACGCGACTCACGCGATTTGTAGTGGCGCCCACTTCATGGCTGTTTTCGGTGGTTTGATCGTGTGCTGCGGTTGTTGCGCCAGGGGCTCCGGCGAGGGTGAGAAGTCAAATGACGTTGAATTGGGGACGGCAAACCCGGCGTGGTCGGGCGCAGCGGGCGCTCCAGATACGGGTGGTGCTGAAACGGAGCCGCTTCACGCCGGGCCGAGTGCGCCAGGGGTGTCCTATTCTTCGGAGGATTGGCAGAACGAGACGAAAAAAAAGAGGCAGAGCGTGGCGAGCGCGGACAAAGTCTTCCACATTGATGCGCCGAGGGAGATATCCGGGGCGAGTAGACCGAGCAACTAGAACAAAGGCTGGATCTCCTTAGATAAGTAGCTGGTTGTATGTACGGATACACTAGTTAACTAAGTGACGAGGTGACTAGCAGTGGTGTGGTGGCTTGTTGGAGGTCTTTCAGGTTTGACTTGACACCGGCGCGCTCCCTCTTGTTTGATCACCACAAGATCCACTGCCCATGGCCTGGAGCCAGTGGGTCTCCCGTGCCGATGTTCCGCCAAGCGTTTGGGCCGTGCGCCGAATGCGGTGGTTGGCTCAAGATGATTCGCGGCCCCACTTCTGTCTACACGTGATGGGCCATCAAATGCCAAGAACCTTGCACTTTGCCTCTGCTGGCCCGCTCGATTTCCCTCACCGTTTTTGTCAGCCCAACCCATAAAGCCCGAGCCGTTGCCACCGCCAACAACATTTTCCTGTCAGATCTCCAACATCCAACAACCGACCGGTTAATTGATAATCATCGCTGCCGACCCTCATCATAGAACCTATTTCGCCACGAAAGTCTCCCCGACCCCGAAACCCCTTCGCTTTTTCCAAACACCAACACCCTGGCATCCCGTAGCAATGGCGCCCATGAAATCACCGAAACAAAACCATAGTAGTAGTAATTATGGCGAGGGCATTGTCCGCCAGGCCAATATCCTCGCCAGCTGCTATGTTGTGGACTCGTCCACGGCCTCGTTGAAGGGCCTCCACTACTGCACTACGGGGCTCGCAGGGGCCGAGTGGTATTCCTGAGGTCCCTTCGACGGGACTTCCATCGCCGCCATCAAGCCCCCCCCTCGCGGCACTCACGACGACCAACCAGCTCGCGCTGACCCCCAAGGCGAGGTCATCATCCACGCGCGGACACAGCGTTGGTCGTCGTAGCTCGGCTGCTGCTGCTGCTGCTCATGACAGCAGCGCCTGGCATCACCGCCGAGGGGGGGCAACACTGCGCATCAGGGAAGAATGTGAGAGGTTCTTTTGCGAGACGTTGCGCGCCATGCTTCTGGGTGAGAGGAACGCGGCGCTGCACGGCTCGGGCCTGGCCAGTGTTTACAACAACAGCAACAACCATGACAACATCACCGACAACAACACCAGCTACATGAGCCACCACGGCCAGCTGACGCCGCCGGACGAGTTCCCCATCGCGGATGAAACTGCCATGGGACGTCGCGGCTTTGGCGCCCGTGGTGGCGTGCTCGGCTGGTTGGAAATCTGGGACTATGCCGGCGGCTCAAGCTTCCGCGGCTTCGTCGCCGAGGATACTAGCCGTGAGACCAAATCGTTGTTTGTCTTTTTTGATGCTCACTCCATCACCCGCGATCTGAAGCAAGCGTACGTATTTCCACACACCCTAACACGTGGATACCCGCTTGGCCCCTTTTTCTAACCTCATACAGACTTGTCGCTTTGATCGAGTTGGCCGAGGGTCCGCTGGCTTGCTCGCATATGGTCATCTGCATCGAGCGGTCCATTCCCGAGGAGGAAGGGAAGGGCTTGACCAAGGGACTCCAGTGGGCCGGCTTTTCGCTCACTACCCTGGATTTCTGGGCTCCTGGCTTGGACGTTTTGAGCAACCGATGGCTATTCATGGGGATGGAGGTTTAAGCGGAGGATCTGGAGATTGACAGATGAGCAAGCGGTTTATTCTTTCATTTCTTTGCCTTGTTCTTTACAGCATCCTCCTCGATACCTGTACGCGTTCTTGGGTCTAAGTTTTAACATTCTTTGGGTTTTCGTTGAGTTAACTGCATATTGCTCTTACAACGGAGTAAATGTGGCGGAGTTATAAAAAACGGTCGTCTTGCTCTAAACTCTAGGCGCTCATATGGATATTGTGTTTGTTGTGTAATTTACTAGAAAGTAACCAACCATGTATGTGACTCTTCAAATCCTCACAGATTCCCCTCAAACTTCCTCACCGTCAACCCCTTTTCCGCTAGATAATCTTTCACCTGCTGTACCGTGTACTCCCCCCTGTGGAACATACCCGCCCCCAAGGCCGCATCCGTCGTGGTCTCCTGGAACACCTCCATAAAGTGACCCGGGTTGCCCGCCCCGCTGCTGGCAATCACTGGTATCTTGATAGCCTTCTTAACCTGCGAGATCAACTCCAGGTCAAACCCGCTGTTGGTACCGTCCTTGTCGATACAGTTGAGCAAGATCTCGCCGGCACCCATGGCCTCCACGGCCTGGGTCAACTCGACGACATCCAGGTCACGCGTCTCGCGACCGCCCTTGATTGTGCAGGCGTACCAGCAATACTCCTCGCCGTTGGGACCCGGGGTGGCAGTCTTGACGGTAGCGTGGCGAGTGGCGTCTTGCTTGGGGACGTATACCCGCTTAGGGTCGACGCTGACCACGACGGCTTGGTTCCCGTAGGCTTTGCTAATCTGCTCGATGGCGGTGTTGCCGTACAGGGTCTTACCGGCGCGGTAGTACTCCTCGGCGGCAATGACCGCGTCACTGCCAACGGACACTTTGTCGGCGCCGCTCTTGAAGTACATGGTTGCGATTTCCAGCGCAGAAACCTTTGTCCCATCCACATCGACCGTGTCCCGGATCCCACCGCCTATTGTCAGAGGCACAAACACCGTTTCTGATGTCCTCCGCAAGATCTCAAGCATCGGTAGGTCGGCCACGGGGCAATCACGGAAGGACGTGATGTTGAGGAAGGTGACTTCATCAGCGCCTTGCTCGTAGTACTTCTTTGCCATCTCCACTGGCTTGCCTAGGTTCCGTACGGAACGGTCGTCCGACTTCTCGCGAACATCGTACTGGTCCCCCTTTGTCACGACAAGATCTCCTTGGTCGTTGGTCCGCACGTCGAGACACGCAATAACACGCCTTGTGAGCCCCTCCTGCGCAATCAGTTGGTCGATTTTCCCATTTGAAGCTCCCAGACGCTGGGTTTCCGCCAGCGCTTTGGCTCCCGACCCGTCCAAGAACGAGCGCAAAACCCTGAGCCCTGCCACGCCGCTCTTTTCCGGATGGAACTGCGTCGCGAGCACATTGCCCTTGGCCACAGCGCCAATAAACGTCTCGTTGCCATATGTGCCTGTAGCAACAGCCCAGCCGAGCCCTTCCAGTTCACCCTTCTTGTACGGGTACTTGTACGAGTGGACGTAGTAGTATTTTGAATCGGGGCGGAGGCCGTAGAGGGTCTGGTCTGTGGCACAGGACGCATTGTTCCAGCCGATGTGAGGGACCGCTTTCACGGAGTCGTCAAATCGGTCGAGGGCGCCCGGAAGGACACCTAGGCCGGGGTAGTTCGGGTCTTCAGAGGAGTTCGAGAAGAGGGCCTGCAAGCCGACGCAGATGCCCATGAATGGTTTCCCAGCGTCGATGTGGGCGCGAAGGGCGGGGACGTAGCCGGCGGCGGAAAGCTGGGAAAGGCAGTGTCCGAAGTGGCCTACGCCGGGGAGAATGAGGCTCTGGCGTACGAAGGAGTGTTAGTCACTCTGTACACTAAGTCTTGGAGTATGAATACTCCTTACATCTGCCCTTGCGACATCCTCCGGTGACCGGATCCAGTCAACCTCGTAGCCGACCTTCTCGATCGCATTGACGAGGCTGCGCACGTTACCGGCGACGTAGTCAAGAAGGTAGACCTTGGGCATTGTTGTGAGCTCCTGTTGTTAACACAATGCAGAAGGACAATTGGGAGAAAAGAGGGTTGTGTTCAGGATTTAGGAGTACCTAGCCCCATTGTAAGTGGGTGACTCAATGGGAAGTTCTTGTCCAAAAATATTCCAGGGCGCGCAGCACAATGGCGGGGCATCGTCCGTCAATCGCAACTCCACTAAAACTACCCCGCCATCGGTCGAGCTGCAGGGGACGGGGTCTGCTGTAACGTTATTTTGCCTGCAGTGACCGCTAAGAAGTCAATTGATTGCTCGTTCCGTCATGATACTCAACATTCATCCGTCGCGTTCAAGCCAACGTACACCTGCAACCATTTCAAACCGTCCCCACGAAACAACCGCATCGGCAGTAATTCAACTCCCCAGAACTTCCAAGCTAGACGTGGCGCACACTCGGGCAGCATTGGCCAGCTGCGAATGAATATGGGATCGCGCAAAGAACGTCCGCAATCGTCTCCTGACAATGACGATGGGTGGGAATACGAGTACTCGACAACAGAAACTGAGGTCGGCCATCCGCGATCCGTGATTCCCCGTCATTATCTGACCTGTAGGCATACAGACCTATTACTTAACTCTAGATCTATCGGTCCGCGACTTTCTCGAACGAAGAACGGACGATGTTGTCCACAACACAAGAACCGGTTATCGCGTATGGTACAACCCCCTGTTCAACGCGCCTGAGCAACACGCCTCAAATCCCGATCTCCTTGACGATAAAGACGCCGACGATGGGGAACCTCCAGAACGAGAGGAGGTGGACCTCGACACAATCGGCGCGCCGCAGCCGCAAGAACCGACCGAACCTGTAATTGATCCCTCGCTCGGCCGGCCGGCACAGAAACAAGACGTGTCGGACGCGAATACAAGCAATAAACCGGAAGAGGAAATCCAAATATTAGGTCTTCATTCCAAGGAGCCAATCGTTTCATACCGCAACCATGTGTTTCGCGGGTCATGGTGCGAAAATATTGGCACTGAGATGATCTTTTCGCGGCACGACGAGGCGACTCCTCTCCCGGCTCTGCGCCATCTTCCCCACAATATGGATTTGATTGCGGCAAGCGCAACAAGGATCAACTTCCAGGAGGCGACGTTGGTCTCAAATGAGGCTGGCATGGGGCGAGAAACAATGTTCCTGGGTTTTGGCTATACCGAAGAGGATATTCCTGAGCGGTACAAGCGAAACGGGGGGATCTACGTCCACATTGGCGGAGACAAGAGCGGCCAGCGACAACCGCAGGCGCACTTTCTGGAGGACCTCATTGCGCTCAAACGAAAACGCGGGGAGACGGACGAAGTCACCGTCTTGCCGTTGGAGACACGGCAGAACAAACTCATGGTCGAAGACGAAGAGGAGGAGCGGCGGCGGAGGAAGCAGCGGCAGGACCATGCGAGGAACGTCAGATGGCGCGACAAGCGGAGGGAGGAGCGGGAGATGGGAATTGGGTCGCCGGAGCGGGATTACATCCCGAGGATGGGCGGCAGACGAGGGTGGCCGAAGAGGGCGAGGCGCGCTGCGCTTATTCGAAGGGATAGTGGTGCGATCTCGCGGTTTGGGCCGAGGCCGGACCGGACCGGGTCGTCAACTCCAACACCGCAACACTGGGCCGATATTGCCAATGATAAGGCCGAATGAGAACGTGGGAATTTGAAAGGTGGCCGTCAGCTTCAAAACCTCCTACCTTGGTGGAACAACAACCCACGAGACCCCGACCTCCGCACCCACCTGGTGTTGACCCAGACAGTTCATTCTCCAGACTTGGCGCACGAGGGCCTCGTGAACCCCGTCATTCGCCGCAAGCGGGGCGGTGGGGCTGCCGAAGTACGCACGTGAGTAGAGTTACTCATAGCTAGGCCACTGAAGCGCGTGTGGATAAGTACCGGTACATCTTGGCTGACGCATGCGCTCTGCCCCTCCCCTGCGTTCCTGACTGGTGGCGCTGTCTCACACTGGGCCAGCGCAGTGCTGCACCGCCCAACCTAGTTTCAGCAGCTTGATGCATCCAGATCTGTTCCTCCACATCACCACTTTTCCGTGTTCCCCGTTGTTTCCTGTGTTTCTTCTCATTCTGACCTCAACCTCATTCCTTTTCAACTCAAATCTAGAATCTACGATCTTTACCGTACCGCGCACCTATTCCGGCGGTTCCGACCACTTTACCGAGTGCCTGACCTTCCGACACCCCGCGCTTTCTTGGTCCCTCACCGCCGAGCACATCCCGCGGACGCTTTGTCGATCGGTACCTGATCTACGAAACCGTTGAACAAAAATCGACACCAATGCAACAGCGCAACCGTCCGATCTGCTGGTGGTGATTTTCGATAATTAATAGTGCTCCGGTGGCGCGCTCGCCTTCTGCGACGTTTCGACATGTCGCTCATATCGTACAGCCTTCGCCGGGTGACTCTCGCATTCGTCCTCCTGAGCGGCATCGTTTTCACCCTCTGGCTCCTACCACGCATCCTCAATCCAACACCACCAGATGCCGAGGAACGCCAACGGGATAAGCAATGGGTTGATAGTTCGCCGAGTTGGGTCGATCGGCAGGCTTGCCGATGGCTCGGCCTGTGCGGGATACAACACATTCGCTGGGATGCGCCGTCGCTGGACACGCAGCGGCCGTCCACAATGGACGAGCTCAGGTCGTTGGCCTTGAGTCTGAGCACATTTTGGGTGTTTGGGGCGAGGCCTGGGTTCAGCGACTGGGAGACGGCCCCGGGCCGGCAGGACCGGAGACGATCGCTTCATACAAATAAAGACGAGGGTGCGCGGATACGGGAGGATGTGCCGGACTACGTGCTGGACTATGCGCCGTTGGTGCATCTCTACTCGGGGGAGAATTTCTGGCCCTCCGACATTGCGGAGCATGTTCAGCACATTAAGCCGTACGTGAACGGGTCGATGGTGAACACAACCGAGCCACTGGGTTTGCAGAACCTGGGGAGGTTGAACGCGCTGAAAGGGAACGTCCACGGGACCAGCGACGATGACGTCGAGTCCCGCCCGGCGTGGCTCCACAGCCGATTTTCGATCCCGGGGCCTTTTGAAGACGATGGAAACGAGGACGGGGATGTAGAGGAACCGCCACACCGGCCAGATGATGATACCTGGTGGCAGGACGTCGACCGCGATCACCCACCCCATCGCATTGTGCCGCCTCGGGGGTCGCGTGCGGTCCGCCGGAGACGGTCACTGTCTGGGGATCAACGGCCGATCGTGTGGACCCCCCCAGAAAATACAAAACAAGGTATCAAGCCAAATCCTAGCGGCTACTCCGAAGCGCCTGCCGTTCTAGTTCTTGTCGACAAGGGCTCCGGAATTTTGGACGCCTTTTGGTTCTTCTTTTACAGCTACAATTTGGGCCAGACGGTGCTGAACATTCGCTTTGGGAACCATGTCGGCGACTGGGAGCACTGCATGGTACGTTTCCAAAATGGCGTGCCGCGCGCCATGTTTCTAAGCGAGCACGCCGGCGGCAAGGCATACCTGTGGCAAGCACTTGAGAAGCGCGCGCAAAAGGACGGCAAGCCGGCGCGCCCCGTCATTTACTCGGCCGTGGGCAGCCACGCGATGTATGCCAACCCCGGCATGCACCCGTACGTTCTGCCGTTCAAGCTGCTCAAGGACATCACCGACAAGGGCCCCTTGTGGGATCCGTCGTTGAACAATTATGCGTACTGGTACGACTACGAAGTCAACCGGGACGAGCAACACAACGCCACGTTTGGCAGCGGAGAGCAAGAACAAACCAGCCTGGTCCCAGCGGCGTCGAACCCGGACCTGCCAACCTCGTGGTTCCACTTCGAAGGCACCTGGGGTGATGACATCTACCCGCTGAGCGACCAGCGCCAGTGGCGGTTGTTTGGCGAGTACCATTATGTTACGGGACCGCGGGGGCCCAAGGCCAAGTTCCTAGAGCGGCGCAAGGTGTGCCAGACAGAGAAGTGCACGATTGTGGACAGCATTGAGGCGGGCAAGAAGTCGGCTTGGTATTAGCTGGCGTGGTTCTATTAGCTAGTATGATGCTAATAGCTTGTGTGCTGTGATACCCCTTTTTCTTGGTCGTTGTTTTATTGGCGAAGCGGCGAAACAGAGAGTCCTTTTAAGACAGACTTGGTACAAGACAGCAGTAGACAATAGACATGGCCTGATTTATCTTTATCTCTATCCTAATTACATCGCAGCTTAAATTCCCGCCTAATCAAACCGACCAGATGGATGCATCCTCCACCCCCGATCTACCCCTTCTCTCTGATACCTCTCCCAAGTACCCGCCCCGCGCAATAAACGAATCGAATCTATCCACCCACCCTCTCTACCTCCCCTCCATCGTCCAACCACGCACCATCACCTCATCCGTCGCCCTCATCCTCTTCCGCGGCACCTCCGGCCGCAGCACCTCCGACCAGCCCCCCGTAAGGAACCGAATGCAGTACGGCACGGCGCCGATGGCCCACCCGACGATGTAGAAGACTACCAGGCAGATCTCGATTACGGCACAGATCCAGAGGGGGAGGATGAAGAGGAGGAGGAGGGGGATGAAGTCGATTTCGGGCTCGGGTTGGTAAAGGGCTCGGTTGTTCATGCTGAGGTGATGTTATGCGGCGCCTGTGATGTCGAAGTTTTTGGTGTTGTTTGTTTGTTTGTTTGTTTGGGGTGTGTTGAAGTCGGAGGTTGCTTAGATAGTGGATAGTAGATGCCGAACAGAAAGGGTAATGATGCAGTGGGTTGGTGTTGTAGGCTAGACTCAGAGTTAGACGCCGGATAAGATAGGGGAAGGAAGGTTCATACTTGATACAACACCTAGAGCGGTTGTGTTTGGAAATGTTTGTTGAGTGAAGATCTCTAGGCACGCATGCTTGGAGCAGTTGGAGGAGTTTATACTTAACAGATGGCGCGACTTCTAAAGTGTTCAACGAGAAGATTCTCCCTGTGTCTCACATTCTTAGAGTTGAGAGACAACAACCAGGGCTGGAGCTATAATGGGTCGTTTGGAGAACATTCCATGATAGACATAGAAGTCCTTTTTCTTTCCGTGAGTTCTCAACAATTACCAATGTCGGTGGTCTCAGGGGTCAACGGACACTACATCGTGAGGCAGGGGAAGTGTGAGACAGCACTCAAAGAACGGCGGGTCTCGGGAGCAAGCCATTGTGAGCAGCACAGGCCTTCATTTTGATTGAGGGGGTAGTAAGGTAGGAATCATGCCTTTGTCGACTTTCTGGATCTCCATCTACGGAAAAATAACCGTCTTCTTTCCTCTGTTCAGGTGTTCGACCTCTTACGCGGTCATCAGATAAAGCTGTGCTTTTCACTACCGAAGCCACAGGCATCGGTCTTTAGCAGGTATAACAAAGCTACTATAGGAAGTGTCGTTGGATGACCAGAGGTGTTCGAGAGATGTTTCCCGGTCTATAATCACATGGTCTACCCGCACCAATAGCAGTATCCCCGTCATACTTACAAACGTCAAAGATATCACAGCATTCCATTTCCCAGACATTAAAGTCAAAGAGAGCCTAGAACATCTAGATAGTTGCTGGTAATGTATCTAGATAACAAACCACCATCACACAATAAAGCCACACAAAGCCAAGACGGAGGCCACCCCGTCCGAGCTTCTCTTGGACTTCTCTTGGAACCACTATGAACCACAAGCATGCTTTCAGTCAGTCGGTCAGCCAGAGATAGCCAAACGAAACCGAGACATCCCTCCCAAATATCTCGTCAATCCTCAGGACAGCACCTCAAAATTCCGGAAACTAACGGCCTAAATAAACAACCAACCATCCAACCTAACGTCTACCAACCTACCAACCAACCGACCATCCGACAATCACCCGGACGGAGGAAGTCGGCAGCTCCCGAGAATATCCCACCACGGACAATACTTCCCACTCGGCAAGTCATTCCACAATCAGCCTGTTTACAAACGACTGGAAGCCAAGACCTGACAATGGCACGCGGTCCACCCTAGCGAGCTCCCCTTTCCCCTGGCTTTCCCCCGGGTTCCGGGTCGTTGCGGCTGTTTGGATGGACTGACATGTGGCGGTTGGGAGGTTGCAGTGGTGAATTTTGGCTAAATCTGCTGGGAGCCACTTGATGGATGGGGGTTGAGGATGTGTGTGTTGTGTTCTATATCCGTGTATGGGGCTGGGTCTGGGGGAGGCTACAAAGGGGATTGGGGAAGTGGGGAGATGGGTGAGTGCGTGGCGGTGGCGTTTGGAGTGAGACATGGGCTTTTGGCATGTGCTGGGGTGCAGGAGACAATGCAGAGAGGGTCAGGATATTGATGGAATAGTTGAGATATCGAATGTGGTGTTTCTTCCATTCTTCTTTTTTTCTGATCGCCGGATTAAGCTTTGTGGGGAAGACGCTATCACCTGGAGATCTTTGCCGGGTTTTGGCGGAGATCAGCGCCAGTGCGATCGATCGTGAGTTTATTTTGTGGCCCTACGGGCATTTCTCATGACGATCTTGGACCCCTCTGTGGGAAAAGAAAATACCCCAAGATATTCTCATCAAAATCCAACCCCCAAAATCCCACTATATTTTCCGTATTTCCCCTCACGGCACACGCTTCCATTGCCACATGGACAACAATGCAGCCGCCGGAAGTGCAGACAAAGCGAAGCGAGACAAGCGAGAACCGCTGCGTGACCAAAGTCAAGCTGCCAATTTCATGCTACCGTGACCTTCCCTTCCGTTTCTCCCGGACTTTTGCGGTTTAACGAGAAAGCGCCCGAATGATCATCCTTAGCACACCCAAAAGAACGAAAGGAAAGAACAAAAAAGAAGGCGTTCGGAAAGGTAAGAGCCGCAATTCCCAAATGTAGTAAGTGTGAGGGACCTCGTGGGACGAGAAAAGGGGGCTGAATGGCCATTTTCAGCACCGCCCAACGCTCTAGAACGGGGGTCCTGGGAACTTACAGGAACTTACACTGGAGACTTGTTGGGGTGGTATCAGGTCTTGTTTTAGCCGGCGGTTGAATCGGCAGTCAGTCAAGCTCAGGATTGAAACGCCGGCCGTTTTTGCCGGGCCATTCTCATCGGGATATTTTCTTTCTTTTTTTTGTTTTCGAGATGGAGAGGCCGGATCCGGGTGGGTGTCCATGCCCCCCCAAGGGGTGTTCCCATGAACCCGGTTGAGAGAGTGAGGTGATCAACAGGGCTGATGGGTTTAAGACGGGTTGAGTGAGGATGGGCCTCTTCTTTTCCTGTTCCTGTAATTATGTGAGGGTGAACCCGGTTGTTGGGTTTGTAGAGTGTGCAATGCCGAGATCTAATAATTAATATAGAGCACATTTGATGGACATCTTACTCAGTAGTTACCTAGGTTGTTCTTGAGGTACCTGTTGCCACGCTCTGCAGTGGCGGGCTTTCGCGAGCCCAGATTCCAGGCCCAAAGCGCGAAGCTTTCTCCAAGACCCTTTTCCGCCCCTGGCCATTTCCGAGGTTGCATTCAGCCCAACGAGGGGCCTTGGCAACGGAGGTAATGCCCTGTCCACCGCGTCACGATCGTGATCTTGGCGGTGGAGGATCATGTCCTTGACCACTGGTTTCTGTCTCAGACTCATCCATCTGTTCAGAAGGGTGTCAGAAGGAGGATATCATTATTATTAGTAGTAGTAGTATCACAAAACCAAGGTCAACTAGTTGTGTGTTAATGAGAAGGACGACCAAGAAACCGCGAAGAGTAACCACGGACGAGCACGGGCGAAGTACTTCACATGGATGCACCCCAGCCGGCATTGACGCCCGGGAGATTCAACAGCGCCAAGGGCGGGGAGCGTTGCAGGGCGGAGACGCGGGGAGAACATGGGGAAGGGACATGGTGTTGAGCCTGATGGAGTGGACGACCGAAGAGGCGAACTGGGTTGGCTCAGGGGCTAGACTAGACTGACTAGCCTGGAACCTGGCAACCGTCCATCCCGGGGTACACCGTATACCCAGCTCACCCGGGGTCGTCGACGTCGAAAGGTCTGGCTAAGAATAGCAGTTGTCTGGGCCGCGATTCCGTCAAGAGATACCTTCTCTGGTAGACACACGGCTATATAACCGTCGACATCCTCCCACGATCCGCCGACTGCCTTTCTTCTTCACGACCTACCAACCTCCCCAAAAAAACATCGCCAAGTGATAACACAATGGTCACCCTCACATCCCTCCTCGTGGCAGCCACCACGGCCATCTCGGCGGTCGTGGCTGCGCCCGGCGAGATGCCCGGCATGGAACGCCGGCAGACTCTCACCCGCAGCCAGACGGGCACCAACAACGGGTACTACTACTCGTTCTGGACCGACGGCCAGGGCAGCGTCAGCTACACCAACGGCGCGGGCGGCTCGTACAGCACGCAGTGGTCGGGCAACGGCAACTGGGTCGGCGGCAAGGGCTGGAACCCGGGTTCTGCTCGGTATGTTTATCCCTCTCTCTGTCTCCCTTGTGACTCCAAGGTAGATGAGTAAGTGGTTCATGCTAACTGACAAAAACAGGACCATCAACTACACGGGCACCTACAACCCCAACGGCAACTCCTACCTCTCCGTCTACGGCTGGACGCGCAACCCCCTGATCGAGTACTACGTGGTCGAGAACTTCGGCACCTACAACCCCTCCACGGGCGCCCAGCGCCTCGGCAGCGTCACCACCGACGGTTCCGTGTACGACATCTACAAGACCACCCGCGTCAACCAGCCCTCGATCGAGGGTACCTCCACGTTCGACCAGTTCTGGTCGGTCCGCCAGCAGAAGCGCACCGGTGGCTCGGTCAACATGCAGGCTCACTTTAACGCTTGGTCGCAGTCCGGTCTGCGGTTGGGTAGCCATGATTACCAGATTGTTGCTACGGAGGGGTACTTCTCGAGCGGCTCGTCGAACATCAATGTTGGTGCCTCGTCTGGCGGCGGTGACACTGGCGGTGGCAACACTGGTGGCGGTAACACTGGTGGCGGCAATACCGGTGGCGGTACTACTGTACGTTTCCCTACGCTCTACTGTCTACTCTCCCTTGCGATGTTCACTGTCATCGCATCTTCGGGCTCATTTTGTTAACATACTGTGACTTAGTGCTCTGCTCTCTACGGACAGTGCGGCGGCCAGGGCTGGCAAGGCCCGTCCTGCTGCTCGGCTGGTAGCTGCAAGGCCTCCAACCAGTGGTACTCCCAGTGCCTGTAAGGGGACCGACCGGAGAGTTATGTTGAGATGAGGGGATTCAGGGGTTGGAGAGGGTTAGGGTTGTGGGTGGATTGAGGTGGTTTTCATGTACATATTGCTCTTTGCATCAAATCAAGTGCAATGAAGTACAAATCTCAAATTGCCGTTTGGTTCGTGTTTTTTACGAAATGAGTTTGGTTTGTTACTGTGGGTGTGACGCTGGGCCAACTTGACCGGCAAAGAAAGAACATAACCTTCCTCCCTCCATGTTTGGGTTCTTTGACTTCTCTCTATTTTCCGATTCGGCGGCCAAAAGTCCGACGACAACCGTTCAGGCAGGGATAAACCGGCACTTCAAGCTACAAGCGGCTGGTACAGACGCCTCGTTACCGGATGGAGATATATGAAGCCAGCGGGCAACTGCCGTCGGTCGGAGCTAAATAAACCGCCGTCCGTTTGCCGATGTCTTGGCTGTGTTGATCGAAGTTGATGAGGTATGGAGAACAGAGGTAAACTCCCATTTTGTTATAAGAAGTTGAGAATATTAAAACATACTTTCGTCTACCTCGGAGTAGTTAAGCAAACTCGAGACCTGAGCTCAAACCCAAAGTGAGACCACCGCCATGACACCCCCCACCAACATCCGCGTAATCATCGTCGGCGCCGGCTTCGCCGGCCTCGCCGCCGCCATCGAATGCACCCGCAAAGGCCACAGCGTAACTCTCTTCGAAAAGTCCCCCTCCCTCGACGAAATCACCCGTGTCGGCGACATCATCAGTTTCGACCCCAACGGCGCCCGCGCCTTTGAGCGTTGGCCGGGTGTCATCGAGCAGATGGAGGCTATCGCCCGTCAGACGAGTTGGTTGGATCTGTATCATTACCAGGGGCGGTTTGTTACCCGCCAGTCGTTTGCGGGGGAGAAGGCGTGGGGGAGGAGGATTAATGGCCATCGGGGGCAACTGCATCGGATTATATATGATCATGCGGTTGCGAGGGGGGTGGATATTCGGTTGGGTGTGAGGGTGGAGGATTATTTTGAGACTGATGGCCACGAGGCGGACAGCGACAACACCAGCAGCAACTCGGTCCCAGAAGCAGGTGTGGTCTTGGCCCATGGACAACGGGTATCAGCGGACGTGGTGATTGCCGCAGAAGGGGTACGATCTCGCGGCCGGAAGATTGTGTTAGGATTCGACGAGAACCCGAAATCGTCCGGGTACGCCGTGTACCGGGCGTGGTTCCCGGCCGACCGCATCCGGGATAACCCCATGCTGAGCCATCTCGTGGCTGATAGTGTCGACACACACCAGGGTTTCATCGGGCCGGATATCCATTTTCTGGCGTCGACCATCCGCAGCGCGACCGAGGTTAACTGGGTGTTTACCCATATTGATGATGGGAATATTGAGGAGAGCTGGCAGTGCCCTGGGAAACCGGCTGAGGCGCTGCGGTATCTCGACGGTGACGGCGATGAAAACAATAGATGGTGTCCCGTGGTGCGAGAGCTAGTCAAAGCCACGCCCGAAGGCCGCCTAATTGACCACAAACTGGTGTACCGCGACCCGCTACCGACTTTTGTATCCCCCGGCGCGCGGATCTGTCTGATCGGCGACGCAGCCCATCCGTTCCTACCAACGTCCATCCAAGGCGCGAGCCAGTCGATCGAAGACGGCGTGGTGCTGGCCGCGTGCTTGGAGCGTAGTGGGAAGGGGAATATCCCCCGTGCGTTGCGGGCGTATGAGAAATTACGTTATGAGCGGGTGCATCGCGCGCAGGCGATGGGGCCGGTGACGAGGGAGCGTTGGCATAAGGCGGATTGGGAGGAGGTGTGGAAGAAGCCGGAGATGATTCATTTGGTGAGGGAGGAGTGGTTGTTGAACTTTGATGCGGAAAAGGATGTGTATGAGCGGTATGAGGGGGTCGTGGTTGAGCTTGAGTCCAAGTCGGACGGAGAATGAGGTCCAAGTTGACTGCACTGAGTTACGTTAATTGGATCAGACCATGATGCTCGCTGCGCGCAGGTAGTCTACCACGCTCTGGGCAAAAAGACCCTCTTGCACCAGCCGCTCGGCCACTTCGATGACCCAGCTCTGGCAGTTCCTCTGTCGTATCTTGATACGTGGCTGTACCTGTTAGCTTTTTTTTCTTGCCCGCGTCAAGTAACGAGCATCACTCACTGCCTCTGTCCCTTCTACAGCCCGCAACGTCTTCCCAGGCGCGGGCACCTCAAACAGAATCCTCTCAAACACACACCTCGGTTTCCCTTCCACCAACACCTCACCATCACTCCCGCGGGCAAACAGCCCTTGAAAGACTCCCTTCTTACCATCCCCCCTTCCCCCAACAACTACCCCATCACCACGCCCACGACCACCAGCATCATCACCACCATTACCACAAGTACCATCCAGAGTAAACCACTCACTCCCCAGCCACCCCAACGGCACGCTCCTCGGCAGCAAGCCCACACTCCCCCGACTCCCTCGATCCCCACGATGCATATCCCAGCCACGCTTGATCTCAAGCCAGAAACCAGTAGCGACGTCGCCTGCTGCTTGGATGATTGTGCCTGTGCCTGGGGAGTAAGGAGATGTACCAATTTCGTCGAAGTTGGGATTGCGTTGCTGCTGGGGATCGGTAGAGGAGGGTTTAGGGTGGATGGGATTGTGAGATGACGATGACGGGGCAATGTGAAATTCCCAGTGGTCGGCGAAGGGATAGCCGTTGTAAATGAGGAGGGAGACGAGGTGGCTGTTTGGTGGGCCTGCGGTTGGAACATTTGGCGGGGAGATTGAGTTGCGGGGTTGTGGGTTGTTAGAGTTGGGCAGTGTTGACTGCGTTGTTGGTTTTGTCGGGGTTGAAGAGGGGAATATGGTCTGTGGCGGTAGCGGAGGTGGTGGTGGGGCTGGCATTGTGGTTGTGGTTTTGATGGAACGGAATGGGAAGTGGTGAGTTGTTGATGTGTTTGGGAGTGAGGTGCTGGATTGAGTGAGCGGGAGTCTGTGGGGGTCAGACAGTGCTTGACTAACAAAAGACCGAAACCCAAACATGACATGAACAACGTCTCTCGTGACAACACACAATTTGACCCCAAGGCAATGTACACATTAAATAGCACTCTTAGTATTGATACAGCCTGCTATCACGACTGACCGGATGCCTCCTGGTACCCTTTCGGTTTGAACTGCAGGTAATAATACAAGACCGCCATTCCGATATTATCACTTTTGTGCGAACCGTTTTCGGGACCTGGTAAGGACCCGTTGCCTTTTTTTTCCTATTCCAAGATCTGGCATGAACCGCTCTGCTGCGTGAGCATCTTCTTGGTATTTCTTTTATTTCTTCTTTTTTTTTCTCCCCCATTTCTGTGATCTACGCTCGGTTCCCATCGCCCGATGTTTCCGTCGCGACAGACTCACCCGAGACCGACCGCCCCGCAACTTTGTCTTCGTCCTGTGCCTGACGCATCGCCCGGTCACTCAGCCGAATGGGTGTTGACGCCTGGGTGAATCTGGGACGCTCTGCTAGCGCAGGACCGGCTTTATTCGTGGTGGAGTGGGCCGACTTGTCCGTTGTGAACTCGGTATGCCCAGCTGGTCCATCCGGCAGATCATCAAACCCCTTCGGCGGGACAAACCCGGCGGAAAAAGGACCCGGAGAACTTGGTGATCCCGGGGTCCCAATGCCATCGGGTACCTGACACGAGAAGGGCTGCCCCTCCATGCTCGGCGTCAAGGCCTGTCCCATATCCTGCCGGTACCGCTGCAGCTCCGCCAAACGTTCCTCATGATTCTTGCGGTAATCCGTCGTCCGCAGCAACCACTTGACCAGAAGCCGAACCAGCAGCTTCTTGTCGACTGGTTTGGCGATGTAATCGTTCATGCCGTGCTCTAGACACCGTTCGCGGTCCCCCTTGAGCGCATGCGCCGTCATGGCGACGATTGGCAGGAGGATGCCGGCCGCGCGGATCTCCCGGGCCGCCTTGTTGCCGTCCATGACCGGCATGCTGATGTCCATCAGGACCATGTCGTAGGCTGCCGGCTTGCGGCGGACCATTTTCACGGCGTCCAGGCCGTTCGAGGCCAGCTCGATGTGTTGGAAGCTTAGCGCGCGGAGCATGCCCACCATGACCTTTTGGTTGATCAGGTTGTCCTCGACCACCAGCATGTGTTTTGTGGGCGACGCCGCCTGGATCTCAGCCAGGAGATCGCTGTCGACCTCGTTCGATCGGGGTGGAGGTGGTTCGCCGCTGTTGCCCTCGAGAGCCATCGTTGTCCTGCGCTCTTGCATACCTTCAAGCGTCTGGATCTTTTTGAAGTGGGCTGTAAACCAGAACACGCTTCCTTGCCGGTCCGGGTTTGGGCGATAGCCGATCCGGCCGTCCATCAGCTCGGCCAACGATTTGGCAATCGATAGGCCCAGCCCCGTGCCCTTGTATCGCTTGGTCGTGGTGCCATCAAATTGCGTAAAGGGGGTAAACAGGTTGGCCGCAGCGTCTTCGGGGATCCCGATGCCCGTGTCGGTGACCTCAGTCAAGATTGTGTACCCGCTGTCGTCTTCGCTCTCAACCGACGCCGCAACCCGAATGCTCCCCTTGTCGGTAAACTTGGCCGCATTTGAAACAAGGTTCTGCAGGATCTGCCGGTACCGCAGTGGATCGCCCTGTACCGACCTGGGAAGATCGGGGTCCAGAAACAGCTCGAAGTGGACCGCGGGGGCCGACGTGTCCCGCAAGCTGCGCACCATGGAAGTAATAATGCCGGTGACGCCAACGAGGCCGGATTGCATGGAAAAGTTCCCCGACGTGAGCTTGGAATAATCGAGAATATCGTCAATGACTTGCAGCAGCACCTGGCCAGACTCCTCCATGACGCCGACCATCTCACGTTGCTTCGTCGTCAGCGCCGTATCGAGGAGTAAGGCGCACGCGGCCAGCATGCCGTGCATGGGCGTCCGGATCTCGTGGCTCATGTTGGCTAGGAAGTCAGACTTGAGCTTCTCGCTCTCCTCATACGCCGCGATAAGCCGTGACTCGGCCGACTTGCGCTCCGTCAGATCGCGCGTGACTATGCCAAACCCCACATGCAGGCCGTCCTTGTAGACAGTTGTCATGACGATGTCGGCCCAGAACTGGCTGCCATCTTTGCGGCAGCGCCAGCCCTCATCCTCGATGCGGCCTTCGCGTATGCAGATGTCGAGTTCCACTTGCGGCTTCTTGATGTCCAAGTCCGCCTTGCCGTAAAAGACCGAAAAGTGCTTGCCGATGATCTCGTCCCGCGTGTAGCCCTGGAGCAGCTCGGCCCCGGCGTTCCACGTTATGATGTGGCCCCTAGGATCAAGAAGGCAGATGGCGTAGTCCTTGACGTTCTGGACCAAAAGGCGGAACGCTTCGTCCGTCGAGAACCCCGATTTGCCAAAGTCTGTCTCGACGGGGCTGCCGAGGCCGTCGTGCCACTCTAGAATGATGGACAGCAGCTCATCTTGCCTGAAGATGGGGATAATGCGGGCCCGCCACGAGGCACCGTAACTGGTACTGATAGGCCCCGTCGATCGCTCGGCCCGAGCCGCGAGGGCGTCGTCGATGGAGGTGGTGAGCTGCGCGAGCTGGGTCGGTCTGGTGGGCCGCAGCTGGGCCGCCACGAACGGAAGTAGTTCCTCGCCGACGCAATCGGTCACGGACACGCCCCAGTCAGCTAAGAAGAGAGCCGAAGTCTTGGTGATCCGCCAATCCGGAGAGAGGGCGAGGAGCGCGAGGGGGGCAAGGTCGAAGAGAAGACCGGGGTCGGCTGCGTTAGAAGCTGGACCGGGTTCGGAATCCGGGCGCATCGTGGGTGTTCAACGCCTTTTGCTCCAACTCTGTTGTGCTAGGGCGTCTTCTATAGGCATGGGGTGAACGAGAAGTCAAGGTAGCAGCCGGCCGCCTGCATCGAAAGCGATCAACTTGAGGTATCTCAAGTTGGCGTGACATTCTTAACCGAGCCAAGACGACCGGGCTTGTCGCCCGTTGCCGAAGCCTAGAGCGTTCTTCTATGGGATGCATGAGTAGAGGCACCTAAGACTCAGTGGCGAGATCCCACCCGGTAGTTGGTCGAGACTCGACGCCACCCATTATCTCTAAACCGGGGCATGCTTCCTAGCTCTACCTGCGGGGTTGTTATGGTGATGTCAGCGGATCGCGGAACAGACATTCCGGTGCTCTCCTTTTCAGTGAGTTTCGAGGCATAAAACACCACAAAGATGTATGGGGAATCCAGAGGGTAGACAATTCGTAGTCCCGGACTACCCGTTACTAGGACAAACTAACATCCACTAGCAACGACAGCCGGAAACGCGCCGCGCGTTCAGGGTATGATCAATAGCACCGTACGAGAGGATAAATCTAGGAGCCATTGAGAAGTATCAGGGCCCAAACAAGGGAGAACACTGTGAGGTCAGGGATGTAGGTCTGTGTGAAAGTTCCCTTGTCGGAAAACATACCCGGGACGGTTAGAACCGATGGTGAGGTGAAGAAGTTTGGCAACGACAATCGAGAACAGAAAGTCGACGATCAGGGAGGAAGGTGGGCCGACCAAAGGTGGTCATGTGACCTGCCTCACTCTTCGATCGCTCGAGCCTCTCAAGCTGCAGTTCTGCCAAGTTCCGTTTGACATCATCTTTGACTTCACGATCTGGACGGATTGGACTTCATCCATTTCATCGTCTAAAGTGGCATCGCCAATTGGGTAACACTGCCAATTAGACCGTATTTGGGTCATCTCCCTCTAGTGTAGGGCAAGATGGACTTCGTAATTTTTTTTCCGCGTGCTTGCGGTTGAGTCGATTCCGGCCAGTGGTATCTGGAATGTTCTCGCAGCTTCGCGTCGCCACTAGACGACGTCAGCACGTCGACCTTCCGCACACTGCAATCGTGACGACGAGATGGAAGGTGACGTCTGTAGGTATTTCTAGATGTTTCGAGCACGATCATGAGGTTCTTGAAGATGAAGATATAAACCCCAAGACCATCCACGACATCGACTTCTTCTGACCAACAGTTTCAACACCAAACATGCAATCATCTCGCAGACTCATTGTGCGAAATCTCTCTAGTCTACGACCCAAGCAGCAACAGCAGCCATCCATCTTCTCACGAAGCAACATCATCAAACCATCCCAACGCACCAGCAACATGTCGACTCTCTGGCACCCGCGCTTCTCCCACCGCAGCGCCAGCCCCAGCATCTCGCAGGGCGGCGGTTTCTCCTCGCTCTTCCAGTTGCTCGACGACTTTGACCGGTACACCGGGCAGAACCTCCTCAGCCCGCAGGCGAGCGGTGGCCGCACCACCGGGGCGGGAGCGGTAGCCGCCTTCTCTCCCCGGTTCGACGTGACCGAGCACGAGAAGGACTACGTCCTGCAGGGCGAGCTGCCCGGCGTCACCCCGGACCAAGTCGACGTCGAGTTCACTGATGACCAGACGCTGGTGGTGCGCGGCCGGCTGGAGCGCGAGCATACCGAGGGCGATCCCAGTTTTGCTCCGGCCGGTACTCTGACGGAAGGAGACACTACTACCACGGGCCGCGTGACCGAGGCCGAGGGTGAAGGCGAGAAGACGGGCGGTAACGGCACCGGCGCAGCCGTCACCAAGGGTTCTGAGAGCAGTGTGCAGGCCCAGAGCCAGGGCACGAGGAGGGCCGGGCCGCGGTACTGGGTCAGTGAGCGGTCCTACGGCGAGTTCTCCCGGGTTTTCACCTTCCCAAGCGCGGTGGACCAGGATAAGGTGCACGCGGCGTTCAAAGATGGCATCCTCAACATTACGGTGCCCAAGACGGAGAAGAAGTCGGGAAAGAAGATTACGATTCAGTGAGGCTGGGCAGCGAGGCTGGACAGTGAAGGAGGTTAGGCGTTGGCGTTTGGTTGATGGAGGCCGCAGTTTGAGTTAGGGTTAGGTTGAGGGGTTAGGGTTGTGATAGTCGTTAGCTCTTTCCATCAGTCGCTCCTTTGGGTTGTCACGGTCGGGCGTTGGCTCTTTCCATCGATTACTCCTTTAATTAGGTATCGGTCGCTCTTTTACACTTCCGATTCTCGACTTCCAATTCGTCATTTAGTTTAGTGTAATTCAACACTTTAATTTGTCCAGATATCAATTCCAAATTGATACCTTGAATTGTCCAGATCTCCCGTTCTTCAATCGTGGCACAGAGCCTTTCGTGCCGTTCCACGACGGGTTCACGTCTCGCTCGAACACCCGCAGCAGGCGCGGGGCAATAACGGGTGGGGCCAAGCCGCAAGTGCAGATCACCTGCCAATGCCCCCGCTGAAGCAACCAACTGCAGAAAAAAAGGTTGCCTCATTTCTTCAACGGAAGGGTGTGTTACTCTCTTGTGGTTTGTGTCACTCTGGCCTTGCGCCTTCGTGTATCTTGTGCGACGATGATATTGACGGATACTTGCCGCTGGTAGCTGTCCGATGTAAACGCGGGGTTTTATTTCCTCACAGCTAATCTTCTTTTTTTCTTTCATTCTGCTCCGATGCGTCGCGACATTTGCGCGTCCGCGCGAACCTGTATGTCGATCAAGAACCCAAATGCCAATCCCATGACATGCATCCGCTAAATTTAGGCGGGGTTCATCGCTCAGTGGGTTGGTTCTTCCATCCCTTCGATGGAACTCACCCCACCGGCCTAGTGAAGTAATCTGCAGGTTGGTCCTTTTAACACCTCACCCACCTCGCACTTCGCAACTCACGCACTAACCGCAATCCGAGCAGAAGGGTGGTACAAGTGATCATCTGGGGATACCCAGATGCCCGGGCCCCGGGTTGTTGACCGTAATGAAGATTCCACGAGACGCAACTGGCTTCATCTGTACACAGTAGCGCAACAAAAGATCCTAACTGGTCTAGGCTTGGTCTGGACTCTGGAATGTGGGACGATGCTGTCAGTTTCACAACACAGCCAAGTGAGACGGTATCGCACTGGGTCGCGCGCGCGCAAAGGCAAGGAGAAACAGGCGACACGACAAAAGGGAGACGAGCCCAATCCGCGGGAGGCCGTCCGCATGGCATTGCATCTGCATCTGCACCTGGGTCTGCATGTTCTTGTTGCGGGATTGCCCACGTCGACTCGCAGCTCAGCCTAAGGTGCAGTGGTCTCGGGGTACCGTCAGCCTTTTTTCGGTGAACCGGCTGGTGGCCGCAGCGCTGCAACGGCAAGTTTTCGCGTCGATTTTCCCTTAATTTTATTTTTTTCCCTTTGTCGTGATTTTGTCACCCCGCCTCTTCGCGTCGACAGCGGCCAGCGCCCGCAACAATACCGCTCAGCATTCACCGCTCCTCTTCACAGTCCATGGAAATAGAGGGGACAATCAACCTTCAAGCTATCTACACGTGCCACGACGGGGTTCAGCTAGCCGTTAATAGTGGGTTGATACCGATTTCTCAGACACACCAGCCGCCAATCCACCTTGTGGGCAGATGCCCGGCTGGGAGACTGGTAGACGTGACGGCCCATATCGCATGGGCCAACTCTCCTTCATTTCCTTTTCGTTTTGAGCTCCCCGCCCCTCCGTCCCCGGCCCCGTCCCCGATCCCGACCCCAGTTTCGGCCCCGGCCAACGCCCCGGCCCCTGAGGGGAACCTGAGGAGGAACCTGAGGAGGAAATGCCGTATGCACCCCCGGGATGGCCGAACGCCGCGGGTCGGCCCCGCTACGAATCGGCCAATCGCGAACGCCGCGAGCGTGAGCACGACTGGGTCGAAGTACTCGACGAAGTGGACGACACCCACGCCACTCTGGACGCCCGGCAGGACCAAATCCGGGGTGGTAGCGGCCCTAGATACGGGCCCGGGGACCGATACCCCCGGTATGCTGGGACATTAAGCCGACGGCGTGACACCCACAACCGGGGGCGGACAGAGCATTCCCTGGATCGGATTCGGATTCTGGATCCGGATCGGGACCTGGACCTGAATCGGGGCCGGGTCTCGGACTGGGAACGCGACTTGCATCGATATAGCGAACAGTACGAAGCCATAAACCCCAACTCGTCCAACTCGGGAGTTCCCGGCCGTAACGTCATATACAACTTCGGCCCAGTGACCTTCCAAAACTGCAACTGCGCCTACGGCCCGCGGCCCTGGCACATCCATGGCCCCTTTGGACCCAGGCCCAGTCGAGGTCCGGGTCCGAATCCGGGTGCCGGTTATGATCTCGGTCATGATCCCGGTTATGATCCCGGGCCGGGTCCTGGTTATAGCCCCAGCCCCGGCCTCGGCCCCGACTTCCGTCCCCGTTCTGGTCCTGGATGGGGTCCGGATCCTGGTCTTGGCCCGGACCCAGCCCGCGTCGACCCCTTCTCTCGATATTCGCCCAGCTCTCCTGCCACTCCCGTCACTCCAACGGCCCCAGAATCGCGCACCTCGTCGCACTCTTCCGATTCCTCGATGTTCGAACCCATTCCCCCGCGATGGAGTAACTCTGGTGATGGTAGTGAGACCCCGAGCATCTACGACCATGACAATGCTGCGAGCGACGAATCCGATGGGATCGGCGCGATCAATTCGGGCTTAGCGGGAACCCATTTCTACGACCACCCAGTTCCGGCGACCTCCCGTACGCCGGTGCCGCCGTACCCTGTGCAGCCCAAGTCGATCTTGCGGAATCGGTACCCGCGACCGCCGACTGGCGTGGGAGTGTCTTCGGAGGACGAAAGGCAACAAAGGAAGCGAGAGAAGGAAAGAATAGAGAGGGAAAAGGAGCGGGATCGAGCGGAACGTCACGATACGCACCGCACCAAAAGCAGAAGCCGGAGCAGAAACCGGAGCCGGAGCCGGAGCCGGAGTCGAAGCAGAGACAAAACCAAAAGCCGCAAATCATCATCCCGTCAGGCTGGCGACACAGACGGGGAAGCCGCCACCCACCGTACGCACATGTGCAAAGTCTGTTTACTCCGCCGCCCAATAAGCCGGTACAGCGACTACTGCGCGCCCTGCGAAGAGATTGTGCGCGCACCCAATCTCGGCGCGGCGTCGGCCTCCCGAGTCCGCCCGATCCCCGAGCTCAGGCAAGAGGGAAGCTTTGTGCGGCAATCGTCTACCCATCGGCGGAGGAATGGTAGTCCCGGTGCCAGTCTTAGGTATGAGACTGGGACCAGGCGAGGAGGGGGGGGAGACGGGGGAGGAGCACAAAGCGGGGGTGGTGGACGAAAGGAGGGAGGACGAAAAGGGGGAGGACGGAAGAAGGGGGGAGAAAGGAAACTGTCCCATGACCTGCTAGAAAAGAACGACCGGGAGCTGCGGGAGTTGGAAGAGAGCGAAGCGCTGGATGAGCGGAGGCGGGAAGCAGTGGAGCGGCTGGATCAGAATATAGCGAGGCTAAAAGACATAGACCGGCGGTTGGGGCAGTGGCGAATGCGGCAACCTTGGGCGGAGCAAACGTGAGGTGGATGATACGGAGGGGGGGGTATAAGGGGGAGATGTAATGGGGAGATATAACAGGGAGATACGAGAAGGGTCGGAAATGAAGCACAACATGGGGGGATACGAAGCAACGACAAAGAAAGCGACACGAGAGACGCGGCACGACTTACGACTGACGATTTACTATACCCTAGAATGACACGAATCACGACTTGACGACTATTGCATTAGAGTTAGCTGTTTGGAAAATACACGATGAAGCATTGCGATGGGCTGTCGTTGGAGGTGGTGTCAATGTGCCTCCTCAGCGATTATGTGTACGGTAATGTAAATACGATTATGCAAGTGATAATTACGGTACGAGCGCAGGTGCATCGACCCTCAAAGTAAGTTAAGGAATTAATAAGGAATGTGTTTTGAACCCACTGTTAGCACTAATTCATAACCCGAGCCATCCTAGAACACCTCCCGTTTCGGTAATTAACTCCCACGTTGTCGCCACCCGAGATGATCGTCGATGACGTAGCCAGTACATAAGTCAGTACTGCACATTTAACCACAAACCCAATATTCCATCCAATAACTTTTACTTGTTTTTTAACTACTAATATTCATCAATTACTACACACACCACAACAACACCAGTAACGAAAATGACTTCCCACTCCGACCCGCCCCCCTCCTACAACCAAGCCATCGGGCTCACCCCCCACGACACCACCGAACCTCCCTCCTCCCTTCCCCATCAAGCCCGCAACGACATCCCCCCTTCCTCCCGGCGCAGCATGGAAGACGAGCTCCGCCCGCTTCCCCCGGGCTGGGTCCGCCAATTCGACGCCGACACCCAGCACCAGTTCTTTGTCGACACCACGGCTTCACCACCGCGGTCGATTTGGCATCACCCGTACGACGATGAGGTGTATCTGGATTCTTTGCCGGTTGGGGAACGGGACCGTGTGAAGAGGGAGTTGTCCGGGTTGCGGAGGAGTCCGAGTGTAGCTGATCTTGAGGCGGAGGATACCGACGTGTCCGATGCTTCTTCCTCTGTTTCTCACAAGCAGGAGAATGGAAACAACCCTCCCAACCGACGCACCCGCCTAGGCCGCCTCCTCAAAGACCGCCTAACAAACACCACCCACGCCCAACGCGCCGCCACCCGCGCCCGCCGCGCAGCCGCCGAACGCGACCTCTACACACAACACCGCGTGCTCCGCAAAGCGTTACTCGATGCCGCCGAATCGGGCCAGCCACAGCCTCTGGGACGGGATGAACAGGGAAGGGAGCTGTTTTTGGAACCGCCTGGGGTGGTGTATCCCGGGGTGGTGAATGTGAGACGGTTGAGTCCGTATTGGAGTGAGGTTAGGTATGCGGGGGATGGTGGGGGCCCTGGGGGGCCGGGG